GCCCCTAGTACATGTTTTCCAATAACTACCTGCACCGTAGCAGAGCTGTTAATGGCGAGTTGGGGCTGGTGACACCATGTATGGTTTGTGTTTTTGTTGGTTTTGTGTTTAAATGGTACTTGCTGACAAAAGATTCTGATACTATGGATAAGCCTGCACCTGTGTTGGCAAGTATTCGGGCTGGGTGATCTTGGATCGTACCTGTTAACTCGAGCACCGCCTTGCTTGCATTAGTGGAGAAACAAATGGAACAATCTTGATATGTACAAATGGATGGTGACCAAGGTTGTAGGGCGATGCATGCCATCAGGGCATCATCCCACTGATGTTTCCCTCCTCGTCCTCCTCATAATCACTCTCTGCCTCATCGGCAAGAGATAACTGAGTGAGCTCAAGGCTGGCTTGCTTGACTGAATATGCATCTTGCAGTTCTTCTTCAGTTGTGCTTTCCTCCTCAGGAGTTGATTCTCCCTCAGGGGCATCTTCTAAGGTCACCATGACTTTTGGACCATTAGGTCTGGTTGTCATTGGTATGGGAGGTTTTCTAGTAGGACAATCCCTTGCCCAATGTCCTGTGCCTCTGCACACGTGACAAGTGTTGCTGTCCTGAGGGTTAGCCTCCCTTGGCTTCTGGGCTTGTAACAGGTGAGGAGGCAGGGGACAATTACCAAATCGGTATGAAGTACCTGCAGTTACAGGTCCAGGTTGTCAGGCCTGTGGGATTGCTGTTGTTGTTGCTCATGCGACTGGGTTTGTGCAAGATGTAAGTATGCTGGGATATTTGGAGGCAGAATGTTGCATCACCATACGTTGATGATCAATGTCCTCTACCTCTCGATACCATTCCCAAATACTTGTAGGTGGGTTTTGCTCAAACTTCTCCTGAAGGCTGCAGGTGAGGGTACTTCTGAATAAGTCAATAACCAAGTCCCTGTCCTCCATATTGACTTGCCCTTCAAGGTCTCTGAACCGTTCAACATGTCAAGTAGGACTCCGTCATTGGCACAGCTCCGAATACTTGCTCAGATCGGCCGACTAGTTGAAGCGTGCTGATCTGACTGATTCTGACATCGGCACAGCTCTGAATACCTGTTCGGATCAGCCGATTAGTTGAGGCGTGCTGATTCTGTCGTCAGCATAGCTCCGAGTACTTGTTTGGATCGGCCGACTCGTTGAAGCATACTGGTCTGGCTGACTCCGACCGATCCCATGAGATCGATCTGGATTCCCGGGGTTCTCTTTCTACCATAGCATTCGAGTGGACTGGCATCCACTCTGAAACTCAACTTACTACTCTATACTTACTTGCAATAGCAGTGCTCTTGCAACAACTCTCAACGTGTGTGTTGTATCACTGTTAGCCGACAACTGTAGGCAGTGTTCTTCACACTAGCAGTCCAGTTCATTACTGTAGGCGGTGTTCTTCACACTAGTGGTCCAGTTCATTACTGTAGGTGGTGTTCTTCAACACCAGCAGTTCAGTTCCTTGCTGTAGGCAGTGTTGCTCGACACCAGCAGTCCAGTCAGTTATTGTAGGCAGTGTTTCACACCAGCAGTCCAGTAACTCACATCCTCTGCAGGCGATTGGCATATCGCAGTCCAGACGATGTCCAGAGCATTATCAACAGTACTACGAACACTTGTACTGTAGGGGAGGGTGTATCACTCACTCACCAACAAACAACGTCTGTGCTGTGCAACCTCTGAACGGAGTGTTCAAGGTGGTCAGTCGAGACTTACTAGGTGACGACGCTTGGTTACGTTTAGGTGAATCATATCGAGTAGTCCTTACTCAATCAACCTCAGCTAAGTCTCTGGCGCGCGACCGCTTACACAGTGTCGATGAAGTTGACACAGCTCAGGAAAGACAGGAGTGACAAGGCTCGATATGGAGGAGGAGCCTCCTTGGGGATCCCTGTACAGTACTCGATGAAGAGGGTACTCTCTGGAGAGAGAGAGCAGGAGCAGTGGCGCTGGCGACACTGCAAAGAGATATATAATCATATCTTCTCGTCACAAGTGGTTGAGTGGATCCCCATCCACTCTACACATAACATAACTAGTATTACTTCAGAAGCATAAGTATTCATTAGTTCAGTCAGCAGAGTAGTAATCAATAGATTGCTCCTCATTGTAGCACATGTGTTGTATCACCACTCACTGATGTCCAAAGGCAGTTCATAGTAAACCTGCAGTCCAGATAATGATAGAACCAAAGGCAGTTGTCCACTGCAGTCTGGGGAGCACCTCAAGTGTTAGTCAACACACTGGACACTCATGTCGATGCCACCAAGTATCACACTCACACCAGACCTTTGGTGTCATCATCAAGTTCACCAATGTCATATTGTTATTTATCATGCCAAGCTACCTCTGGACGGAGTGTCCACAGTGGTTAGTCAAAATCTGCAATAGCATTACTACAACTACAGATTCGAGCGAGAAAAGTGATAGAGAAGGCTCTATCACATATTTTACTAAGAATCAAAATACCACTAGCATTATCGCATAACTTGATAGAATCAGTAATAGTACTGATACTACTACTGATCTCAGGTATCAGGCATGCGACCGCTGACACCTGGGTCTGCTCGTCATTCGGCAACTATCAAGTTGTGCGACAGCTATTGACTTGTGTGATGACAGCTAGTGGTGTTCGATATGAATGATGTATGCTATTGCAGGTCTCGACTGACTGCTGTGGACACTCTGTCCAGAGGTAGCTCGGCACAATCAATATCAATATGAAGGTTATGGTGACACCAAGGTCTGGGGTGAGTGTTCTTGTTGGTGATGAGGTTGGTGGCATCGACATGAGTGTCCAGTGTGTCGACTAATGCTTGAGGTGATCCCCAGACTGCAGTGGACTACTGCCTTTGGTTCTATCTTAATCCAGACTGCTGGTTTGCTATGAACCACCTTTGGATGTCAGTGAGCAGTGATACAACACATGCACTACAAGGAGAGGCAACCTTGATAGATTGCAACTATGCTGACTGTAACTAATGAATACTTATATGCTGAAGTAGTACTAGTTATATGGTGTGTAGAGTGGATGAGGATCCACTTGACCACTGATGACTAGAAGGTATGGTTAAATACCCCTTCACAGCATTGCCAGCAACACTGCTCCTGCTCTCTCTCCAGAGAGTACCCTCTTCGTCGAGTACTGTACAGGGGGTCCCTCTAGCACCACTCCTGTCCTCCTTGAGCTATGTGTCAGCTCCTTTGACACTGCTCCTCCTCCTCAGGACCTGCTTGCTGGTCTCCTATACACTGCTCCTCCTCCTTCAACTGGCGACAGTTCCTCTGACCCTTATCTCTCGAGCCCCTGAGTAGTAACCATCTGCATGCTCCTTGAGCTTGGTCCTCCTTGTGGCAGTGCCTGGCCCTCCTTGCATATGTGCTTGGTCCTCCTTGCATATGGGCCTGGTCCTCCTTTGCATGTGAATCCATTGTATGGGCCTCCTTGCCCATGGTCTCCATGGAGACTGTACTATGACCATGCTATAGCCGACCCTTCTGTAGAATGGCCTGATCCCCTGATACCTGTGCTCCCTCCCTATGAACCAACGGCCTTCCTGCTTCCTGCGCATTCAGGCCCATGACAAGGGGTATATACATCCCAGTTAGCTCGATCCATAGGACTGGGAATGCCAACAAAAGGGGGAGTTGAAGATATACCAGAATTTCCAGGAGGATTATCCAAAATGCAAGCAGACCGAGGATCGGAAACCGAGGTGCAGACAGAGCGAGAGATGAAGGCTGAGTTGCAGGTAGACCAAGCAATGTTGTTGAAGTTGTTTGTCAAAAGTTAAAGATCACTCATATCAATTGCGATAATGAGCATGTCTAAGTACATGGCAATGCTAGAGTATATATATGTCTTGATGTCCTGTGTATCTGTGTGCTTACGCAAGAGCAATGAGGACAAGGCTCAGCATGGAGATTATGGAGAAACATGTTGGCTATCTACTGGTTGGTGCTCTAAAGCCTGACAGTCATCATGGTGACCAATGGCCAAGACTCTAAAGTCCAGCAGTTGGCCTGGGTGGTGTGTATATACCCAAGTAAGCGAAGTTGTTGTTTGTGTGAAATCAGAGCTAGAGTCGCATGCTCGGGGAAAACTGCATTCCTGGAGCAAAGGGTCACATGCTTTCACTAATGTGCATACGAAATGCATGCTGATTGGTCTAGCAGCAAATCAGGAGCTTTAGAGGAAAGACAACATGAAGGACAGACGATTGATATGATAGAGATCAATGTTGCTAGGAGTGACGACAAGGTATATATATAGACATGTAGCTACACACCCACAAAACAATAAGATAAGCATTGTTGTCATCATTCACCTGTGCAAAAGGAGCTAGAATGTGTTGGAAACTGAAGTCGTTTCAGTCCCGATACTGGTGATTGGGGAGAGTCTAAGTACAATGTCACTGCTGCTAAAAGACAGAAACATATATACTCAATTGACTGGATGAATGTGGCAAGAGCCTAGCACTCTCTGTGTGATATATATACATCTAGATGGTACACACCAGGTGTGGGTGTATCCTCCTTCATGACGATCCCTGACAACAAGCGGGACCATGTTGTATCCAATCTCTGATGTGATCAGTCCCGCCATATCTTTGACCGGATCGGCTTCGCCCGATCCCCCCTTTATCGCCTCATGTTTTCTCACATCATCATGTTGGATTGCTAATTTTCAGCAGAATGTAGCCCGGACGAAGCGGTGTAACTGCACTTGAAACTTCAACTCTCAGTCAGGGTCCAACTCAGCCAGCCTGTTGAGAATAGTGCCGAAAGAGGTGCTTGACATGATCATATCGACTGCGCCTTCACTTGCTTCCTTCATCTCGAAGCGAAGCGAAATCACACACACAAAGCATTGTGTCTGCTACGCCAAACGTTCCAAGACATGTGACCAGCCCACCAAGGTTACGCCTACCACTAGGCTCGAATACACGGCCGTTTTCCACGACGCAAGCAAACCCATGGCTTCTTCGTCCGCTTCGAGGCCGTCGAGGCCCAGCGAGAACCCTTCTCGTCATTCTATAAGCGCCACTTCTGGTTTCAGGCTCAAGGATGCTCATGCGCCTCTTCGATCCCATCCTCATGCTCCTGCTCGTGCCAAGCTTAGGCATGCTGTACCGCCATCGAAAACCATGGCAGAGTCCGACGACTCACCGCATGTCTGCCACAACTGTCATCAGATGCACACTCGCTTCTTTTGCGACCCATGTCTCACATCTCGGATAGAGGCTCACCATGACGAGATGCGTAGGCTATCCCAAGCTCGAGATAAAGCAAAGCTCTTTGTCACCACCCTACTCTTTGACAGCACTCAAGACGACGCTGTTGCCAACCTTGGTGCGGCATCAAGGCCAACATCGCCGCCGCGCATAGCTCGGCATGACACCCTACCAGATCCATTCGAAACCAACGCCGCCGAGCCGACCTCATCCCAAGTATCTCCTCAACAACACCTTTTGCCTCGTTCGCTCATTCAACTGCGAGCACAGAGAGCTACCATACTGTCGCGTGTGCAAGAGATCCATAAGTGCATTTCCGAGTCCCAACATACTCATCTACACGCCAAGGAACTCCTGAAAGAGAAACATGCACACCTCGCGCTGCGAAAGCAAAACCTCGCCAAAGCTTGGTCCAGCCTGGAAGGTTCTTCCGCCGCTGCTTCGATCTCGGCGGCTCAGCGCTCACGCAATGCAGCCAAATCACGCTGGCTTACACACCCAGCCGCAGATCACATCGATGCCCAACTTGTCTATACAGACGTCTACAGCCATTACGAACGTCAGTCTGACCAATCTGGCCCCAGCGACACTTGGACGCCAGATTCAACAGATCATCAGCTGGGTGCCACTCTCACTCGCGCCAGACTCGAGCTCGCCTCTCTTCAGGCGGAAGGCGCCGTCTTCTCTACTCAACTTGCCGCAACGCGAGCCGCGCTTGCACGACAAGCTTTCCGTCTCTTTTCCGTCACTTCTCCCGACATGATTGCATCTAAACACACTAGCTCCTCAAAGCCTCGCCAGGTCGACCTCTCTGCCAGCAGCTCAGTGGCACAGCGCATTAGCAAGCTATCTGAGCGGTATATACCCGGCGCATTCGGCCTTGGCCACATGAACGCCTCGCACCACCGTCATCCGAAATGCGACTCAGCAGCAGCACCGAGCCAACGAGGCAGCAGCACTTGCTCTGCAAGCCCTTCTCTATCGTCAAGCAATTGGTCCATCGTCTCCCTCCCACTACCGCTTCCAAGCGAAGCACGAAGATACCCGCGCGACACCGTCAATGGTGCCGTCACCTATGCAGCCAACTTGCTCCAGCTTCTAGCTGGATACCTCGGCGTCTCTTTGCCCTTTGCCATCGAGCAACACAAGGGCAGGCTTGCTATCCGTCCTGATCCGCTTTGGGACGGCGGCGGTGGTTCCAGTGCAAAGACGCTCTATCTTTCCTCGAGCGCATACACCCATCTCACTGCCTCACAGCCGAACCAAGCTCGACCGTCCAAGCTGAACAATCTTGCAGAGTCTACATTTGGTCTTGGCGCTTCTACTCTGTCGACGATCGAATCCTATATCCATCTGCCCTCGGGCACTGGCCTGCCGTGGGGGTTGACGTCCAACACCGCATCCTCTGCCAAGTCCGGCTGGAATGCGGATGTGCAGTCAGAGCAGTCATACAGAGACACGCAAGGTTCGCTTGCTTCTTCCGGATTCGCTACGAGTAGCTCGTCAAGCTCCAGATCGAAGCCGGACCAGGCTGCTAAATCGTTCGTCTCGGCGCTTGTTATGTTTTCTTACAACGTCGGGTATCTTGCTAGCAAGCAAGGAATCAAGCTTGATTTGGTGGCAGCCGCAGCCAATCCACTTTCGCTTTTGGACCAGATCATTGAGCAACCCGAGCTCGGTCGTTTGGCGCATGCCAATCACATTCGCGCTTCCAGTATTCAGGATCTCAGTCTGCCCTCTCTGGATTATGAGCAGCTCGCACAGATTCTCGAACCAAGCAACGCAGCTGCTGAGGGTTACAAGCCTGGTGTTTCGAGATCTGGCAGATCTCACTCGTCGAGAAATGCGGTTGCACTTGGACAGACTAACTCAAAGTCGGCAAAAGTGGCCAAGATTCTGGAACAAAGTTATGTAGATGTGGGTCAAGCAGCTGCATCGATGCTCGACATTAAGGATCCGTCTTTTGTTGCGCGCAAAGCAGATCGACACGCAACGTCGGGTCGGAACAGCTTGCCCAAGTCTGAGTCTGGTCAGGATGCGATGCCAAAGCAGAGCGGCGGAAATGAAGCGATCAGCAGCTTGCAAAAGCATCATACGGGTGGAGCAGATAGGCGCAGTCAACCCAATCCGACAGCACATGCTCCTCCTTCGCTCGACTTTTTGCGACAAAGAGGACGCGATGCAACGAAAGCAAAGACTACCACACCAAGCGAAGATGTGGGTGAATCAAAGAGAGAGGTACAGGAGGATCCACCGCGATCTGCGCAGACTACGCCGACTAGGGTGGGCCCGGGTGCTGTCATCTTTAATGGTGTTGAGGTAGGGGTGGGTAATCTCGATCCGACTGAACGCTCACAAAGCCGTGCGATCGACCGGAAATCACGCAAGCAGTTTGCAGAAGAAGGTTGGGATCTGGTTTGATCCCATACGATCATTTACCAAGTGTCTGTAGTATGTATCGCACTGCAAGCAGGTCGTAGCTGTTTCCTTCCAAGTGGTTGAGCAGGGTCCAGAGTCGGTTTTCCGCGATTCGAGGTTGCTGAATTTTTTTGGTTGAAGGAGGTGCGGCAAATGGCCTTGATCACAAGTATGGATTGCGATAATGATCATGAACTGAGTACAAGATGATACGAGTGTATATATAGGCCTTGCAGCGTTCTGTGTATACGTGTATGATACAGGGATGATGAGGCTGAAAACATGAGGGGGAAAGTATGTCAGCTGGTATGCCGATGCCTGTCCGCGACAGTCGATGTGTGGGGCAATATAAATATAGTACGGAATCGAGTGAGCGAAGCTGGCGTCAATGTGAGATCGTACTAGAGGTCACAATTCTTTACTGATTTGTTTTTGGCTGAGCGGGTATTGCTCGACCTCGATTTTGCACACTTATTTCTCGCAACTACATCCTTGGTCGATTGTTTCTACTACACTCTCACCAGCTTCTACCGGTCTTTGGTTCGACAATCGTTGTTCGCATTCAAGTTAAGGCTCGCTACCGCCTCGCATAGGTTCGCTATGGCTTCCAACACCGAACTCGGTCGATGGATCAGCGACAACAGTATGCGTTTTTTCGGAATGTCACAATCTTCCATTGTCGATTTCATCCAAGTTTCAGCATCCTCTGCAGCGACGCCCAGCGAACTTTTTCAGAGTCTCGTTTCGGTCGGTTTGCCATCTACCGATGAAGCGCGCGGTTGGGTTGGGGAGTTGTATGGACGTGTTCCTCGTGCTAGTCGGAGTTGGTCTCGGGTTGAGGCTGGTGGTAGGATGGAGGAGAAAGATGGTGGTGGGAAGCAAAGTAAGAAGAGGTATGAAATATTGCGAGACGATGAGGATGGAGTTGAACAGTTGCAGATTAGGCCGGAAAGGAGGAGGAGGAGGAAGGAGAAGAAAAGCGATGTGAGTGGGGTGGATGAAGGAGATAGGGATGGGGTTGATGCAGGCAGAGACGACCGTTGGACTTGGACATCTCGCTCTCCAGCAGCAGCAGCGTCGGATCATAGCGATGTTGAATCCGAACGAGAAGATGCACGAGAACGAGCTCGTCTAAAAGATCTAGCCGAACGAGACGAGTTTGCAAGGCGTATGCGAGACAAGGACAAAAGCAGCACCCGTAATGTTGTCGAGGACCGCACTTGTGCACGTCTCAATCCTGAAGCAGCAGCAGCTCGTCGACTCCTAGCCGAAGATGACGATGCACGTTCAGCAGCAATGCCGAGTCTTCGGGATCGATCAAGGCAAGAATACTTAGCGAAACGTGCCCAGCAACGAATGGAGCTTCTCAGGTTAGAGATCCAGGATGAAGAGCGATTCTTCCGCGGTCTCAAAATGACCAAACGGGAACAAAGAGATTTGCAGTATAAGAAGGAGGTCTTGCGCCTGGCTGAGGAAAGGGCAAGGATTGATGATGGAAATATGGGTTATGTTATGCCTGAAGATTATATTACGGAGAAGGGGAAGCTGGATAGTGCGAAGAAGGAGCAAGCTCTCTACCAACGATATAACGACGCACGGTCGGAACGACTTGCCCAGCAATCGCATGTTAATGATGGGGAGCGGTTTGAGAAGGAGCAGATTGATCGGGCGCGCTACGTGGTGGAAGCTGCCAACGAAGCGAAGAAGGAGTTGGTGGAGCAATACGACTACGTGTTTGACGAAAGTCAGACGATTCAGTTTGTAGTCGAATCGCAGATGGCAGGTACAACGAGCATGAGTGCCAAGGATAAGTTGTTGCAACAACAGATCGATCAGGCTGAAACCAAAGCAGCGAAAATGCAAGCGACTCGCGAATCCTTACCCGTCTACGCCCTGCGAAAGGAGCTTCTCGAAGCTATCGACGAACACCAGGTGCTCATCGTCGTCGGTGAGACCGGATCCGGAAAGACGACGCAGCTGCCTCAATTCCTGCACGAAGCAGGATACACGAAGAAGGGGCAAAAAGTGGCATGTACACAACCGCGTCGAGTAGCAGCGATGAGTGTCGCTGCACGTGTTGCGGAAGAGATGGGTGTACGGCTGGGACGCGAGTGCGGTTACAGCATCCGTTTCGAAGACTGTACTTCGGAGGATACGGTGATCAAATATATGACGGACGGTATGCTTTTGCGCGAGTTCCTGACCGAACCCGATCTGAACTCGTATTCGGCGCTGATCATTGACGAGGCACACGAACGTACTCTTAGTACGGATGTGCTTTTTGGACTGGTCAAGGATATTGCACGTTTCCGACCGGATCTTAAGCTTCTCATTTCGAGTGCGACACTGGATGCAGACAAGTTTAGCGAATTCTTTGACGATGCTCCCATTTTCAACGTTCCGGGACGAAGATATCCAGTTGATGTTCACTACACTCGTCAACCAGAGGCCAACTATTTGCACGCAGCCATAACGACGGTTTTTCAGATCCATACTACTCAGGGTCCCGGCGATATTCTGGTGTTTTTGACAGGTCAAGACGAAATCGATGCGGCGATGGAAAACGTGCAAGAAACTGGACGAGCTTTGGGGAATAAGATGGCAGAGTTGATTGTCTGTCCGATTTATGCCAACCTGCCGAGCGAGATGCAGGCCAGGATCTTCGAACGCACACCAGAAGGTGCAAGGAAGGTGGTGTTGGCGACCAACATTGCCGAGACGTCGATTACGATTGATGGGGTGGTGTTTGTGATTGATCCTGGATTTGTTAAGCAGAACTCGTACAATCCGCGGACTGGTATGTCTTCGTTGACGGTGGTGCCTTGTTCGAGAGCGTCGGCGAATCAACGGGCTGGACGTGCTGGACGGGTTGGGCCAGGGAAATGCTTTAGACTGTTTACCAAATGGGCTTTTAAGAACGAGATGGACGAAAACACAAGGCCCGAAATCCAAAGGACCAACTTGGCAAACGTAGTTCTGCTGCTCAAATCGTTGGGTATCAATGATTTGCTCAACTTTGATTTCTTGGATCCGCCTCCATCGGATACACTCATGCGATCTTTCGAGCTGCTGTACGCGCTGGGAGCGCTCAACGATAAGGGCGAGCTGACCAAGTTGGGACGCAGAATGGCAGAGTTTCCCGTGGATCCTCAGTTGTCGAAAGCGATTTTGGCATCCGAGAGGTACAGGTGTACGGAAGAAGTGCTTTCGATCGTATCCATGCTTTCCGAGTCTTCGGCGCTCTTCTTTCGACCGAAGGATAAGAAGATGCACGCGGACCGTGCCCGTGCAGCTTTTGTGCGCAGCGGAGGAGACCATTTCACCTTGCTCAACGTCTGGGAGGAATGGGTTCAGAGCAACTACGATCACCAGTTCTGTATGCAAAACTTCCTCCAACCCAAGGTGCTAGCGAGAGTTCGAGACGTTCGAGACCAGCTAGCTCAGCTTTGCGAACGTGTCGAGCTGATACCTGAGTCGAATGCGGATCACTCGGATATCTCTGGTATCCAACGCTCCATTCTGGCTGGATACTTTATGAACACAGCACGGATGCAGAAAGGCGGCGAAGCATACAGATCGATCAAACAGAACACCACAGTCTACATCCATCCTTCAAGTTGTCTCTACAAGCAAATGCCACAAGCACACTTTCTCTGCTATTTTGAACTCGTCGAGACGAGCAAGAACTTTATGCGACAGGTAATGCAGATCAAGCCCGAATGGTTGTTACAGGTCGCTAAACATTACTTCACCAAACAAGACGTACAGGATGATAGCAAGAATAAGGTGTACAAGGGCATCACTGCCAGTGCTGCTGATTTGGCTAGGGGCACACAAGGCAGGTAGAGTGGAGAGTGGATTGTAATCCACCGGTTGTCAATACACATGTCGTTAGTGAGATCAAGTTGGTGTGTGTCTGAATGTGTGACATTGCGTGAAAGGTGAGAATGAGGAGTTGTGAAAGTGGGTTGTTAGGTGAAGCAACGGATAGAGGCCTTTCGCCAAACGCTTCGCTCTTTTACCAGAGGCAGGCACTGGTTTAGGAAGGTAACATCAACATATGGACGCCTTGATGGTCGTTACAGGCGCTCTTTAAAGTTTGGGTGGCCTCCTTGTTGGAAGCGAGCTGGCCCTTTTCGCAGTGTAGCGTTACGCCTCCGCCCTGAGCGTGGATTCGGCCATTGTGGCAAGCCATCTTACCGGAAGCGACGAGCTTGGATGAAATCTGGTCCGCTTTCTGAACAGTAAAGCCTGAAGGGAGCGTGCATTTGGCCGTGCTGCCATTGTCGAGCATGAGGAGGACAAAGGAGGCTGAGCCCTCAGCGGGAGCGGGAGCGGGAGCGGGAGCTGGAGCTGGCATGGGGGCTGCTTGAACCAGGCCGATGATGGCGACGAGGAGGAGGGTGAAGGTGGTGCTGAGCGTGGTTGACTTCATTGTATGTGTGTGTGTGTGTGTTTGTGTTTGTGTAGTTGTATTTGGGAGCACTGAGATGGTTGGAGGTACGGGAGGAGAATGAAGAGGAGTTCCAAGGCGCCTCCATATATCTCTTGGCTCCTTGCGTGAAAGTGAGAAGGGTGAGCGATTTTTGCCCAAGGTTCTTGTTCGAAAAGGTGACAAGGTGCCTTGATCGGAAGAGCGGCAATCACCCACAGTTGCAGTGTTGCCATTGATCCGCTGGATATGAGCTAGCGTTTCCCTGTGGGACGAGGCGTGTGACAAGTGAAGAGGGTTCGAGGCTGTGAGCTAAGCAAGCTCCAGTTCGCACGGTGGGATTGTAGCGAGGTTATGTGTCGTCAAACTTACACCTCTCCTGTCACATGACGGCGGGGGAACTCCCACTTGTGATAGAGTGAGGCCAATAAAGGCGTATAAGCTTCATCGACGCACCTGACACTTTTCTCACGCCCACACCTCAATGTGTGTCAAGGGGGCTGTGCTGGTGGGTTGTGCTCTGGTTGCTGTCATCGAGCTGCGTAGCAAAGCCAAAGAGCGGATCAACTCGGTGTGCTCGCTTCGACAAGCATCTGCCCACGGAGCTCGAAGACCTGAGTGCTTGAGAGGTTTGCAAGATGATGATTCATGTGTCCTTCTTGTAGTTTACAGGTGTGCAATCGGCATTGATTCAGTTGTCCTTCAGCGCTTTCGCATCTGAACACGAGCGTCGCCCTTGGCTGCACGAGCATGTAGCTTTTGCTGTCGCTTGGAGACATTCTCGCCAGCTGGCTGTTGTGCGTCTCGATTGCCTTTGAGCATCCCTTGAAGCGAAGCCAAGGGGCTTCGACCACGGAAGAGGTAAGGAAGGAGGATCTTTTGGTAGATCACGTAGGCTGCGTATCCGGGGATCTGTTGCGCCAATCACAGGCGGAACAAGTGGGTCAGTTGACAGCCACAGCGGGAGCAAGGATGGAGAGGATGCCACTTACGCTCAAGTAAAGGTACCAAAACTTGCCCGAAACCAAGGAAGCAAGTTGGACGAACCATGTTACGTAGATAATGTCGAACATGTATCTGTTATCGGAAGTTCAACAAAGTCGGGGCAAGCTCAGTATTGAGCCTCTAGACCGGATCTCGAACTTGCTCAGTCAACGTACTGGGTGAGACCGCTCTGCTGGAGATCGTTTCCTTGGGCAGCCATGCTCTTCAAAGTCAACCAGAGACCAAGAGCAATAGCTTCGGATGCCACATAGCCAAACATAGCTGGCTTGCTCACACTCGAACGCAGCAGCCAGAATCGAAGCAGGAGGTAGATGGCATTGGTTGCGAGGAAGCCATTACGAAGCAAAGTCAGGAGGAATGTGTTGCCCGAGGCCGTCTTCTTTGCGCTTCCACGAGCCTGAACGAGGTAGTAAGGATGTGTGTGTAAGTGATGGTTAGCAATAGAGCTGTATACATGCTTCCGAACGGCAAAGACGATGCTGCTCACCATGATTGCGGACCTTGCGATACTTTATCAAAGCTCGATGCTGTGTGTGATGGTGGGAAGCGTAAGAGATGGCAAGCCGCGCAGTTGAAGAAATGGAATGCTGCCAAAAAAAAAAAAGAAAAAAGAAAAAAAGAAAAAAGAAAAAAAGAAAAAAGAAAAAAAGAAAAAAGAAAAAGAAAAGGAAAAAAGAAAAGGAAAAAAGAAAAGGAAAAAAGAAAAAAGAAAAAAAAGTCCGAGTGCTCGACTGAACTTGAATCTACATCAGTACACCTCCGCTGTTCGTCCACATCGCAGCGGGAAAACACGGCCTGCGTACAGGCAGGAAGCGAAGAAATAGTCCATTGCTGCCAAAACATGCGATACAAACAAAGATTGAGGCTCAAGACCGAGCTAATGATCAAGTCAAGTCGAACGCAGACTGTTTGGACGGCGCTGAGAGAAAGAGACACGAGTGTGCAGACAGTCGCAAAGACGAGTGGCCTGTTGGGAGTGAGAGCAATGTCGATAGCCATGTCTGCACAATCGCAAACAAAGGTGGTTGCTTGTCGCACTCTCGTCCTCGTACTGCTCCTTTTTGTCGGCTGCTTAGAGTAGCACACAGACTGCAACACCAAGAGCCAGGATACTCGCCGACACAGCGACGAAGGACGAACGAAGGATCTGTGCAGCACTGACAATGTGACTGTCGTCCGGACCGACGGCATTGGAGCCAGTGGCACCCGATGCTCCGCCTGGAACAGGAGCAACAGCGGTGCCTGCCAAATATCCTGTTGTTGGTACCGTTGCGATGGGGTATGTGGTAGGTGTGGTGCTAGTGCTTGTGCTTGTAGTCATGTTGCCTGATGCCGTCGAGTTGCCTAATGCTGTCGAGTTGCCTAATGCTGTCGAGTTGCCTAATGCCGTCGAGTTGCCTAATGCTGTAACGTTGCCGCCGACACTACCTGAGAGGGATGGTCGAGCCGAGCCTGAGGGCGATGGTTGTGCCGCCGCTGGAGTGGGAGGAAAGGAATAATGTTATACCCTGAGGTCAGTACCTCTGCCAAGTAGCCTCATGTTCCAGAGCTCGTATACTTACCACCACCACTTGGTGCGCGTGTATCCGTGCTCGCTGCTGCTTGTGTAGATGATACAGTGTTTTGTGCCGAGACTGCCGCGCAGAGAGCTAGCAGAGCGAGTGTCAAGATATGCTGGATCTGCATTATGAATCGGCTGTGTTGGGGGGGGGGGGGTGGACAGGAGGTGAGAGTCGCAAGGGAAGAATGATTTCGTGATGGTCGACCTAAAAGTGTCAGAGGTCAGAGTTCATTTCAGCCTGCAACGGTCGGGCCTCGTCAATAATCAGGCGCATGTGAGTAAGAGGGAGATCTAACAACGTCCATCTGGCCATCGTAAAATGGCAAAGTGCTGATTCGCCGATGAAAACAGCGAGAGGATGATAAGCCCGATAAAAAAACCGCGCTTGGAGGCTGTTGAAAAGTGACTCGGAAGTCGCTCATTGGAAGAAGCTGACACAAGGACCTTTGTTCACATCTCTCCCATCATTGCCACCACCTCGGCATCGCTCAACATCAGCTTCGCCATCACAATGCTGCGCTCCGCCCTCAGACCCCATGCAGGCTCGCTCCTACGTCGTGCACTGTCCACCTCGACCACCCTTGACGCTCAACGCGCAGCTCCTGGTGCCCTGAACAAGTACTCTCGCATCATCACTAGGCCCAAGGATCAGGGTGCTTCCCAGGCCATGCTTTATGCCACTGATGGTATAGAGGACGACGAGGATCTCGCCCGTGCTATGGTCGGTATCGGATCCATCTGGTACGAGGGTAACCCATGCAATGCCCATCTCCTCTCCATCTCGCAGCGTGTTAAGAAGTCCGTTCAGCAGGCTGGGCTCACTGGCTACCAGTTCGGTGCTGTCGGTGTTTCGGATGGTATTTCGATGGGTACTGATGCTATGTCCTACTCTCTTCCCTCGCGTGACTTGATTGCCGATTCGGTCGAGTCTGCTTGTGGTGGTCACTGGCTCGACGGTGCCGTCGTTATTCCTGGTTGTGACAAGAATATGCCTGGTGTATTGATGGCTCTCGGACGTCTCAATCGTCCCGGTATCATGCTCTATGGTGGTACGATTCGACCTGGTGCTTGTGCTAGCGTCCAAGGTACTCTCGACATTGTTTCTGCTTTCCAGTCCTACGGCCAGTATCTCGCCAATGGTGGTACGCCTGAGGCAGACAAGATTCGATACGACACTGTCCGCAACGCCTGCCCCGGTCCTGGTGCCTGCGGTGGTATGTACACTGCCAACACCATGGCATCGTGCGCCGAAGCCCTGGGTATGACTCTCCCAGGCAGCTCCTCCTTCCCTGCCGAATACCCTGAAAAGATGGCCGAAGCCGAAAACATGGGTGCCGCGATGCGCCTCATCCTCGAGAGGGACATCAAGCCCCGTGACATCATGACTCGTTCCGCTTTCGAGGACGCTATTGCCCTTACCATGGTCCTTGGTGGCTCCACCAACGCCGTTCTTCACCTTATCGCCATCGCTCATTCGGTCGGTATCGAGCTCAGCATCGATGAATTCCAGCGTATCGCCGACATGACACCCTTCCTTGCCGACCTCAAGCCTTCGGGCAAGTACGTGATGGAAGATGTTCATTCCAAGCTCGGCGGTATCCCCACCGTCATCCAATACTGTATCGAGAATAAACTCATCAAGGGTGAACATATCACTGTTACCGGTCGCACTCTTGCTGAGAACGTCGACCGATGGACTCAGGAGCGCGGCAAACTTCCTGTTGGTCAGCAAGTCCTTCGTCCCCTCAGCAAACCTCTCAAGAGCACTGGTCATATTCGCATTCTTAAGGGTAACCTCGCTCCCGGTGGAGCAGTCGCTAAAATCACTGGCAAGGAAGGTCTTCGATTCACTGGTAAAGCTCGTGTCTTTGACACAGAAGATGCTATGGTTGCTGCTGTCGAACAAGGCGAGATCAAGAAGGGTGAGAAGACGGTTATCGTTCTTAGATACAAGGGTCCTAAAGGTGGTCCTGGTATGCCAGAGATGCTCAAGCCTACCAGTTTGATTATGGGTGCTGGCTTGGGTAAGGATGTTGCTTGTTTGACTGATGGTCGTTTTTCGGGAGGAAGTCATGGTTTTGTCATCGGTCATGTTGTTCCAGAAGCACAGGTTGGTGGTCCAATTGGTTTGGTTCAGGATGGTGATATCATCGCTATAGATGCAGAGACAAATACTCTTGAGCTTGTCGGGGTTTCAGATGTTGACCTCGAAATGCGTCGTGCTGCATGGAAGCCTCTTGCTCTTAAACCAAAGTCTGGCCACTTGCTCAAATTCGTCCGCAATGTCGCCGATGCTTCTCACGGTTGCATCACCGACATGTAGCTCATCTGGAATAGTTCTGTGCTTCTCATCTTGGCCAAGAGCTCTGTTGTAACAGACATGTTTTTGTAATTCTACACCATTGGCTCGATTGATTTGCATTTGTTTCCTTTGTCCACTTGATGTTGGTCTGCAGTGTACAAAAAACCGATGAGATCGCGTTTGGTTCAGAAACGAAAGAAGCCGCTTCGACGTTCACTCGCCATCCTTCTCTTCATCATGTTGGCAGCGTCGGGACCCCAAACCTCAAAGGGGCTTCTACCTTTCTTCAAAACTTCTGCCTCATGCACCTTGGCCTGTGCCCTGGAGAACAAAGCAACATTCTGGAAGCTCAATGGCAAAGTCGAATCCCACCTCTCCAACTGAGCACCGGACAAGCTGTCAAATGGAGGAACGATGCTTCTACCACGGAAGACTTCTTCGAACAAGTAAGCAATATCATTGACGCTAAACGGAATGTAGTGTCGAGGTCCTGCGTTGCCTTGTTCCTCAACTGGCTTTGTTCCCGGCAAAGGATAACGCGATTGCGAAACTGACAAATCCTGGAAGAGTTTCTCATAAAGCTTACGACGACCTTTGAAAGCGAGTGGTTCCATCTTCTGACCACCGATCTCGTTAAGGATAAATGTAGCTATCGCCAGACCGAACATGGCGGGCAAAGGACCAAGGACAGGAAGGATACGAACGCGGAAATCTTCGAGGGCAGCAAGCTCGTCAACATTTCCCTTTTGCAACTCTTCTTGATCGAGTGGCAGGAGACGTGTATCCGATTTCTCGGTCGAGTAGACGCAAGGAATGAACAGCGTTGGTTCTGTAAATTCGACCTTTGCAGGCTCTGCTGGTGTAGAGGCAAGCGAGCGCTTGAACGAAGCAGAGCGAGAAAGAGCCGGACAAGAGTTGGACGGCAAAGGTGAGAGCTCTTCTACTTCAGAGACACGTCGTCCAAGTGTGTCGGTCATCTGCGAGCGAGGTGCAGAGTGTGCTGCAAGGTCGACTGCTGTAGCGTCTGAGGCAGCGGCACTGTTTTGAGATGCATGCCGGTCCAGCGGTACAGAGGTCAAGGCTGGCTCCTTGTTATCGTCGCCCGCATCTTGATCATCTTGGTCCAGTGGTCTGAGATTGGAATCCTGGCTGTCATCATCTGGCAACAGAGCAGCCATTTCGTCGGATGGCGTTGTCATCGGTGTCGCGTACGCACCGGAACCAAATGACGAGACGCTGCTCGCTCGTCTACCATGACGAGGAGCTTGAGCAAGTGCGCTCGAAACTGCACGCGAGCTGGTTGCACTGCTTGAGGTGGAGACGTTGAGAGAGGTGAGATCAGTGGCACAACCACTTTGAGATGCTAGCGGGGAAGGTGAGGACGTCATGTGACGGTTGTGACGAGGTTGCAGAGATCCAGACTGCAGACGATTGCCGTTATTGAGTGCGCTGGATGGAAGCTTGGGTGAGGAGGCAGCGCTACTGCTGCTACTACTGGCGGCTTTGCTGGCGCTGGCCTTGATAGGGGTGCGATCCAAATCGGCCTTGGCTGGTGCTAGGTCGAGTTGATCCTTCTTGCCCGCCTTGTTTCCTTTCTGCTGGTTGTTCGGAGGAGGAGGGCGGGTCTGCATCTGAGCCTTTTCGAGCTGGTCAGCTTGACGCTTAGCCTTCTCCTCCACCTCCTTTGGCGGGATGGGCGGCAGGCCAAGCGCTCTCAAACGGCGACGAACGCTACGTGCCAGCGGATCCTCTGAAGTGACGCTGATATCAGAGATCTGAATACGACTTGGGTCGCTCTTTGCACCAGCACCCATGGAGCTAATGACCTTGATCTTTCGTTCTGCGCAGAAGCGCAAAAGGTCGACCTTTGTATCGATGTTGTCGATAGCATCAACCACGTAGGTTGGGTTGCCGCCGAGAAGACGCTCTGCCTCGTCGGCGCGGAAGAGCTCGACCCAGGCTTCGAGCTTGGCCCAAGGAGCAATTTGAGCGAACATTTCGGCGCAGCAGACCACTTTTGGTCGACCTACGTCCTGGAGAGTAGCGCATGCATGGCGGTTGAGTGATGATAGCGAGACTTGGTCGAAGTCGATGAGTCGAAGCTTGGATACACCTGACCTCAGAAGCATGAGTGCTGCCCAAGATCCAACACCACCTGCGCCCACAACGATGACGAATGAGTTTCGAATAGCCTTCATCCCATCCTCGCCCAAGAAGCTGTAGTTGCGTGAGAGCTGTTCGCGAATGAGACTCTCATCCCATTGCTCCACCGATGGCTGACGTTTGCGTGAGAATGTGTCGTTGCGTGAGAATGTGTCGTTGCGTGAGAAAGTGTCATTGCGTGAGAAGGTGTCGTTGCGTGCTATTGTATCAGCCCGTGATGGCCCCAGAGGGGATTGTGGCAGTGAGAAGCTAGTTGAATTGCGGAGATGGGATGTAGGACGTAGAGAATTGCTCGGAATACCGGAAAGGTAGCGTGGTGTGCCGCCGTCGGTGGAAGAGGTTGCTTCATCATGGTGTAAATCGAAGCGCTGGAGTCGGTCAGCTCCTTGTGTGTTGGCCGTCTTGGCAACCGAATCTGAGAGGTCTTGACGTTTCTTCTTGCGTGTGATCCGTTGAGTAGCGAAGATTGCGGCAGCTGTTGCGATTGATGAACCAACGGCTACAGATCCTAGAATCAGGGCGTTCCTTCCGTTGGGTGTTGAAAGTGTCGAGAGCCATGACGAGGAGGAGCTCGAGTCCGACATGTCGCTCCTTGCGTGAGTCGCCTGAAAGGTGAAAGCAAAGGGCGCGGGTCGGTAGTCAAGATAGCTTGAGATGAACAAGGAGGAGGTCAGTCGGAGCCAAGCAAGGTCTTGGCGTTGAACAAAACTGTTGAGCGGCCTTTCGAGATTACAGAAATCTCAACATTTCCTCTTCTCCCGACTCGTCTCAGCCAGAAAAGGCAATGACAAAAGGTGGGGGAGAAACTCACAGCTCTGTACGACGTTATGGCTCGCACAAAAGTCCTGATACGGACAAAGCCTTTCTATACACCACAAGGCTTCAATACCATCTCAAAAAGCAGAAAAGAAAAAAAAGAAAAAAGGAAAAAGAAATGCCAACTACCCGGTTTGAACGAGTGACCTTTTGTTCCACATGGTTCTTGTGCAACACTATTGCAGTGTCCAGGTACAAGACAAACGCTCTACCACTGAGCTAAGCTGGCTCACTTGTCTGGAGAGTGTTCAGTAAACACACTAAGATGCGACTAACCCCGGCATGGAAAGAATTGGGCAGCCGTCTCGGTTTCACAAGGGCATTCTCGCACCTTTCGATCGAATAGACATGCTTGCTGCCTACGATTGGTTTGTTCATTTGTAATCTGTTCCGCTCTTGTATTTTTGCCTTGAGATGGTTGAGCAAACTATGCCAGCGGCCTTTGAACTCTGAGCAATAGTGGCGATTGAATGGGAGAGTGGTGAACAAAAAGCCTTGATGAGCTATTGAGGGTCAAGGGAAGCAGCTGTCTACCTGGCCTTGTTCACAGAGAGGGTTCAAGTGATGCTTGACATGCCAAATCTCAGCTCGTTGTCAGCCTCGCGTACAGGACAGCGACTTGGCAAAAGGAACAAGTAGCAGCTTGAACCAGGAAGCAGCATACCTCAGAGATCGACGATGGAGCGCTGTGAGAACAAGGAGAAAGTAGGCCTGATGCTGCCTTCAAGATGGATTCTCAAGCTCAAACCTGAAAAGCGGATGCACGCATTGTCAGGCTACGGTTGCACGAGCTAATTTCATTGATATCAGCAAGAGAAGCACAGCGTGCACCAAGGGAGAGGAAGCTGCTTTGAGAAAACTAAGGTCGCAAAACCAAGGGCCTTTGCAATACCCTTTGCGCACCTGTGCTGCTAAGGCGGGAGAGTATTCACAAGGATGTGAGGAAACAAGGGATATAGATGTCTGGTGTCTGCTATCAAACCAGGCTGGAAAGAAAATGGCAAGAAACAAGGCTTAGAGAAGGGTGCAACCTTTCCTCTTGGAGCCGCGGCTTCTTTGAACGAGTGCTGCACGGGTGGCGTGCTCAAACACTTCACGAACGCCCTCTCCCGTCTTGGCAGAGCATTCAAGGTATCGAACGGCACCAATCTTTTGAGCAACAGCCATACCCTCCTCAGCCGAGACTGGGCGCTGGCTGGTCTTGCGGAGCTCGTCAACAATCTTGGGGTCGTGTCGAAGATCCTTCTTGCAGCCAACAAGGATGGTGGGCAAGTTTTGGCAGAAGTGAAGAACTTCCGAAATCCATTTCTCCTGAACGTTGTCGAGCGAGTCGGGCGAGTCGACGGCGAAGCAGATGAGGATGACGTGCGAATCAGGATATGAGAGGGGACGGAGACGGTCGTAATCTTCCTGACCGGCGGTATCCCAGAGCGCGAGCTCTACACGACGGCCGTCGACCTCAACATCGGCAACGTAGTTCTCGAAAACGGTGGGGACGTAGACCTCAGGGAAGGTGCCCTGTTACGAGAGGAGCGAAGCAAGGCGGTGCGGAAGGGGAAGGGAGGGGAAGGGAGGGGAAGGGAGGGGAGGGGGAGGGGAAGGGAGGGGAGGGGGAGGGGAAGGGAGGGGAGGGGGAGGGGAAGGGAGGGGAGGGGGAGGGGATGGTGTCAGCGAGGCCAAGAATCAGCCGGAGGAGGATGTAGGGTGTAGTTTGAGGATGAAAGGGCAAGCGAAAGGCAAGACTGTCAGTGGAAAGGACGGATAGGAGGCAAAGCAGCGGACCGCAGATAGCCAGCCAGGTTGCATAGTATAACCCAAAGAGAATCATGCTCAGGCTCAAGCTCTAGCGCCGATGGGCATCTTGCACCAGCGCGTTCCAAGTTTGGCGTTTTCGAGGTCGAGTTGAGCTGAGGGTTGTGCTGATCTCTGTCGGACAGGGCGGCATGTTGGGGTGGGCGGTGCAAGGAATGGATGCACTTACTTTTGAGAAGACGATAAGAAGACAGGTCTTACCACAGGCACCGTCACCGACGATGACAAGCTTTCGACGAAGTTCAGACATGATGCTCTGTGTGTGTATGAGGTATGCGATCAAAAGTAAAGTCCGAGAAGTTGTAGGAAGTGGTTCAGGATGAAGGTATTGCAGCTGGAGCGGCTGCTTGTCAATGAAAGAGATGTATCAACGAGGAGGAGACGGCCAAGGAGCAGAGGTGAAGGAGCAGAGATGAAGGAGCAGAGATGAAGGAGCAGAGGTGAAGGTGCTGACGTTGTAATCGGTAGCAGCAATCGGATGGAGCAGATTGCGTAGATGCGCAGACGGGGCCAAGAGGTCGATCAAAGTATGCTGATAGCGAGGAGAGATGCGATGCGACGAGAGATGCGATGCGATAAAGGAAAAGCGGTTGATGAGATGATGAGATGGTGAGATGGTGAGATGGTGAGATGGTGAGATGGTGAGATGGCGAGATGGTGTGTTGGAGGCGGGTGTGATTGAGAGAGAGAGCGCAGTGTGAGAAAAGAAGGCTGACGGGCTCGCGCGGCCACTGGAAGACAGACAGCAATGGTGCAGCGTACAAGTACAATAGAAAGATGGAGAAAGATGGGCGTTTGAGGGTCCGAGACCGCGCTCTCCTCTTGTGTCTGTGAGAAAGAGAGATTGAACTGCAATCCACGACCGGCAATTCAAATATCACAGGGCTCGCATTTTCAAGTTGGTATCGATGAGAGACCGTTCAAGTCCAGTTGAATCGCGTTCAAATCGCGTTCAAGCGCGTGATTCAATTTCAAACTCGTGTGATTTGTCTGCACTTTCAACCAACAGGAAAATCCGATTTCATTTCCAACTTGGCCCCTTTTTTTCAGTTGTAAGGCTTTAAGCAATCAATCCAGCAATCAAATCAATCAATTCAGCAATCAATTCAGCAATCCATCAATTCACCTACCATCAATTCACCATCAATCCAGCAAAGCAATCTAATTCCACGCGCGCAACAAGAGGGCCCTCACGGACCAGAGCTGCAGAGAGCGACAGCCCGTGCGCGTTTCTCATAGCTTATCCCTTCCATACCAATATCTTACGAATTTTTGGCTCTTCTTCAACACGCCTTTTCTCGGTGACAATTATTATTATTTGATTTTCCCATTCAGGGCTGTGTCAGGCTGTCCAAAAGCCCCTCAAGGCCGATGCCCCGATCGCAGCATGTCGCCTGGGGAAATCGGGGCAGACCATCGAGAGAGCAAACACATCGAGAGAGCAAACACATCGAGAAAGCAAGCCTCTCTCTCTTGAAATACGGCGCCGAGGATGGAGTGAGCGACTCTGTACGATCACCTCCAATCGAGAGAAGCCATCGGATCGCTTGGTATCAATGCATGGACTCCGTTGTGCGGTCAAGTCGTTTGCCAGGGTGGCTCAGCACGGAGAAAGGCACTCGAAATCGTCGTAAACTCAGAGAGTTGAAGAAGCGCTTTTCCCAATTCTACTCTCTGTAGGGGGTTTCAGTTATCTCTGAGTTTTGAAAACACAATACTTTGAAAATATGTTTGGGCCCAATTTTTGACACCCCAAGAAACTGCACAGGCCTGTCACACGTGCATCTTGGAGTTTCACTTGACTCGCCCAGTAAAAACAATCTCTGATTCCCTACACCAGGTCAAGATCAAAGTGATCATATCAGACATTGTTGAACACTATACTGAACAATGCCAAAACCTTTGATTGAAAAGCTAAAGCAAATAGCTTACATCACACCTGTTCTGATCACTGTCTTCTGCAAGCCTCATGCCATTGGTTTTGTCTCTCCTGCCATTCGGCAAAGGCCAATGTTGTCATTCCCATCCTTTGAGATTCTGCTGTTGTGTCCTCAAAAGGGTGGCCATGAGAAGCAAAGAGTGCAGTGAGCATCTCCTCCCTAAGATCCAGTGCTTTCTCCTGCCTGAACTTCTGGACTCAGTTCTGAGACATGCCCTCCATGGCAGCAGCCTGTTCCTGTTCGTATTGCTGCTGGTTTTCCCTTCGTTGTATCCTTGCATCTTCAGTAGCCTGCTGATATGCTTCCATCCCTGATGTGGTCTCCAGCACCTCAGCTTCAGATAGAGTTTCTGATGCCTTAAGGTATTCTGCCACCTCATCTGGTCGATCATAACAGCTTGCAAATGTATGTGCAATGATACAAGCCTGGACCATATGTGCAGCTTTCTTGTGGTCCTCTTCTCGATACAGGTTGCCTCAAAATCCCATGAGACATTGGAAGCAGTTCTTGAGGTAGGCAATGCCATGTTCAGCCTTGACATGAATGCGGGAGAGTGAATAGTTGAAGTAGTGGAGATCTCTGCTCTTTGCAGCTGCAGTGTTGCTGTACAGTCCAACTGTGTAGTTGGAGTAGCCATAACCAGCATCAACCCAGACAAACTCGCCTTCATCAAGATGCAAACGAGGCTTTGCAACAATACCACTGCCTGAAGCCCAGACTCGTGCATCATGTGATGACCCAGGATGTCCAACCACCAACTTGACAATGCACAAGGAATGAGGGAGGAAGACAAGGGCAATGTTGAATGTATAATCACCCTTGTATGAGTAATGCTTGCAAGCATTGAGTGCTGGCTTCCAAGCAAGATTGATGTGTGTACCATCTACCACCAACCATCCTCTAGACCATTCCTCAACTCCACTCTTATCAGCAACCCATGCTTTTGCCTTAGCATGCTTGTCTTCAGTTGCAAAGGTTACTACCTCGCTGTTCAGCTTGTATAGGCCTGCAATAGTCCTATCTGTCCACACATGAACTGAGCCCCAACTGCAACTGCAGGCAAATGCAACATCATGAACTCCACCACCATTTCCTGACCATCCAAGCCGATATAGACCAACTGCCACTTGCTGCTGAACATGCCAAAAGCTTGATATTGATCTGAAGGCATTGGTTGTGCTGAGTCTGTAAGTGAGAGCTTGGAATGCATCTGGGGTCATGCGAACAGCCCCTCGAAAGAGCTTGCAGTTGATGACAGCATATCAATCAAGCATGTTGATGAGGGGATCCTTTCGTTGCAGCAGTTGAAGGCATTCAACTGTGTTTCGAGACTGGCTGATGATGTCATAAGTCCTGATGAGCACAAATGAGATAGCATGATTGAACATGTCATCATCAGAATCTTCAAGGTCATCATTAGGGTGCCAAGTGGCATCAACATCCATCAGATCAAGTTGCATCTTGGATTCCACCATCAATGAGTGCATGATGGTGGTCTCAATGTTGTCCAGGAGGTGCTGTTTGTTGGAAGTGCACACCATGGTTGAAGTAGAGGGCCAGAAATAGGAGAGGATGATGTGGTCTGAAAGAGAGTCCAAAGCTACAAACACAATGCAGCTGAGTTCTGTGCAGCTGGGTTCTGCACAGCTGATTTCTGCGCAACATGCATGCTTGGAACCGGGGCTACACCAATCAGCATCTTGTATGTGGAACAATTCATCACATTGAAGCAATCTACATTTGAGAGATTACATGGAAGACTGGGTATGGGGTATGCTAGTCATACATATTGAGAGCTAGCTTTACAGAGAGCAATGGTACAACAAGTTGGAAACACAGGAACAGAACTTGGAGAACTCAAAAGGAACACCATTCTTGCCAAATGGTCTACTCACAAGCTGAATCACTATTGTCCTGCTGATCCATGGCAAGAACCAGTGGGTCAAGATCAAGATTGCTTTGACTACTTCCAGCAATGTTGCCAAAGGGTAGATTAGGGTTCATCATCTGCACCATCTCCATGAGCCAACCATGCTCTTCAGTTTGCATGCACTCTTGTCTCTCACTTTCTTCCCTGGCAAATTGAATGTGCATTTCCTCCCTCTTTGTGCATTCCTCCTCAACCTTGATTCATGCCTGAAGCATGTCTTGGGTGCAGGCCTGCACAATTTCCAACAGCTCTTCTTGCTTGCTCTTGGAAGTGAAGGGTCAATACTTCTTGGGTGTTGTACCTGTGGCTGGAGAATGGTAAACAGAGTCACCATCACCATTGTCCACTTCATCAGCCTCAAAAGTGGTGCTGGATGAGTGCTGGTGGGTTGGAGTGTCTATAGGGGTAATGGTGAAGGGGGTGGGGCCAATCGAAGATGGGTTGGATGAGGAAGAGAAGGGCAAGCAGGATGAAGATGAAGCAGCAGCTGGGGTGGCTGCAACTGAAGAAGAAAAAGATGAGATAACTCTTGCTCCAATGGGATCATTTTGTGACTCCTCAAGAATGGATTCCATGCCAGGAATGTTGCATCACTGAGGGTAGTGAGCATCGCTGGCATCATCCATGTTCACATCAGCATCAACCAAGTTATTCTGAGAGGAGGCAGGGGTGGCATCATATGGGTGACCAGTGAGAAGAACAACTGGACCAGTCTGTGCACAGTTGGTCATCATCTCATGCCAGTGCTCAAACCAAGGGTGGCTTCGAGCAATCGATTTGCATGTGGCATAGTCCTGCAAGTTGATAAAGAAGCATAGACAGAGATATAAAGTATAAGAACGTTGGCACACTTAACATGAATCAACTAAGTTGTACTTACCAAGCTGTTGTGATCCATGTCTTGAAGAAGTACTCCAGCACTGGTCTGCTGTGAGATGGTCTTCTTGATGTTGTTGTATTGTTCAGTGAGCCAGCAAATCTTAGTCTTTACTTGACCAGCACCACCAACAGTAGACTCATCTGGGAACAGCTCCTGCCATATCTGCCTGCAGATAACATCTTTGTTTGTCTTCAGACCCTTTTCCTGTTCCACAGTCAAATGTCCTGGCAATAGAACACGTTGGTAATGATCATTATTGTAGATGATATCAACGAGGTTATTTATGTCACTAGGTGACCAATTGAAGTAGGCAATATGATCTGTTTTGTTGAACCTGCTGCCACAAGTACTGGCTTGATGTCTGCAAGTTGCAGAGATTCAAGTTGGCTGGGTAGAGGTTTGGCAAGGCAAAGAACTGGCAGATGTGGTGGCATTGGAACCAGAAGGAGTGGAGGAGGACAAAGGGGAAGTGGGAGAGGTTGCTGGCTGAGTCAACTCAGCCCCAGCCAAGGTGCTGGAAGTTGCAGAAGGGTGGTGCTGATGAGAGCAATCAAGGTTGGACTGAGCTGACATTATTGTGTTGTGCTGTGAAGCAGTTGAAGACTGCTCTGATGCTGGAGCCAATCCAGAGGCTCGCTGCAAAGCTGTGAATAGTGTAATGTTGTTGATATGGTTGTGAGGGGATGGCATGTCCATGTCCTGGCACTGACAGGGAGGAAATGCTACTGGAGATGGTGATAGAAGTGAAGCAAGGACAGATGTAACTCAAAGTGTGAGAAAGTGTAGACAGTGCAGAAAGTGGAGGTCAAGGGTTGTGCACAGAATTGTGTTAGAATCACGTGATATCAGCACATGACAAAAACTCCTGCTGAAAACTCAAATATTCAGAAACCCAGGCTCATGGCAAAAATAAGTAGGGGTTTTCAAAACTTCCGAGCTTTTCTTTCCTGGCAGAGCTTACTTAAGCAGTGAGCTTTCAAAATCCAAAAAAACCATGAAAACTCGGAGTTTTGAAAACTCAGAGAAAACTGAAACCCCCTTGTGTGTGTGATTTGGATGTGTGATTTGGGTGTGTGATTTGGGTGTGTGATTTGGGTGTGTGGTTTTTGTGTGACTTCTCTCTCCTTGTGTGCCCCTTGTTCAAACGGCGACTTGCACGTTGTCTGAACCCTTTCTGACCTTCATCCTACACCGCCAAACAGATGATATTCTTCCGCATCATCACCTCCTCTAGCATCACAACAGTCACACTCACCACCTCGGTACTTTCACGCAGCACCCAGTCGTAGCTGCTACCGCTCGTCTATGTATTGAGGCTGCCCAGCTCTTCAGGGCAAGATAGACGGCAGCCGCGAGGCATCTCGGTTTCAACGCTACTCGGAAAAGATATTGATTCGTACGGCATAGAATCTTGTGTCCCTCTCAGCGCAACACACACCGCGCCTATTCTCCTCCTCACCACCACCACTTGTCGCTCTACAGCATTCTACCCCTATAGCATTCTACCCCTATAGCATTCTACGATGCGGCTCACAAACGCCTCAGCACTCAACCCACCCTCTTCGCCTCAACTGCCTCCATCTCTAGCCCAGCCTGATGACGCTCGCAGACTAAACCCACGTCAAGCTCAGTCTTCCTCTTCCTCTCCATCATCTTCACCATCATCAGCATCCACTTCCTCTCGCTCCGGCAATGTATCATCTCCAGCATCTAGCACAGCCTCAGCATCGCAATCAGCGTCACAACAACCACATCACTCGTCGTCACCACCACCATCATCATCATCATCATCATCATCATCATCATCATCAATATCATCAATATCATCATCATCTTCCGCATACTACCCCTCGTCTACATCCACATCTTCCGACTCATCTTCATCATCTGGCGGCCGTGCGGCCGTCGGTGGCATGAGCTCTCCCGCTTCCGGCTCGCTCGACAGCACACGCATCGTTCTTTCTCGCGGCTTTGCCAATGGTCAGCTCACCTACACCGTCCCCATCACTGCCGCCAATCAGCGAATGAATGCACAGCTCGACACAGGTAGCGGTGATCTCTGGCTTGCCAATCAGGACTGCGACACAGACTCATGCAGAGGTCACCAGGGTCTCACTGTCACCAAGTTCAACGATCGTGCAGACTCGGTCGTCGACCAGGACACACCTTTCAGCATCGACTATCTGCTCGGTTCAGCTTCTGGCAGAGTCAAGACCACATCCATGCTCTTGGGCGACTCCATCACTTCACGCCTCATCATCAACTCGCAAGCCTTTGGTTCGTGCAATCAGGTTGCCAACGAGGATATGGATTCAGGCAACTTTACCGGCATCATTGGCTTCGGTCCTCCCGCCAACAGTCTCATCCAGGCCGATCTCAATGCGACAAGCAACACAGCATACCGCAACGTTGACCTCCGTCCACCAGAGACCGGTGCTGTCCTTGCCGGCTTGTGGTACAACGCTCGTCCTGGCCGCAGATTCGTCGCCCTCGGCCTCCAGCGTCTTGAGGAGGACGGAGGAAAAGGTGACAGCATCTTAACCATCGGAAACCACGATCCTTCTTACGCTGGCAGCTTTAACCCCAACATCAACTATACCACCGCCATCGCCGATGCAGACGGCGTCGTGCGTCATTGGCGAGTCGCCCTTACAGATCTCAGCGTCCAACTCCAACACGCTATCACTGAGCCCATCCCCATCGGCACCTCGAGCGTCATCTCTGGCTCGAACCCCATCGCAGTCTTTGATTCCGCTGCCAGCATCAATCTTGGACCGGTCAGCACCCTCAACGCCCTCTACGGCGCATGGGGCATTGGGCCTGCCACGGATGGCGGATACTATGTTCCCTGCGACCTCCAGCTCAACATCACTCTCGGCCTTGGTGGCATTCAGGTGCCCATCCACCCTCTCGACGCCAGTCTCCAGACAGGCTCGGGCAACGGTCCCTCGGGCGATCGTTCGATCTGCCTCGGATCTTTCCAGGCCCTCCGATCCCTCTCTGGCTCCTCGAATGGCGCCAACCTCAACTCGAGCTTCCTCCCCGCCGATTTTGTCCTTTCTCCAGCCTTCATGCGAAGTGCTTATACCGTCTTCTCGTGCGATAATGGTCTCGATATTGCCGTAGCCGCGGCGGCTAACATGACCCCTAGCAGCCCCTGTCAGGCTGCAGTAGGTCTGCGACCGCTTGTCAATATGACCACCGCCACCCAGCAGTTCACTGCCGTGCGCATCAAGAAGCAGACTCTCGGCCAGTCCGGTCTGCACGGAGGACCGGGCATCTCAGGATCTGGCAACTCTAAAGGCCTTTCGGAAGGCATCAAGGTCGTCATCGGCTGTGTCGTCGCAATCATTGTCATCGCTGGTCTCTTTGGTGTCGCGCTTTGGCGTTTGCGAAGGCGGCGTCGCCGTGTTGCTGTCGCACGAGCTGCTCTTCTTGCAGCACAGGGCGAGAAGCCTGCAGATCCAGGAGCGGGCCCAGGCAACGGCTACAGTGCAGTCGGCGCTGCTCACGCAAACAAGCAGAGCAACCCTTACAGTCTCGTCAAGATCGACGGCCTCAGCGTGCCCATGCAGGTCCTCGGCAAGGACGACGACAGCAGCAGCAACCTAGTCCTCTCGCCTGCTCAGCGTGCCAAGGCGCGTCAGCTTCACCATATTCACGGTCTCTTTGATGACGAGCTCCAGGATGACGAGGCTGGCCGTGGCGTCGACCCACAATGGGGCGAAGAGGCCCCCGCCAACAAGCACAACCTGCAAGCTGCAGGCCTTCTCAGCTGGGATGTCTCTTCTACCGGCTACGTCGATGCGCGCAAAGTCAAGAACGCATACCTTGCATCGCTCACCGAAGACGAACGCAAAGCTTTCCTCCAGGCCAAACGTCAGCAGCCCGACTTTGGCCGCAGCTCCATCCAAAACCAATTGCAGACCCTTGACGAGCGCAGCGTTCAGTACACTCAGACTCAACAGGACGCTCACTCCCAATCGGACCACAGCTCACAAAACCAGTACCCAAATAACCACAGCAGCAACCGCGCCTCGTCGCCAGCACCTTTGCTCCAGCACGAACAACTGCGTTGATGTGATGGTTCAAATTGCTCAACATTTCTACATTTTCTACATTTTCTACATTTTCTACATTTTCTACATTTCCACATTTCTATCAACTCTCTTTACAGCCTCAGTCGTTTTCTTTCGCCATGTAACGGTCATTTTTCATTTTTCATTTTTCATTTTTTTCTCTTTTTTTTTCATTAGTGCTTTCTCTTTCGGCTTCCTTGGAATTCTTGCCTCAACATCTTGTCTTTGCCTAGTATGTCGAGATATCTGCTTTTGCTATTATCAAACTTGTTTCAGTTCCTTTGCATCCTTCGCCCATGTTGTTCTCTCTCCATTGTCTTGTCTGAGTATTTGTGATTGCTGGTTTGCAGTGCGCTAATGTCTGAATATTGACATGTTTCGTTTGTGTGGTTCGATGGATCTATGGGATGTACAAGCGACTGAAAGCTTGAACTGGTGTTCTACACGTGGGACATAAGTGTGTAGTTTCATCTTCTCTCTGTCTAGCAAGATTGTTGGTTGTCGTATTGCGACGAGTTGGGGGATGTGAGGCAAGGTGTTCCCGGCATTGCATGCAGAGGCATAAGCAACGGCAGGGCCAGCAAATCACGTTGCGTTCTTCTGTACAGCACACAACGCACAGTCTTGGTCCTTGGTCCTCGCCACTACGAGATGGCAATCCTTGCAGACTGTTACCGCCTCTGCGTCGGTTGATGAGGGATTGAGCAAGGTCCAAGTCTGCTTGTACTGTAGCTGTCGGGGTGAAGGATGCACAAGTGGAAAAGCATTCATCCGGGCCTCCTGTGGAGAAACGGACGAGCGAGTTATAGCCTGACCGTGTCAGTGGAGCTTCATGTCTCGGTCGAGTAAGATGAGCTAGCAGCAAGCGATTGAATGCCTCCCTTTCAGAACCAAGTGTCAACTGTGTCAACATAGTATTGCTGTCCATGCTATCTTGTTCTGCAAATAAGTCTAACTCCTGCAGTAAACCAGAAAGCTCGTCGGTCTGGATTTGCAATTCTTGCTCCCATCCTGAATCCTGATCGTCATCTTCTTCCGAACCGACGCAAACCTCAAGCTCATCTTGTACCTCATTGTACTCATCCTCCTCCATGTCACTATCCGAGGTAGATCGTGCCACTTGCATACTCTGAACCCTATCATTGCCTTGTGTTCGACTTGCAAGATTGTCGAGACCTGGCCGAGCTTGGAGCGACCAAGTATCCTCTCGCGTAAAGCCTGCCTCCTCGAATGCCGACTCGGACGGATAGAATCGAGACAGGTCGAAGAGCGAGCGCGTAGTCGTTAGTTGTGCCTGCTCTGAGCGACCAGCGGTCAAAGTCGGTATTTGATGCTGCTGTCGATATCGTTGCTGCTGATCTCGATGCTCGCGGTGCCTCCGTGCTTCTGCGGCCTGACGTTCTCTTCTGCGCGCCTCACCATTGCGGCCGTGCCAGACGAGCCGTGCAAGTCCAAGTGTTCGATAGACCGAGCGAGGAACGCTCGGATCTGGCAAACCCGTGATACGCAAGATCTTGCGGAAAATCATCATGGCCAGATTGCGTAGCACCAGCAAGGTCACGACGAAGAACTGTATCAATGCGCGTACACGTGACAAACCTGCATGCCCCAAAGTTGAAGACGAGCGATTCTGTCCGGTCGGCTCGATGCGGACTTGCTTGACCTCTCGCGACAATCCACCTGAGCTTACACGGTGAAGGGATGATGTTGTTTCCGAGGTGAGATGTGAGGCAGAAGAGCGAACGAGGAGCGGATCCACGAGCTGGATGCGGCCACTTGGGCTCAACTCGATATAAGGGGCGTCCCATGCAACCAGCGGTTCGACCTCACGCTCTAGCCCCGTAAGACGAGTCGACTCCATGCATGCAGTTCCCAGCTTGAAAAGCGCAAGCGACCAGTCTTCATCTCTGCAAGGAAGGTTGGAACGCGAAAAGACAAGACGATCCCGTTCGATGCTGCCCTCGAGCAGCAGCATTGTGAGTGCATGCAGTGTTACTGTCAAGAGCACGATCATGACGAGTGCAATTTCCGGTGTTCTGCTGAGCGCTTCCAGGAAAGGATAGCGTCCCGAGTTGGCAGCCAGTGCATAGTGAAGCAGCGATCCGATGCCGAACAAGCTCGAAATCACCAGCCGGGAAGCATAGACAGGCCTGCGACATCGCGAAAGTGCAATCGTGAGGATCTGCAGCATCTGAAGGAGGACGCATAGGTAGACGTGTTCGTTGGCGGGTGCGTCGGGTGAGAAGGAGTGGAAGTGAAGAAGGAAGGCGAAGCCGACTAGGTTGAAAGCCGGTGGTTCATCCCTATCCGCGTCGAGATTACGGACCATGGAGTCGCTGACCACCGCTACGCATGTGGAAGTGAAGGCTGCCCAAAGTGCTGAGGCATCTCGAGCTCGGAGAAGCTCATCTCTGCTGCTGGCGCCGAAGCGGTCTTGTGCCCATCCTGACATTGGCGTATTGGCGAGCCAAGCGTTCCTCCATGATGCGGTGGTGCAGCTGCGCAGCAACAGGTTGATCAGGTTCGACTCTACAAGGAAGGCGTCTGCCACGACGATGGTCAAGATGAGCACGGAGCGAGCTAGCAAGATCAAGCTGGGAAGGCGGAGAGCGATGCGCTGGAGCTGGGAAAGGCAGCACATTGCACCTCGGCGAGGTCGGCAGATATGCTGGACACGGTTATTGACAATGGCCACAATTACGAGTGCGAAGGCGTAGCGACTGATCATAAAGCTCCAAGGACTGTCGTTGAGGCTATCCCATATGTCGAGTCGGTCTACTGTTTCGTCGGCGTTGAAGTTGCTTGCCGAAGAAGCAGAGTTGCTTGCGCTACGTTGATAGACAGCTCGTCGAGCGCTGCTAGCACGCCAACCCATCTCATTCGAAGAGGCAGCGTCGTCCGAGAAGAGATCATCGAGCGGTGGAAAGAGAAAGTCGTATGCGGCTCGCAGAGGAGCTCCGGTAGTCGACGTCAACCATTCCTTGGTGTGATGGTAGGCATCGGAGATCTGGCGAGGCATGATGACCGACGCTCAGCTGATTAGCCGCTTTGCTTTTGAGACCGAAGCAGTTTCGACCTCTCAGTGCTCTTATAAAGGTGACTGAGATATATGAGGTGGGCTGACAGAAGGAAGGCCTGAGTTGTATCCTTGTCAAGTATTGTTCTCGTATCGAAAGCATGAAACGCTTTCAAAGACCCGAGTCCCGAGCTGACCAACGTGGAGGTTTCGCCGCAAAGCGGAGACTGTGTACTTACGCGGTCTAACAATGTCCATCCAGCCATCACGGAAACGGTATAGCCGACTTGCCGGTTCCTTTATGCCTCTTTCTCTCTCTCTCTCTCTCTCTCTCTCTCTCTCTCTCTCTCTCTCTCTCTCTCCCACCTCAGTCCTTTTGCTCAGTAAGGGTCCGTGCGACACTTGTACACCGCAACTAACCCACGTATACACTCCAAAAGCAGTTCCGCATGCCAACGGAGGCCTTGTTGTTGACAGCCATCACTTCTGCTTCCCCGCCTAGCCTCTTGGTCAACGCTGCTGATTTGCAAGTGCGAAGCCTTTCAATATGTCCGCCCCTACCACCATGAAGGCCGTCGTCATCCAGGGCCCCGAGAAGGTCGCTGTTCTCGAGCGCCCCATCCCTAAGCCTGGGCAGGGCGAAGTGGTGGTCAAGGTCAACCTGGCCGCCCTTTGTGGTTCGGACTTGCACATCTACCGTGGTCACCAGCCTGTCCCCAAGTACGACTTTGTCCTCGGTCACGAATTTGTCGGTGAGATCCATGAGACGGGTGCTGGCATCAAGAACTGGAAGAAGGGCGACAAGGTTGTCTCTCCTTTCACCATCTCTTGCGGTGACTGCTTCTTCTGCAATCGCAGTCAGACTGGGCGATGTACGGAATCGCGTGTCTTTGGCTCTGTTCCTCTCGACGGTGCACAGGCAGAGTACGTGCTGGTTCCACTGGCAGACACGACGCTGTACGCGATCCCTGAAGATGTGCCCGAAGAGATCATGCTGCTTACCGCCGACATCTTCCCCACGGGCTACTTTGTCGCTAACAACGCCTATACCATGCTCAACGAAACTGAGCGAAAGGATGTGACAGCTGTTGTGATCGGATGCGGTCCTGTCGGTCTCTGTGCCATCACTGCTGCTTGTTCTTTCTTCAAGAGGGTCTACGCTATCGATTCTGTGCGCGAACGTCTTGCGGAGGCCAAAAAGCACGGCGCGATCGCTCTCCACCTCACGGACGATGATCCGGTCAAGAGGCTCAAGGAAGCCACCGAGGGTCGAGGTGCTGATGTTGCACTCGAGGTCGTCGGTGCTGAGCCTGCACTCCAGCTTGCCGTCCAGATCGTCCGCAGCTTCGGCGTTGTCTCGTCTTGCGGCATCCACACTCACGCCGTCAAACTGGAAGGTCTGGATCTTTACAACAAGAACCTGCGATTCCAGTTCGGTCGATGCCCAGTTCGCGCAGTCTTCGACCCGGCTGTCAAGCTTCTCTCCAAACACCACGACCTGTTCAAGAGCTTCATTCAGCACACGAGACCTATCGAGGATGCTCCCGAGTACTACAAGCTGTTCAACGAACGGAAAGTGCTCAAGACTGTCTTCAAGATGAACCAGGCTAACTAGGTAGATCTCATTGTCCACGCTTGTTGTTTGCCTGTCTTCGAGGACTACATGCTTTGTTGCTTCTTCCATGTGTGAGGATATGTGTGAGAGCGGTGCGAGAGGGACTGACTGAAGTCAAGTTGCAAACGTCTATGCTCAGCGTCTATGGAAGAAAGACTATGGAAGGCTGCGCTGACGGTGTTGAGCATTGCACCTTTTTACCGAAATGAGCTTGGGCGGCCGATCTGGACAATGGAAGGTGAAATTGCATCACGTGATCAGACATGAAGGCCTAGCAAGCCTGGTTCGTGCCTTGACGTGCCTTGATGTTATTTTTAATAGATTTGATCGTGTTAGGTCTAGGTCTATAAAATTTCGGGGTTTGTTTCGTGCGATTGAGTCCAGGCGGGATAGGTTTGGCGTTGGGAATGTCAAGCTGCCCTTAGACGTCATCTTGTCCATTTGTTGCAGCATGCAGTTCACAGTGGCAGTCCACAAGATGCTCAGCCGCTCAAGATTGGGCCCAGAGGGTTGATGAGGGCGTTCGTGTTGATGTTTGCGGTTGCATGGTCGGCCTTGCCCTTGTGCTTTGTGCTTTGTCTCTTGCAACGGAGCCCAAGATTGCGCATCCACTTGTCTGGCTTGCAAGTTTCTCTTTGCTGTTGGCAATTTGCGAGATTTGCAAGAGCAGCTTGTCCCTCTGCCTGAGCTCAACTGCAAGGAAGCGCTTGGTATGGAGGGAGAGTGCAGTCTCGGCTTGCAAAGAGAGGAGTTCTTGCTTGAGATTCGCGCCGAGAAGCATGCCTTCCAGGTGGTCCTGCTGTTCAGTGAAAAGTCACTTCTGCCTCGGCGTAATGACAGATCTGTCCGGACTGTTGTCCCTCTGTCTTGATCGTGAGGAGCTTGTGTCTGCTCACTTCTACCATCTATCTCGCAACTGCCCATCAGTCCTCTCGCACAGCCACAGCCCTTCTCACTTGGGCATCATTCTAGCACACCTCTCTCTGGCCTGATCGCACCTCTTATACAGATCATACCATCCCCTCTGCTAGAAACCCATCGACCAGAAATTCTTGCTACTCGTCTCCCAGTCCACCAAAGGGCCAATCCAACAGAGGGCCAATCCACCAGAGGGCCAACATGTTTGGTCTTATCCTTCAGCTGCTGGCGCTCAGCGCACTGCTCGCGACAAGCACAAGTGCATCGCCTGCATCGCTCTCCTCGCTCCCACTGCAACCACGACAAATGACGGCCAACATGGAGGGAAGCGATCTCTTGAAGCAATGTGTCGATCGCTATAACAGGTCCAGGATGAATCCTCTCCCGACACCTGGATACTTGAACCCGAACAATGCCACCAATGGAAGCATGCTCACTGTAAGTTCTAACAAGCGCCCACCTGTCGAATAGCGATCATCCAGCCTTCTACCACTTCATCTCGCTCAATTTCCAACTGATCTGCTTTCCGCTTGGACCTGCTTTCCGCTTGGACCTGCTTTCCGCTTGGACCTGCTTCCCGTTTGGACCTGCAGATCTGGCTTGACGGTATGCCAGGAGAGCCGATCAACGCCATCATCTCTGCCAACTCCTCTGCACAGGTGCTCTGCCCCGAAGGCTTTCTTCGCTATGCCACTTCCATCAACTTTGGCGTCTCGTGTCTAGGCAACACCAACGGCACTGACCAGTACGCCAACCTGGGCGATGGCTTCGGCATTCGCTCTCAAGGCAACTACGGCGGCGGCAACGGTGTCCTTCGATGGAACTACGGCGATCCCAGCTTCGGCACTTGTAAAGAGTCTATCGAGGGTGACAACCACTTCCGATGGTTCCTTCAGAACGGTACCGATGCCTTTACAGGAGCCATCTTCATCGCAGCATCCATGGAAGAGTCTGCTGCATTGGGACACAAGGTTCAACTCAACGGCTACAATCGAGGACGAGATTACTTGGTGGGCAACGCGACCATGAATGCAACCACAAGCTGGAGAGGCTACGTGTACAAGACGACGGTAGAGTACATTCCAGCAGGCCTCTTGCTCAACGCCACATCGGAAGGTGTCAACCACCCTGACGTTGCGCTGCCCGGCCAGCCAGTTCAGGATGGTCGCGTGGCACTCATGACGGTGACCGTGCTGCAGGAAGCACAGACAGCAGGATCCCCTTCGTCCGCCAATGCTGCTGCAAGACCGTGGAGTCTCGCTCTTGGAAGAGCACTTGCTGTCTCGGTGCCATTGGCAGTGTCACTTGTAGCATGATTTTCTTGTTTCATCTCTCGCTTGGTTTTGTTGCTTGCTTGCTTGCTTGCTTGGTTGCTTGCTTGCTTGCTTACATGTTCCGATAGACAGTCACTTTTCATAGAGCAATACAAGGGATATAGATGTCTGGTGTCTCCTATCAAACCAGGCTGGAAAGAAAAGGCAAGAAACAAGGCTTAGAGAAGGGTGCAAGCTTTGCTCTTGCAGTCACGGCTTTGCGGTCTTGGCAGAGCTTTCAACTGAGAAGGCGAGAGAAAGAATAGACGAGTGACTGATGCCTACGTATTGCCTCTGCCCAGCCCCTCTGCCCGCCCAAAGCCCCTCTCCGCATTCACTTACTCTCTCTGTCTCTCTCGGTGCTGTGGCCTGTGGCCTCTCATTGGCGGTTGCCGCTTTTCTCTAGTCCTTTGCCTGTGTTTCATTGTTGGCCTTGTTTCATTGTTTCTTTTTTGCCCTTGTTCGCTTGCTCAGCTTTGCCTGCCGTCTCGTCTCTTTCTAGACCCTTCCTTTTGCTTGCCTTGCTTGCTTGCCTTGCTTGCTTGCCTTGCTTGCTTGCCTCTGCCGGTCCACTGGCTGCTACTCCGTGGAATAGACAGCTTTGTTCTGTCAGACCGCCGCTGGCTCTCATCGACCCATTCGTCGCGCCTTGCGTGATCCTGTCGCTCGCTTTTCTCCCAAGGATATCCTCATCCTCCTCGACATCCTCTCCGCCAATATCGCTCCTACACGCCTTTTTTCAGTTGAAGTCATTCGTCAGCGTGTTGGAGTCATTCGTCAGTGGTTGGGGTTGAGGTGTCTTTGTTGATGATGGTAGTAGGAGAGAGAGAGAGCAAGAGAGCTAGGACTCTATATATACAAAAGAAGAGCGGCGGAGAGCCGTATTGACTGCGGAGCATAACAAAGCATTTGCCTTGAGTAGGTTGTGACACATGTGGTCCGTGCTAAGATGTTCAGGCCTTTTACTCAGCCGTAAGCACTACCTTCACTGTCTCTACGCTTTGTGTGGCTTTATCTACTTCAACTCCCCCCCTCAACAGCATATGTACCCTGTTCATTATGCTGTTGTTTCAAGGTGTGACCTCCGTTCTTCAACACTGTCGCATAGCTCGGCGACCCCGTTTCGTACACTGCTGCCAGTATTTGCAGGTGTAGCCCAGATCTTGCTTGCTGCATTGCCTGCCTCCCAATGGGCTTCGTGAGTACGTCTGCCAAGTTTCTTGTGGTGTCTACGTACTTGATCTGCACCCTTCCCTCTTGTACATTGTTACAGACGAAGTGATACTTGGTGTCGATGTGCTTAAGCTTCCAGTGCTGTGCTGGGTCCTTACTAACCTGTATGCAACCAGTGTTGTCTGAGTAGACCGTCGGTGTGCCTGTGGCAATGCCAATTGAGCGTAGCAGCTGCTTGAGGAAGAGCACCTCATGTGTTGCTTCTGTGGCTGCAATGAACTCTGCCTCGACAGCAGACAATGACACGCATTTTTGTGTCGCTGACTTCCAGGCTACTGGGTTCCTGTACACTAACGCCACTGACCCCGATGTGCTTCTTCTCTGTATGGTGGCATCGCTTGCCCAGTTTGCATCGCTGTGTGCAACCAGTGGCTCTTGCGACTCACTTGCCCTATAAACCAATCCAACCTGCCTTGTGCTTTCGAGGTAGCGTAAGACCCTTTGTGCTGCCTGATAATGCTCCTGTGATGGTTCACGCATGTGCCTAGCGAGAACACCCATGGTGAGACTAAGGTCGGGCCGGGTGCTGTTGGCAACCCAGAGCAGCTTGCCAACAATCACCGGATACTCCTTCTGTTGTGCTGCGCTTGCGACAAGGGTTCCCTCCGGTATGCTCTGCATTGGAACCATGGTCGGCTTCGTGCGTTTGTCCAGGTGCTTTGCCAGCACTTGGTCGATGTACCCTGACTGACCAATCGTCATGGTGCGCATCGCACAGTCTCGACTGATTTTGATGCCCAAGAAGTGAGAGACCTCACCACTATCTTCCATCTTCCATCTCTGACCAATCTGCTTCTTAACCTTTAGGACCATTTCCAGCCGTGGTGCTATGACTAATGTATCATCGACGTAGATGACCACAATGGCCATATCTTCACCCTGTCCCTTGGTGTAGATGCAGGGAGTGCACTCTACCTGGAAGAATCCCATGCATCGCAAAGACCTGTCGAACTCCTGATTCCATTCTTGCCCAGACTGCTTTAGGCCATATAGGCCCTTGACTACCTTGTACACCTTGCCAGGTGCTACTCCTGATCCTTCTGGTGGCTTCATGTAGATTGCTTCCTTTAACGTGGAGTTCAAGTAAGCCATAGTGATGTCCAGAGCATGTACCTCCCAGTTGTTCTGCACTGCTAGTGCTAAGATGGCTCTGATCGCTCCGAGGGGTGCTACTGGAGAGAAGGTTTCTTGGTAGTCGATCCCCTCTCTCTGTGTGAAGCCCCTTGCAACCAGTCGCGCTTTGTGCTTAACAGGTACACCATCAGCGTCAAGCTTCAGCTGAAGCACAACCTTAGAGTCCACAAGTGGTACTCCTGGTGGTTGGTGCACCACCTCCCAAGTCCCCATTGCCTCAAGTCCTTCTAGCTCCTTTCGTATTGCCTCCTTCCAGAGCTGGGTGTCCTCACCATTCATTGCTTCCCCAAGCGTTGGGTCCAGGTTCAGTATTGCTGTGTTGGCGGCACCCACTGTGCTGTCTACAGCTGGTAGGAGATCCTCCACTGCGGTCTCTGATCTGGTCTCCTCCTCTACTATGGCTGGCGTGACACCCTCCTCCTCGACCTCCACGGTCACCACGGGCCTGACTGCCTCTTGTTGGCGATCACTCCATCCTTTGTCCTCATGGAACGTTGCTGAGTTGCTCCATTGAATTGACACAGGCTGGTCCGGGTTGCAAAACTTCCATGCTTTGTGTTCGTCATCATACCCAATCATGATGGCTGGCTTTGCTCTAGCTCCGTGCTTGCCTTGCTGGTCCTTCTGTTGAACATGAACCCATGCCAAGCATCCGAAGACTCGCAGTTGCTGGGCCAGCTTGTGCGCGGTGGTTCCATAAAAGGCCTCGTGGGGAATGGTTTTGGTGGCTGATGGGGTAAGGTTCATCACATGTGCTGCTGCTGTGATTGCGTACGGCCACAACTCTCTGGGGCAAGCTCGACCAATCAGCATCGAGCGCATCTTTTCTTGGACCGATCTGATTGCTCTCTCCACCCGTCCATTTTGGACGCTGATCCCCGGGACGCTCTTTTGCCACTTAAAACCCTCTTGAGTTTGCCAGTCTTCGGCTGCTATGCTGCACCATTCTCCTCCATTGTCGCTGCGGAGTGTTTTGAGTTTCCTGTCCGTTGCCCATTCCATCCTGGCTATCCACCTTCTCAGTGCCGTGAGTGCAGCACTCTTTGTGCAGAGTGGTTCCACATAGATCAGAGAGGAGAAGTCGTCCACAGCAACTAGTGCATAGTGGTAGTTGGCATGTCCTTTGAAATCTGTCATCAGGTCTACATGTACCAGCTCTAATGGTGCCTCCATTCTTTCCGACTCTGATTGGCTCATCCGTGCTCGAGTCTGTTTTCCTTAACTGCATGCGTTGCAGTGCTTCGACTCATGTTCCATTTCCTTGTCGGTACCTAGGTAATGGGCCCGGATTTGTCTCGTTTTGTCTCGTCCTGGGTGTCCGAACCTCTCATGCCATAGGTAGCTGTCTCGATGCTTCGTGTCCTTATTGCCCTCTGGGGCATTATCTAGTTTTCCTGTGTTCTGGTTGTCCTCTGGGACGCCATCTCGTGTTTCCTCCAGTTCCAAAGCCAGTGCTTGTCCTCGCACTTTGAAGTGGCCCTGTCTTCTGTCCCTTTTGAATTGTACTTGGGTACCATCGTTCTGCTTTATGGTAGTTCCAAACTCATCAAAGATTACTCATGCACCATTCTCGATCAAGCCTTGTACGGACAATAAGTTAGCATTCAGTTTTGGTACATAAAGCACATCCAATAGTTGGATGGTGGCCTCACCGACCCGAAGGGAGGCATCTCCTATAGCCTTCACCTGAAGCTTTTCATCCCCTGCCGTACTGATTTGGCCGACCTTGTTCGTTGAGGTGAGCAGCATTCTCTCATCATTTACCATATGATGGGTTGCACCTGAATCGATGATCCAGGTGTCGCATGCTGATTGCTCGCCCCTGTCGACTGCTAGAAAGGTGCACCCAAGTTCCTAGTGGTTCACCTCTTGTGTCATACGAGCGACAGGTTCGCTTGTGCCTTGTGCGTTTGTGCAATTTCGAGCAATGTGATTTGGTCCTCCACAAGCATAGCACTTTGGAGGGGCCAAGGGATTGCGAGGATCGTGCCTCCCCCTGGGTCCTTGCTCCGCCTGGTTGGCACTCCCCTGTTCCGCGTTTGTGGCGACCCTTGCTGCTCCTCTAATATGACCAGTGATCTCACCATCCTGCTGTTTCTTGGCCAGTGCATGGTAGGCTTCGTCATACTTGCAGTCTGGTCTGGCCGTTTTCAGTGCATCGACGGTGTTGGCATAGAACCAATCTTGAGCCATGCAGCGATAGAGAGTTGATTTCTTGAGGTCCTCGTTGAAACGCTTTCCGAGGCGTGCTGCATCGTTCCAGATCGAATCAAGTTCCTTGCCTAGTCTGACAACGTCTCGATTGTGCAAGCGCACTGTGTGGATACGATCCTGCAGTCCTGCTCGCTTTACAGCGTCGTTTAGTGTTAGTGCCTTCTTGAGTTTGGCATAGAGTGTGCTACCAAGTTGAACTTCTTCATCCACCCCTCTGACGGTGTAGGTGTCGATGCGGCTATCCGGGCTGTTATCGCAGCAGGCGTGGATGAGGCCCACGAGTGCCTTGTCTAGGTCTTCATTGTATTCCTCGCTCCTGGGTACAACGGTACCATACAGGATTTCCTTCGCGTTGTGCACTCTCTGGAGGCAGTCGATAAAGGTGGGTTCCCAGGTGTGCCAATTGCTATCGCTGAGCTTCTTGATGTGAGCAATGGAGCTTGATACGTCCTTGGGGATCTTTTCGGTCTCCCCGCGTGGAGCTTGGTTGCTAATGTTGACCAGACCCATGGCCCGTACTATTGCTTCCTCTGCCGATAGTGCCGGGTTCGCCAGCTGGAGGATCCTGACTACCTGCATGAGCCATCCTTCCTCCTGTCCATTGCTTGTGGTCGTTTGATCATCATCGCCCCTTCCCGTCTGTCCAGCTCTTGTCGATGGCAGCATTGCGTTGAGTGTCAGACTCTTAATCAGTTGAAGTCATTCGTCAGCGTGTTGGAGTCATTCATCAGTGGTTGGGGTTGAGGTGTCTTTGTTGATGATGGTAGTAGGAGAGAGAGAGAGCGAGAGAGCTAGGACTCTATATATACAAAAGAAGAGCGGCGGAGAGCCGCATTGACTGCGGAGCATAACAAAGCATTTGCCTTGAGTAGGTTGTGACACATGTGGTCTGTGCTAAGATGTTCAGGCCTTTTACTCGGCCGTAAGCACTACCTTCACTGTCTCCACGCTTTGTGTGGCTTTATCTACTTCAACTTTTTCTTCTTTTCTTTTCTTTTTTCTTTTCTTTTTTCTTTTCTTTTCTTTTTTCTTTTCTTTTCTTTTCTTTTCTTTTCTTTTCTTTCTTTCCCTTACACCACCTTTCATCTCTACTTTGTACGACTCTACTCTGTACGACTCTACGCTGTCCACCGTCGCCACTCACCTACACTTCACCACCTATACAAGCCCGAAAGCTCGTCGGATCTACGCAAAGGAAAGCTTGTTCCATCTCTCGCCCTTGTTATCCCTCTCACTGCTCTGTTTCGAAACCAACAGCACCTCGGAAGTACACCCACATGTTCACAACCATAACGCCCAGCTAACTTCCATCCGCACCCTCACCGCCACTGCCACCAAGCAACCTTTCCTCCAATCTGTCTTCTTATCTTGCACAGCTCCATCATCTCTGGCGCTCGAAAACCGAAAACCTTCGCGACGTGCACTCGCTCGCCCGCTGGTCGAAGGCCAAGTCTCAAGCGCGAGAGCGAGACACTACCCTTGCTTAACTTGTCCACCATGTCGTCGCCACCAAACAGGGCGATGCCCCCTTCGGCGCCTCCCCTAGCAAGCTATTCATCCAGTGCCAATGCCTCGAACCAATCACCTTCCTTGACAAGGTCTCCGACCGTGAGTCAGCCCTTCATCTATCCTATGCGATCAGCAGTCAGTCTTAAACAACCCCAACGTGAAGGATCAACTTCTCAAGACCGTGCTGAGCCCACCACTCCCTCTGCCCTCGCCAGTCCATCACGGCCGCCATCCGCCGATGGTCCCAAAAGCTCTGCCTCAGATATCATTCACGAAGGCCGCAACCGTCCAGAAGACGTTGACAGGCACGCCGACCGCGCCATGGCCCAGATGAAGGTGCCAGGCAATCAAGAAATCGACCTCAGAGATCACCTTGAGCAGCTCACCAGCACTCGCTTCGAATATGTCAAGACTGCAGAGGGCCACATGATTCTCACAGGCCGCGGAGGCAAACTAGCCCGGTGCGAGGACGAGCCAATCCACACTCCAGGTGCCGTCCAATCCTTCGGGTGCATGATTGTCGTCCGCATCTCTCCCCAAGGTGAAATGCTGGTGCGTCAGGCATCCGAGAACTCTTCCGACATCATCGGTGTCTCTCCACCCTACTTGTTCAGTTTACCCACCTTCCTCGACCTCCTCGACGAAGACCAGGCAGATCTACTGTGGGACAACATCGACTCACTCGACCAGTCTAGTCAGGACCTCGCCGAGACAGGCCCTACCGTCTTCCAGCTCAGCGGCTACAACATGGCCAGGTACGACCAACGCGTAGCAAAAGGCGCACAACCGACATCCTGGAACGCTTGGTGTGGAGCCCACATTCCGGACCGGAGAAACGATGCTGAGGGTGAGCTCACCGTCATCCTCGAGTTCGAGCTCGTCGACGACCTTCAGAATCCCATCTCGACTTTCTCGCCTCCATCATCTCCAGCCGCCGATCCAGATTGCTCCAACGGGCGCATTCCTCAGCAGCAATCCGACTCAACAGCCTCAGGCGCCGAGTCGCCTTCGATCAGCATTGCTACACTTCATTCCAGCGGCAGCAGTTCCACCACACTCCGAGACATCGGTGCGCGTGCTGGTCTTGATGGCCTCGCCTCCACGCCCTCTCCAGAGGAGCTGCGGGAATCGACGCTCGCCATTCACAAGCCGCTCAAGGCTCTTTCCCGCATGCGTCGCAATGCCGAAACCAAGTCACGCATACGTAGTCGTCGTCCTGCCGTGCTTCCAAGCACAGGCGGTGGCGATGGCACAGGTGGCATGATTGACATGTTCGGCATTCTTAGTCAGGTCAACGACCAGCTCGCCGCCCAAAAGGATCTCAACGAGTTTCTCAAAGTCCTGGTCGGTATCGTTCGAGATGTGACTCTCTTCAGCCGTGTCATGATCTACCAGTTTGACGAAGCTTGGAACGGTCAAGTGGTCAGCGAGCTCGTTGACTGGAACGACTCACACGATCTCTACCGCGGTCTTCACTTTCCCGCCACCGACATCCCCGCTCAGGCACGCGCGCTTTACAAGATCAACAAGGTGCGACTCCTCTACGATCGCGACCAACCTACTGCGCGAATGGTCTGCAGAGATCAGGCAGATCTCGATTTCCCCCTTGACATGACGCATGCCTTCATTCGAGCCATGTCGCCCATCCACATCAAGTACCTTGCCAACATGGGCGTGCGATCCTCCATGTCCGTCTCCATCACTGCCTTCGGAGAGCTCTGGGGTCTCATCTCGCTGCACAACTATGGCGCCCACGGTAAACGAGTCTCGTTCCCCATTCGACAGCTCATGAGGCTTATTGGCGAGTCCGTCTCCAGCAACATTGAACGTCTTAGCTACACTCGCCGCCTCTCAGCTCGCAAGCTGATCAACACGCTTCCAACAGACCAAAACCCGAGCGGCTACATCATCTCCAATGCCGAAGATCTCCTCACACTTTTCGATGCCGATTACGGTGTGATTGCCATTGGCAACGAAGCCAAGATCCTCGGCCCGCTAAATGCGAGTCAAGAGGTGCTGGCTGTCACAGAGTATCTGCGCTTGAAAAAGTTCGAGCACCTCGTAACATCCCAGGACGTACGTCGCGACTTCCCCGACATGGTCTTGTCTACTGGGCTGCACGTTATCGCCGGTCTCTTACTGGTGCCTTTGTCTGGCAGCGGTGTCGACTTCATCGCCTTCCTTCGCAAAGCGCAACTGCGCCATGTCAACTGGGCTGGCAAGCCATTCAAGGAGGGCAAAGAAGGTCAAGCGGCGCTCGAGCCACGTAAGTCATTCAAGATTTGGTCAGAGACGGTCGAGGGGACATGTCGTGCCTGGAAGGATGAGGAGCTCGAGACAGCCTCCGTCCTCTGCTTAGTTTACGGCAAGTTCATCTCGGTTTGGCGTCAGCGCGAGCAAGCGCTCCACTACAACCAGCTCAATCGGCTCTTGCTCTCCAACGCAAGTCACGAAGTGCGAACCCCACTCAACCATATCATCAACTACCTCGAGCTGGCCCTCGACAGCAAATTGGACGACGACACACGCGAAAACCTCAGCAAGTCACATGTGGCTTCCAAGAGTCTGCTCTTTGTCATCAATGACTTGCTCGACCTCACCAAGCAAGAGATTGGCCAGGAGCTTTTCCTGCAGGAGCCTTTCGATCTTGCCGCCACCGTGCGAGAAGCGGTTGAGATGCATGAGTGGGAGGCTAAGCGTCGCAAGATCGACTTCACTGTCACCACTGAACCTCAAGTCTGTCTTGTGCTAGGTGACAAGAATCGCGTTCGCCAAGTCATTACCAACACGGTCACCAACTCGGTCAAGTACACGCGCGAAGGTCAGATCACTGTCTCGATGCGCAAGCGCAGCGAGGAAGAGCGCGACACTGATTTGCCGCCTAGTTGCGATATGGAAGTGGAGCTCATGGTCAAGGATACAGGCGAAGGCATTCCGCAAGAGAAGCTAGAAGTCATCTTCAGAGAGTTTGAGCAGGTCGAATCGGTCATTGCCCAGCCGGGTCGACAGGATCCCGCTGTAGAAGTGGAAGCCAGTGAAGCCAGCAGCATAATCCGAACCGATCAGTCGGACAGCGGTCTTGGCCTTGGTCTCGCCATCGTAGCTCGTGTCGTCAAGAATCTCGGAGGTCAGCTTCGTGTCGACTCTCTTGTGAGCGAAGGCACTACTTTCACCTACTACATCCCCTTCTGCTCAGCCGAAACCACCACGCCGACCGAGATGCCCCCAAGAGGAGGCAGTGGCGGCAGCGCTACAAAGCGCGGTAGCGACACGATTTCGATGCGACGATCCAGCTCGTACGATAGCGGCAGTGCAAGCTCGGCAGCAGGCAAGAGCGAAATTGAATCGCTGGTCGAGGCCATACAACAACCCGTGTTGCGCGATCAGAGCTACATCGAGGAAGCTACTCAACAGAGGCGCAACGCCGATAGCGTTTCGCCTGTTCTCTCAAATGGTCTCAAGAATGTGACCGTTGGCCACAGCCGGCCAGGAATGCCATCGAATCGCAGTCACTCGTTCGACAGTGGCTCGCATCCTGTCGAGGGCAGCGGTGTTCCCGTTCGTTCTGTCAAGATCGAGCCGCAGGCTCTCGATGTCAATGACCGCGCTAACCGACGACCGAGCACTTCCGCTTACACGGCAAGTGCCACTACATCAGCGAGGCCCGTTCGCAACAGCACGAGCGCGGCCGACTCATTCAAAGCAGAGGTCGAGCAGCGCGCGCGACAGAATGTGCCGCAGCTGGCCAATGACGCACTGCCACTCAACTCGCAACAGCAGAGTTCCGAAGTAACTCAAGGCGCCCAGCCCGCTTCAGCGTCGCCATCGATCTCGCCACGTACGCCAGCCAAGGATCATCTCAAGACACCGCCTTCTGCAGCGCACTCGCCAGAGGCTGAAGATCCGCACTCCCCATCTCACGCCAGGGAGCGTCGAACGTCTTCGTCGTCCAACGCTGCCAAACGCCGCATGGCGGTGATGCGCGGCCTGCACAAAACTCCCAATCACCGCGCCGAGATGATTGCACCGTTGCGTGTGCTTGTTGTGGAAGACGATCCGATCAACCGCATGATCCTCAAGAAGCGACTGGGTCTCGATGGCCACACGACGCTGTTCGCAGTCAATGGCGAAGAAGGTGTCCGACAGTTCGAGCAGGATGCTAAAGAGATCGATGTGATCTTGATGGACCTGCAGATGCCCATCTGCAACGGTCAGGAAGCTTGCATCCGCATTCGTGAGCTGGAGAAGAAGTGGGCAGAGTCTGGCGAGCACGCCGATCGTCCCGCTTCACATGTCCTCAACGGCCGCGTGCCCATCTTGGCCGTGTCTGCAACGCTAGTCCCGCAGATGCGCGAGGAGATGGTTGACATTGGTATGGACGGCTGGATCCTCAAGCCTATCGACTTTGCTCGTCTCGGTGCATTGCTCAAAGGCTTGCTCCATCCTGAAGACCGCGTCGCCAATCACTGGAAGCAAGGCTACGTGTGGGAAAAGGGTGGATGGCTTTCAGAGCCCGCGCAGCGTTCGGTGCCCATTTCCACAGCATCCATCTCGGCAGCCACTGTCAGCGCCAGTGCCGTCACACAGAATCACAACAACGACAACAACAACAACAACAACAACGACAACAACAACAACAACAACAACGACAACAACAACAACAACAACAACAACAACGAAAGCTCGAACCAGTCGGTACCTCCTAGCGAACCGCTCAGCCCTCCGAGCGCCTAGAATCGGTCCGCATATCTATCCTGCACGCCTAAATCGAGCAGCAGCAACGGTGACCAACATCTGAGTGCAAGACAGTCACACTGCTCCGGCATTCACTTTATCTATCTCTATCATAGCACGTTTTTGGGTTTTCACTTTATGGGTATTATACACGACTATACCCTATTGCACTGCCAAGGATGTGATTCTTGCCTGTTTTCTCTCTTTCTCTCTCTTCTCTCTCGCTCTCTCTTCACATGTACTTGTATTGGTTTATTTCTTGCACGCTCGAACTCTGGGGATGGGGAAGAAATGTTGCGGATAGAAACAAGATCTTTCGGAAGCATAGAATGTGCATAGACTGACATAAAAGTAAGCATTTCCACAAGCCAAGACTTGTAGATTACAAGACTTGTCTCAATCACTTAGTACAGTGAGGAGCCTGAGCGATGATGGTGGCTAGTTCGATTTCGGTTGTGATGGGGATTATGTAGGCTTGGAATAAGCGAAGGAGGTTATCAGTGGTGTGTTTGGGGTAAAGGGTTTCAGCATCTCCATAGAAGGTTTGGGTAGAGGCCTTGGTTTTGCTGCGGACACGACTGAGGATGTTGACGACTTGTTTGTGATTGGTGAGGGATTCGAGGATGTCTTTCTTCTGGATGGGTTGGTTGGTTAGCAACTGACAGTACGTTTTCTTCTGGCTATCGAATTTGGCCAGTGCGATCTCGCGACCCAACAAGATCCGAGCGGAAACTAGCCTCAGAAGCGATGCGTCGAGCAAGATAACTGACGCCTGGTCGAGCATGAGATCGGAACTCTGGTCAACCTGAATTTTGGCCTTGATAAAGTCGACAATGTTATCTTCATCCTGAGGACGACGACCGGTAGGGAAGATTCCCTTTCCAACCACAGGTTTGTCGAGCACTGCATCCTTGGGCAAAACGACTTTTGTAACGTAGTTAACAGCGGGTGGGTAGGAGTTGACCGATGCGAAAGCATGACCAGACTTTTCCTCTAGCCAGTGCTCGTTTTCAGAGTTAGGTTGAGCAAAGAAATCCTTCTTGAACTTGGAAGCATCTGCGAAGAATTCGGCAGTCTTTTCTTCTTCACCTTCGATAGAGCCGTCGAGAGCTACTCTGGCGAGGTAAGTTTGGATGATGGGTGTCTCGTAGCGTTGAATCTTCTGGCGGTAGAAGTCGATGCGGTCAATAGGATCAGTCGGCGGAACTTCGACGCGGTCACCGTTGAGGAGGCCAGAGTTCGTGGCAGGGATGGCCTGGACCGCCGAGACAGCGAGCGCAGCAGCAACCAAGGAAGAAAGGAGCTTCATGATTGTAGATCGGGTTGAAGTGGATAGAATGCGACTGGAAAGGCTTAGATGAGCTTGAGGGGGATCAGAGAGAGTAGAGCCATGAAGTTGCCCTCATAATTATACTTTTGCTGCGAGCAAGTTCCTTTTCAAGAAGACGCTTTGACCTTGGCAAGGTGAGCTCCTGTCACTGAGATCCGTTCAAGTCCCACCAAGAAGCGGTGGAGATGAGGCGATGGGGCTGGTGAAGCTGGTGAAGCTCAGGAGTTGCGGCAGCGACAATGATGCCCACAACATGGCTTCTGCGACCGCACAAGATCAATTAGACTTGGTTGCTCGAGATCTTTCTCGATGTTTGCTCCAGACGAGATAGCACAGCCTTGGTGGGGCGAGGTTAGGCACACACGACCCTACATGTACCTCATTTGGTGGAAGAATGACGCAAGGTTACCCGAGGCTTGATGCTATGTAACTAACATGGCATTCACTATAGGGGTTACGGCGTCGAGGTCCCACTACACTAACTTCCAGGCTTGTGATGCAGGTTATTCGGAGATGAACGACCCGTGCACCAGAAGCCTCGAGCAGATGTATGCTAACGATAACGGTCCAGCAGGAAGCTAAAGTGACAAAGTATCGGGCAAAATCGATCTGGAATGCTATCGGGGAAAGCAGTTCTGATCGTAGATCTGGCCGAGCCGATATAGCAGGAATCGGGGTCAACTGGGTCCCGCTCCTTGACACACTTCGACATTAGATGGTATGCTCCCACTGTATATAGACATTTAGCCGAGAGCTCAAGGCTACCGTTATGTTTTTTTCTTACGTCAATATAGTACAGTGTTTAGCCCAATAGCTTGAACACTGTGCTTAGATTGACATCGACCGATAATCGTCGATAAGAGCCAAATCTTTCAACAATGTACCGTCTCAAGCCTCCAATGATCACAGACGCACTATTTGACGTGGTCACCTGACGGCCGACAAACTTTTGCTCTCTTGAACAAGCTACAGATGTCGACACTTTGACGGAACGTAATCCGATACAGCTGTCGGTCGTCGCAGGCATATGACAGGCGACGCGAATCGCCCTTCTCGGCCAAAAGCAGGGTTTCCCGCCATCGCGTCATGCCAACCCGAATTCTTCCACTGTCCTGGGTTTCAACAATGCAGCGGCTGTCGAAAGGTTTTGAGCTTTTTTCGCCGATGTCACGTGATTCTTGACAGTTTGCTGCCCTAGCAGCGGTGGTAGGGGGCGCGGGAAGCTGGTCGGAGGAGCGTTCGAGAAAGGTTACGGGCAATCATGTTGATGGATCCAGGATTTGGTGAGAGAAGTGATCAGGTTGACGATCGGTGGAGTAATAAAACTGTCAGTGCGCTCGCTTGAAAGGCTCACAAAGGCGTGGAAGCGAGAAGAAATGCAACTTTTCTCAACTTTTCCAGCCGCCATTTGGCAATTCGCAGAAGTAAAACAAGCCTGCAGACCGCGATGCGAAAAGGAGACGTCCCTTCTTTCAAACAAAGTGTCCTCGAAACTTTTTCCCACACCAACACTGCCCTTTGTTGAGCAATTCAAGCGATCAATACCAATGCCTAATATGCGCTCATTCGGACGGTCCTGTATCGTACGAGTCTGAATGTCAGTCTAGCAACCTTGTTCGAAATCGAGTTCGAGAGTTCGTTGTTTCTGTGAATTGCAGCAGTTGGGGGAGTATGATGCGTGTTGACACCAGATCAATCCCCTTCCAGACACACTTTGATGCACAATCCTTCACAACATCATGCGATGATAGTCTTGTATGATGAGGGAACAAGACGTGAATTGAAACCATGATCAACACGAAATGAAGCGAGCAAAAGAAGAGAAAAAGAGAGGAGCATTCGAACAACGCCAAAACCAAGAACTGGGCTTAGACAAGACCACCATCAGCTTCCTTAGACATCCGCTTCGGCCCCTCGTTCTACTTTGTACCTTTACCCTTCACGTCAGGAGCAGCATCCACGTTCACACAGGCGAATTCACTTCTGTTCTTTCCACCAGCGTCGGAACAACGCTTGCAGAATGTTTGATACCACCAAGTTATATCTTTGGGGTCCAGATCCTCTTTTCCACCTTTCTCTTTGCACAAAACATTGGTAGGGTCTTGCCAAAAGCACTCGGCGTTCTTTTTGGCTTCGTCTATAAACTTTTGAACATGGGAATCACTACGATCGCCATCATAGTCAGAGATTCCGTCATAAGGAGTAGATGGGAGCCGGCAGATACCGAGGAAACCACTGTCAGCATGAGTGGTGGAGAGGATGGAAGAGATGGTGATGAACGATGGAGCCTTTAGGTCGTTGCCTAAGGTGCTGCTTTTATCAGTAGTGTGGTCGCCGCTCCTAGCTTCAACACCACCATTGGCGAGGAAGAGGGAAGTGGCTACGAAAGCATAAACAAGAGATTTGGGAAACATCGTAAAAAAGGATTTGACTCCAGGTCGAGTTTGTTAGAAGATGTGAAGAGTTGGTGAAAGAAGGAGAGAGGTAGAAGGAGTGAGGGGGGCGTTTATATGCTTTTTCGATAGGTGATATGAGTAGAGAAGAGAGGACTCTATTTCACGAAGGTCCCATGGAGATGGTTCTCGTCGCTACGGGATTAGGTCTTGCTCGGTGCGAAAAGGGTGGTGTCCATTGGGTTCGAATCGGTGTTTCATTCAGTGGGTCTGAGTCGGCGTTTCATTCGGTGGGAAGGGTGGTGATGGTGGTGGTGGGAAATATGGCGTGGGGGTTATAGCATCTAACATAAAGGAAACTATGGACGACCCATTGGCAAAGGTTCCTAATCCCACGATAGAGGCTCCAACAACAGGTTGTGTCACGACCCACGGCGACGGCGATGGATGGCGTTGATTCAGGTGTCCCTTCTTTCAAACAAAGGGTCCTATATCGTACGAGTCTGAATGTCAGTCTAGCAACCTTGTTCGAAATCGAATTCGAGAGATCGTTGTTTCTGTGAATTGCAGCAGTTGGGGGAGTATGATGCGTGTTGACACCAGATCAACCTCCTTCCAGACACACTTTGATGCACAATCCTTCACAACACCATGCGATGATAGTCTTGTATGATGAGGGAACAAAAGGAACATGAATTGAAATCACGATCAACACGAAATGAAGCGAGGAAAAGAAGAGAAAAATAGAGAGGAGCATTCGAACGACGCCAAAACCAAGAACTGGGCTTAGACAAGACCATCATCATCTGTCCTAGGCATCCGCTTCATCCCCCCGTTCGACTTTGTACCTTTACCCTTCACGTCAGGAGCAGCATCCACGTTCACACAGGCGAATTCACTTCTGTTCTTTCCACCAGCGTCGGAACAACGCTTGCAGAATGTTTGATACCACCAAGTTATATCTTTGGGGTCCAGATCCTCTTTTCCACCTTTCTCTTTGCACAAAACATTGGTAGGGTCTTGCCAAAAGCACTCGGCGTTCTTTTTGGCTTCGTCTATAAACTTTTGAACATGGGAATCACTACGATCGCCATCATAGTCAGAGATTCCGTCATAAGGAGTAGATGGGAGCCGGCAGATACCGAGGAAACCACTGTCAGCATGAGTGGTGGAGAGGATGGAAGAGATGGTGATGAACGATGGAGCCTTTAGGTCGTTGCCTAAGGTGCTGCTTTTATCAGTAGTGTGGTCGCCGCTCCTAGCTTCAACACCACCATTGGCGAGGAAGAGGGAAGTGGCTACGAAAGCATAAACAAGAGATTTGGGAAACATCGTAAAAAAGGATTTGACTCCAGGTCGAGCTTGTTAGAAGCTGTGAAGAGTTGGTGAAAGAAGGAGAGCGGTAGAAGGAGTGAGGGGGGCATTTATATGCTTTTTCGATAGGTGATATGAGTAGAGAAGAGAGGCTCGGCGCGAAAGGGGTGGCGTCCGGTGGGTTTGAGTCGGCGTTTCATTCGGTGGGAAGGGTGGTGATGGTGGTGGTGGGAAATATGGCATGGGGGTTATAGCATCTAACATAAAGGAAACTATGGACAACCCATTGGCAAAGGTTCTCAATCCCACGTTAGAGGCTCCAACAACAGGTTGTGTCACGACCCACGGCGATGGCGTTGATTTCATTCAGCGAGAAGAGAACTTTGGAGATTCGGTGGGGCTTGGTTTGTGGTTGTGCTGATATCAAATGAAGGTTCCTCCATCTCCCATTCATCTCAACCAGAACTTTGCAACAAACTCACACGGCTTTCACAACAACGTTTCAGCACACGACACTCGATAACGAAATAGAGCAAGGTTGCAGTACTACTGAGGAGCAGTGCTGATCATAGTTGAGCTAGTACCTAGCTTGCTGTTCTTAGCGATCGATTGCCTTGGGGGAGTGTTCAGTTTGTTGAGCTTGGTGTTTAAGGAGAGCTTTGACGGCATTGCGGCGGCCAAGTAAGTTTCCATCGGCCTTCTTGATCTTATCATTGCGGGTCTCGGCACTGAAGCTGACTTTCTACCTTCCTCTAATGAACTCTATAGCTACATTGGAATCGTAGTCCTAGAGCTCGCAATCTTTGCTCTGTACTTCATCCTCAACCCTCGCGCTCGTAGACAAAGGCAAGAGCAAGAAGCAAAATCTGGATCAACTGCACCAGTAACAGCAGCGCAGGACATCGAGCAGACCCCCGCCGAAGCTGCCGTTGTCATTGAAACGCCAGAATGGTCAAGACACACAGCTTGGGATGAGAAGCCACCCACTCTCCCAACAAATCAGCAACACTCGCAGAATCTACTACCACCCGCATAGCATCACCCTTTTAGACGGACAAAGATATAGTCTGGCTCTCACACTGTATTTCTACACATCCAATGAACCCATTGCTTCCGTACACGTAGACAAGATTGGCACAGCAGTTCGGTGAGGCAAATCAACCTTCGTAACCCTCCTTGATCAGCCATCGTTCAATATCCTTGATCACCTTTTCATGGTTCTTGCTCCGAGCATCCATCACCGTCACCTTACCCTGATGAGCCGCTGTCCCCGCACCACCATTCGCCACAATCAATGTATTTAGCTTAGGATGTTTTCCAAAGAGCATCAACGCAGAAGCATCATCCAAATCACTTATCACCACCAACCCTGAAATCGCCGGTTTACCACCAAACATACTGCCGCCACCGAAGAGCTTACTCCAGAATCCACCTCCACTCTTGCCAGCTTGTGCGGGCTCAATGTACTGACTAACAATCTGAGAGGTAGCTTCGGGAGAAGCATCCGCAGCATGATGAACGAACAACACCGGTTGACGTTGTAAGTTGCTCATTCTGATCTGAGTGTGGAGCTCATCTGCCAGCTTAGCAGCGGTGCGGTCTCTTCCTTCGTACGTGACCGTATCCGTCGCTTCAGAGGGTGGGAGAGCAAGGTTCATCTGAAGACAATTGTAGCCGGCTTCACGGAAGTATCCGATCCATTGGAACCATTTTTCAGTTTCGCCCGAGCCTCCGACGAGGTTAGACATCAGGCTCTTCGCGAGGCCTTTACTGGTGGTGTTGGAGGTGAGAAAAACAAGTGTGACTGTTTGACGACTTGGTGCGGCAGGCGATGCTGGTCGGAGAAGGGTGGATGAACCAGTGACTTGCTTGCCTCCGTCAGCTGGCTTGTTGGATTCGAGAGGCGAGTTGACGGAGAAGGTGCGAGCTTCAGTGGTGCCAAGATAATACCAGCCTGAGCCAGCTGCTACAAGGCCACCGCCGAGCGTCTTAAGTGGCCATGATGCACGTTTGGGTCCGGCGTTGGGATGGGGTTGGTTTGGCTGGGTGTGGATTAGGCGGGAGGTGACGCCGAGGCTGACTGCTAGCATCGCAGGTGTAGCATGGCTGCCACGCAGCAACGTTTGTCTGGCTAGAAGAGGCAGTGACATGGTCTCGACGCTGACGATGATGCGAAGGCAACATGTAAGGTGGTGGAAACTGAGAAGGATGCACAATGAGAGGCCATCCAAAAATAGAAGCTGTGAATGTGGAGGCGTAAAAAGGAACTGAAAACGTGGTCCTTGCGTTCCCGCTTTCAAGCTGTTTTTGGCCTTATATATGCTTTGTAACGATGAATTGACATAAAGCTTCTTTAGCTCAGTTGGTACGAGCGTCCGACTGAAGAATTCAGTTTCACCAGTCGCCACTGTTAACAGTGGATACAAGGTATCGGGAGGTCACCTGTTCGACCCAGGTAAGGAGCAGAATATTTATTTATTTTTGCATTTTTTGCATTTTTTTTTTCTTTCTGGCACTTGGTTTTCTTTATACCACTTGCCATTTCGACAGTAGTAGCATGACAGTTCAGTTCGGTAGGTCGGCTGCAAATTGCATTCGAGTCCATCACGTCCGAAGCCGATAGTGCTGAATACCTAAGTGACGAGAGTTGACACGACTTCCGCGCTCCTTCATTTTGTCCACTGCCGGAGGACGATGAAGCTAAAACTTGTTTGTGTGCATTGTTCTACCCACTCGTCCGTGCGCTCTTAACAATCAGTGGCGCAAGAGATGCAGCGGTGAGTGGATCGACATGCGCCGAAGCACCCAGAGCGTTTCGGTGAGAGCCTCAATTTTACCCATGCAAGAGCTCTTACCAATCCTCGCTTCCTTCTTACTGCAACTCTGATCAATATGTTGACCCGCAATACCACCACATCTCGCATAACCAGCGCCAGTACCAGTGTTACTGGCAGCCATCCCAATCAGGACAACAGAGAGTGGACGCAGACGATGTCGTCGGACGAAAGCGAGCCAGGAAGCTCGAACAACGACTCCGACTCGGACGTGTCTGTGGTGGAAACCCGGAGTCGCAAAAGGCGAAAGACTGGATCGAAACGAGGGTACTGTATGTCCAGTTGGCGAAAACGACTTTGGGCACGCCAAGCCAAAGCTTGCAATCCTTGCCGTCAAATCCAGCAACGTTGTCAAGAGCCCGATCCGGACAGCTGCCAGCAACGTTGTGGCTATTGTCACGAGGAGAACGAAACACATGTTTATCATCACAACGAGGGATTGGCTATTACAAGGGTTAGTCATTGGGCTATGTACATTGTGCAGGGACACACCGAAGCTGAGGCGGATGTGCTGGTTTATCGAGACCTGGCTTCTTTTGGCGACCCAGCTGCAGAGAACAGCAGAGAGACAGGCATTGCTGCCCCAACAGAAGCCACTCCACCAGGCCAGCCGTCAAGCCCTGCAACCTCCAGCGTCCCCTTCAATGGACCGACCAATCGTGTACAAAAGCCAGACAACGGCTGGATCTATAACGACGTTCGTACCAACTCCTAGCTAGGGTCCGAACTCTTTATTGCTTCGCTACTAGTATCATCTGTGCCTGCTTTCAAATAGCAACCTATGCTGCCCCCATGTTGCGCCTCTTCTGATTAGTACCTTATACAGAGCTAGCATTTCTAAACGACGCCATGTCGATGCACCGTCACGCTCTGGCGTGGGCACAACTTGACGCGGGATAAAGTGTGGAGCCAAAAAAGCGCGTCTGTCGACAAAAGATCAACAGGGCATCAAACGTGGCCCCTGCGTCTGCCATTTTGCGCAAAGTCATCGACCTCATCCATCCAACCTCTCTCAACCACTTGATCCATACTGTCCACAAAGACGTCCGAACGTGCTTTTGGACGGCATGGTGTTCATCGTCAAGATACCCAATCGCTCGCGTGGCAACACACCAGAAGCATCGAATACTCCCGCTAACGAGCAAGCACCAAACATGGACGCACAGACCCTCCCTCCTCACGCAGCAACTTCGGACAACGGCTTCTTGCAGGCCAGCAACACAATGGCACAATACAGCCAAGCATATACGACCAGTGATGCTTCGAGCGCAAGCGTCAATGTACCGCATCCGCCGGAGGCTCAGTCACAACTCGGTGCAGAACTCGACGTTCTCGTGGCACCCGCCGTGCTCAACCACAGATACGTGCGAGGTATGGACAAGAGTCTGATTGTCGAGCGACCGGAACGCATTCGAGCAGTACTACTGGGTATCGCAACTGCAATCGGCAAGACCACTGTCGACGAATCCACTCCGCCTCTACCCACTCATAGCTCCTTCCAGTCTTCGGGTCTTGAGGGTCCAGCATCATCAACAACAGCAGCGCCGACAATCAACACACCAGAACAAGACGACGATGATCTTGTAGCACGACTCAACTCGCTCTCGGTCAATAGCGCCTCTTCCCAACAGGATGCAGTCCAAGCCCCTCAGCAGAAGTTCCGCGTCCTTCATTCGACACGGTCTCTGCTGCTCGACCCGCCTCATCCCGCCGTGGCCTTCACTCACGCTCACTCGGATGAGCTCGCAGAGGTTCTAGAGAGCGCTTATGACCAAGCAAAGCAGCGTAGGCGCGATGCTCGTGCTGCAGTTCCTGATCCAAACGCTGGTCCATCATCGCGGCACAGCGTAATCGAGGTCAAGCCTGAACGCGAAGCGACACCGACACCATACTCTGTAGCCGACATCGCACCGCAACCGGCGGCAGAATCAGCTCCAACCAGGCAGCGCATATCTCATGCAGCCTACCTCGAATACCTTTGCGCACGTGCACCCAACCATCCACCTGTCTCTCACGCCAAGCCGCAGCACGTATCGCCTGCTCAGTCACTACCCGACGACAGCGAAGCCTACACTTCGAGCGATGGAGAGGGCAATGATACCATGCACTTGTCCGAGGTTCCAGAACACCTGCCCCAAGGCGACTTGTATCTGGCAGGACCATCGGAAGAGGCAGGTATGGACGGCGGATCATCTGAAGCCATCCGGCATGCGATGGGTGCTTGCTGTGAAGCTGTTGATCGAGTTTTCGCTGCTGCCTCTGCTCAGTCCGCAAGCGCAAGCACATCCTTGCGAGAGATCAAATACGAGAACAGCTCCTCCTCCGATAGCAACGACGCTCCCCTTCCAGCCAAACGTGCCTTTGTCCTTTCGCGACCACCCGGACACCACTGCTCCGGCTCGACCCCCCAAGGCTTCTGCTGGGTCAACAACGCCGTCGTCGCCTCGGCCCACGCTTATCTCATCCATGCTATCGACCGAGTCTGCATCTTCGATATCGACCTGCACCACGGCAATGGAACCCAAAATCTCGTCTGGCGTATCAACTCAGATGCGAACAAACACGATGAAGAACGCACTGAACGGATCGCTTCTCTCCGAGCTGCTGCCCTCGAACGTGCTCGCGCAGCAATAGGCCCGGGTAGCGGGAGAGCCCATGCGGCAAAGCTGGCGAAAGTTGCACTGACTGGAGAAGATGAGAGGAAGGTTAGGGAGCAAGCGGGTAAGAGGGGTTTGAGGGTGTTCTATGGGTCATTGCATGATATTGAGAGTTTCCCGTGTGAGGATGGAGATCCAGGCATGATCAAAGATGCAAGTACCTGTGTTGAGGGCGCTCATGGACAGTGGATTTGGAACAGTAAGTACCTATTATGATCCACGTGGTGGAGGATGCCAGAGATTAAGAAACATAATGGTAAAAGGTCCGAAGAAGGCTGCATCGTCAAGATGTTGACAGTCTTGTGGCGCAAAGCATACAAGCGTCGCCAAGCAGATGTCGATTGTCGGTGTTGTTTGGCAACACTATCGGCAATCTGCTCGGTGACATGAGGCATCCTACCGGTGAAAGGAGACACTTCATATGCGGACTGTTCAGAGCTGACTCGTTTCTCTTTCTCTTTCTCCCTCTCCGTTGGTTGCTTTGCCAGTCCACCTGGACAACTACCGCACAGACTCGGGATTCAGACATCTCTACGACACCAAGTATGCCATGTTATTCAACAAAGCATCCCGCTTTCTCACCTCGACCTCCGCTACTCCTACATCAACCCTCGTCCTCATCTCAGCGGGCTTTGACGCGTGTTCCTACGAATACCCGGGAATGCAACGTCACGGCAAGCACGTCCCGCCCTCGTTCTACCACACCTTTGCCCGCGACGCTGTTCACTTTGCTGAATCGCATGCCCAGGGCAAGCTAGTCTCGGTGCTGGAAGGAGGCTACAGCGACAGAGCGCTGTGTTCTGCTGCTCTTGCCCACGTCACAGGCTTAGCTGTTGGCGCCGAAGCATCAAAGAGTAGCGGGGACGAAGGAGAGTATTGGAAACTAGAGAACCTGGTCGCAGTCGAAAAGGTAGCCAAACGGATGGCAGCCTACGCTGCTGGCGTTGGAGGTGCCGGATCAGGAAGTGCAAATACCACTGCGAGCAAGAGAAGGCAGGCTGAGCTACCGCATTGGTTGGGAGTGACGAGTAAGGCTTTTGCTGCTTTTGAACAGGCTTGTGGTAAGAAGGATGTTCAGCCGATTGGTGCGAGTGGAGGGGCCGGAGGGGGTAGTGCTAGTGCGGTGGCTGGTCCGGCAGGTGCAAATGCAGGAAGGGTGTTGAGAGATCGAGGTGCACTGAAGTCTAAGCGTGTGTTCGAGCGTGGTTCGACGCCGCAGCAAGCAACGACAGGGAGAAGGGCAACTCCAACGAAGGGAAGGAGAGGTGATAGTCCGGGTAAGAAGGAGTCTCCGACCAAAGCTCGTGTCAGTGGTGGTAGTGCGGGTACTGTGCCGGTTACGCCAGTGAAGAAAGAGGAGGAAGAGGATATTTCCATGGATACTGATACGCCCACCCGTCCTCCGAAAGTTGAAACGCACGCTTCGCCCCTCAAGGTCGATCCACAGCCTCCCTCACAGTCGTCTCATTTGACGGCAAATGTCGCAACTGCTCCACTTGCATCTACTCCAGTACAGCAGCAGCCACAGCAGCAGCAACCCCCGCCCTCACTCGCCCCCAAACAAACCCCACCTTCCATCTCATCCTTCATCACCACCTCTTCCGCCCCCGAATCCCCCGCCCTAACCGCCACCCCCGTAACCCTAGTGGACGCCATGTCTTCCCCCTCACACCGCATCATCGACGCCAACACAGCCCACATTCATTCTCACACTCAAAATCCCGATCCGCTTGGATTGCACTACCTCCGAGCAAAAGACTTCCACTTTGCCAACGGTGAAGACGATGCAGAAGGTTCACCCGATCCTCTCCCCCTAGATCAAAACAGAATCGGAGGTGCGAGTGAGGCATATTTCCCTCTCCAAGAGCAGCAACCGCATCAAGCGCAGCAAGCGCAGCAAGCGCAGCAACAAGGATCGATCCCAGGTGGATTCGGAGCTGCACTTGCCGGGGTTAAGTTGGAACATGCTTCCTTGAGTAGAGAGGGTGGGAGAGGGTCTTTGCCTGGCATGATACAGCAATCTCTGTCGGAGGAGAAGAGGGAGGATGGGGGATCGCTTGATCCTTCATTGCCGCATTCACATATTTATACTCATTCACAGCAGTACTGATGCCATACGATGTCAGGCGCAATCAAAACATACACAGATTCAGAGATGCTCTCTTCAAAGCAAAGATGGCATTGCCATTGATGAAAGTGGACATCTTACTTGTGATTTTTTTTCAACCTTCTCTTTTTTTCAGCTTTTGGCATTTTAGTCTTGCGTTTTTCTCGATTGGCATCCTTTGTCTGCTTCTTTGCTTGCTTTTTGAGTGCTTTTGCTTCTTGTTTTGACAGTTTTGCGTCTTTTGGATGAAGTGATGCTCCTTCTCCTTCATCTCCGTCTTCCTCGTCATCGGAATCAGATTCAGAATCTTGAGAATCAGAAGCGTCCCCTTCGTTGCACTCGGCTTTGCCGACTTTGCTGGGTAGAAGAGCGTCGAGTGGTACCTTCGTCGCCGTGTTTGCTGATTTAGCCGAAGAAGATGTCCAAGTATTGGCGGCGGTAGTGGTAGAAGAGGCAACCTTGTTCTTTTGCAACTCGATCTCTCGTTCTGGATCATTCACTTCGTGAAGGGAGAAAGGGATGTAGGTGGCTTTGAACACCTCTTCGTCGTTCTTTGTTGTATCCACCTTGACTTCTTGACCGTTGGGAGTGACGTGGGAGGCGATGGTGGGCTCGGGCTCGACAGATGACTGCTGCATAAGCTGTTCAAGTGTCTGTATGAGCGATTCTTCCGTCTCTCCCGTTGTCGAGACGGTCCCAGTAGCCGCACCGCTAGGATTAGACAGATCTGTATACCAAGCATTTCCACCAATCACATTCTTTTGCTGAACCGGTGTTGCATTCCCTTCCGTCTTGCCTTGCCTTTCCTCCTTCCTTGGCGCTGGAGCCGACTTTTGCACCTGCAACTGAGCATCATGTTCAGCATTCGAATTTGGTCTATCATCTTGATGAAAATCCGCATCTTGTTTCTCCAATCCCGCTCTGCCACCTTTCCTCCCCTGCAGCCCCTTCGGTTCGGCAATAACGAACTGAAAGGTCCTCCTCAACCCCAGCGTCGCAACCCCTCGCTTCGCAAAGTACTCGTCGACATGACCGATATCGGCCCTTAGGAAATCGTATGCTCGTGGATGATCATGTTCCACCGACTGAGAAACGTCAATGATCCAAAGGTGACGTTGGTGATACAAGATGTTGTACTCGCTCAAGTCGGCATGGACTAGTCGACATTGATGATACATAATCCTGACACTGGCAAGAAGTTCGCAATAGAGTCGAGACCAAACTTGGGGGTTGGAACCAATCATTTCATCTGCGTCTTTGAGACGAGGACTGGCCCATCCTTCGGAGTCGCCGAGGAATTGCATTACTAGAACATGGTCTCGTAGCTCGACGGGGATAGGGGCTCGTAGGCCTGCTGAAACCATTCGTTTGAGATTACGTGCTTCCTTCTCGGCCCATAGACGAACCATTTTGCGTGGATTGTGTTTCGCATATCCGTGTCGGAAGCGGAACTCTCCACTAACGTACCGATCGCGATCTTTAAAGACGAGAATACTAGTTTTGTAGATCTTCAAGGCTAAACTTGCCTTGGCTGGTGGCTCACCATTTGGCGAAGAAGCAGCAGCACTCGGGTCAGCGGCGGTTGTAGCATGATAGACATTAGCTTCTTTACCAGTACTAACGCAACCATTAACACTCTCGAGTAAGCGGCGATTGATCATTTTATACAAAATAATCATTGTTCGTGGATCGAGCACTCCTTCTACGGTTGCTCGGTCGGCTTTGTCTTTGATACGAACGGCGTCACGTCCACCAAGAGCTTTACGAGGGACGGTGGAGTTGACGCCACCACCGATGGCAGAGGATGGGTCGTACATGTCAGATACACGAACGCGGGATGCAAATTTGGAGAGTGATTCCATTTGGGAGGCAGTGTGGGATGCGCTGGTTGATGGACCCGCTGTTGCTGCAGCAGCAGATCTCGTGGCTGCGGATTTGGAGGATAATGATGAGGAGGAGGAGGGTGGTGGTAGTCTGCGTCGACGGTTCATAGCGGGAAGTGGAGTGACACTTGTTGAACCTTTCCCTGCAGAAGCAGAGGCGTTGGAGGAAGATGATGTCGATGTGATAGCTGAAGCGAGCTGACGGGAGCGATTGAATTGTTTCGTGAAATCACCTCTTGCCAGCTCCCAATCCGCATCCTCAACGGCGCCGTAGCCGGTCATGTCGTCTTCGTAATCGTCCTCTTCTTCATCGTCTTGCACCTGGATGAGGTGGTCATCGGCTGCATCGTCTTCTGAATCTCCAGCATCGGAGGATGGTCGGAGAAGGTGAGAAATCTCTTGTCGACGCTCCTTTTGCGATTGTGCCGTGTCTCGATCCTGTGCAGCTTGAAGGTGTTGCTGCTGCTGCTGCTGTTGTTGTTGTTGGTAAGCCGCGCCCTGATCCGGGGCATCATCGAACTGTCCCGCCTCCATGGTTGCGATTGCTGAGCTATGATGTGAGATAAGAAGGAGATGCTAGTCGTGCAAGATTGAGAGGTGATGGTGAGAAGAAGTGTCAAACAAGTGCACTTTGCCCCTTGCACACTTTTTTTTTGTTTTTTTTTTTTTGGTTTTTTTCCTTTCTTTTTCTCCGAGAATTTTGGCTTGTGGAGGTCCGAGTTCCGAACTAAGCTTTATGTTTGTATTAGGGACTTAACAACACGAAACCTGTGCATCACTCGCACGAGCCAACAGGAAATTAGTTCTCCTCTGCAACACACCCCCACACGCAGCACTGCAACAAGGCATTTGGCATGTGCGTGTGCGTGTGCGTGTGCGTGTGTGCACAGCCCAAAGGCAACCGAGCCAGTGACAGGAACCATCACTCTGATCGCTAATCACTCTGATCCCTGATCACTCTGATCTCTACGCATTTTCCCACGCCCATCTATCCACACACATCGATCGAAAGCTGCCCGAAGGAAGGAAGAGCCCTTAAAAAACACACGAGATAGATCATTGGAAGCGATCCCAACGAGAAGCTCAGTCGAAGCGACGCAAGGATGAGCACGCCATCAGCGCTCACCGTCATCTACCCACCATCCTTCCAAAACTCCTTCTGGACCTCTCCTTCCTATCGCCCCGGAGCCCAGAGTCTCTACAGCAAACTCCAAGCAGGTCTCGACGAGAACCAATCCATCCTCGCCTTTGTTGCTCATCGTGCCCAACTCGAATACAGCCATGCGGAAGCACTCGCAACTCCCAACCCTACCCCTTCTTTCCCTGCTCCTCTCTTCAAGCAAGCTGCTGCCATTCTCTCTGAAGTGCTCCCCATCGATGGTGTTGGCAGCAATGGAGCGAGCGCTTCTCGTCGTTTTGCTGCCAATGCTTCGGCCACCTGGCGCGCCTTTCGTATGATTCAGGATGAAACCAACACCACTCATGCCAACGCTCATGGCAAGGTAGCTCGTCATCTCGAGAAATCCATCCTCGAACCTTTCGGTAAATGGGCAGCTGATCATAGGCGACGCGTGACTCAGAGCTGGCAACACGTCGACGCCACTCTCGCCCGTTTCGAACGTCAGAAGGGTGAGGTGGACAAGCTGGAGCTTAGCTACGAAAACAAGTGCAGAGCTGCTGATGAAGCTGAGGATGACGCTCGCTTTGCTCCCATCGATGAGGCGGACCTGCCCTCGCCGCAGCCGTCGCACGCTTCGCATGGAACACTTCCACCACCCAACGCAGGCCAGCCACAGAGAAGGAGCGTCTCAGCATCTGCAGATTCGCCATCGAACGACGACCAAACGGACCCAGACAAGATCAAGCGTCGTGAAACCATCCGCAAACAGTTTGGCTTCAGTCATCGCGCCACCTCTGCCACTCACGCTCCTCCACTTCCCCTCAGCAAAGAAAGTAACGAGTTCGCTGGTGTCAAGCTCCCACCTCTCCCCACCGAGACTGAAGGTGAAGCTCTAAGCCCCAGTCCCGACTGCAACATATCCCTTAGCAACGCCACAAGCCTCAAGCGATCCGCTACCATCTCCGCCCTCGTCAGCTCAGCAGTCGACAAAATGCCTGCCCCACTCAAAGCCGCCGTCGGAGGTGTCGTTTCCGGCGAACCCCGTCGCACCCGTCTCCGTCGCGAAGCAGACAATGCGGAAAAAGTCTACGAAGAAGCTGTCCGCAACCTCGACCGCACCCGCTGTCAAGTCGAAGAAGTGCTATTCGAACACTACGGCTTAACTCAACAATGGGAACTTGACCGTATCCGTGCTGTACAATCCATACTTGCCTCTTACAACCAAGCCGTTCAAGCAGAGATTCCCATTTTGCACCAATCGTCTACGCGGGCATTCAAGATTCATCAAGGCTTGGATGCCTCGTTGCAATTGAGGGCCTTGATTAGGCAGGCAAGAACAGGACCTTTCCATCCCACCGTTCAGAGGTTTCAGCCGTATCATCATGACGAGATCTCGTTGGGGAGGAAGGTGGGGCCGAAAGGCGTGGCACATGGTTGGTTGATTAAGAATGGTGGATTTGGATTGGATTTGTCCTTGGTGGACAGGTTCGAGTATTTGGAGCGATTGGAACGGCAGCAGACGGGAGTTGAGTCAACTGAAGCAGTCAAGGCGGAGGGGTTGGCTACTTTGCCTCCTGTGCTAGTGGCGTTGCTTGGTGCGCTGAACAGGGCTTATGCTGATGATCAACGATGGAATGCGCTCGCTAAGGCTCTTGCTGCACCAAAGGTGCTTGAGGAAGGACAAGAGGAAAGCATCTCAACCGGGGTAGACGCTGGTATTGTAGCTCAAGAAAAGCGCAAAACATGGATCCTAGAAGTCCCACTTGCCATCACACACCGTCTCCGAGACGCCCTAATCGCTCATCTCAACCCTTCCTCTGCCGATCTTATCTACGGTAACCCCACCAAAAGCAGCGAGAGCAGCGCAAACAACCCGATCCCCGAGAAGCTGTTGGATTCGTACGACCCACCCGTCCTCGCAGCTTGTGTCAAACTCTGGCTTCTCGAGCTCCAACATAGCCTTATTACAGAAGAGCTTTGGGATCAGATCGATTCGATCTACCAAGCTGCTGCAGGACAGGAACATGAAGCGCTCGCCGCTTGCACTCCCACCGCTCCCGCTCCCGCCCCCGGCCCCGCCACGGAAGAAGGTGAGGAGGGAGAGAAGGAACAGCGGAAAAAGGCGGAAATCGATGAAGCAACCAAAGAAAAAATCCGCATTGGAGTTTTGCAAGATCTTAGGGTGGTGCTTAACAAACTTGCACCTACGCACCTGGCCTGTCTTGAGGCTTTGTTCTCGCATCTTCGCCAGCTGCTCCTCTCCACCAGTGAGGCAGCAGAAGGGGATGCGGTCTATGCGAACAAACTCGGTCTTGCAATTGGAAGGGCACTCTTGAGGCCGAAGAGGGAGACTGGGTATACAGTCACTTCGCAGATTGGAACTTTGGTTGTGGTTGATTTGTTGCTGCATTTCGAGCAAGTCTTTCCGGAGGTAATGGAGAAGAAAAGGAATGAGACGATGGAGAGGATGAATGCTAGTCCAAACCAGAAATCCGGGTGGGCAGCGGGTGGAGGGGAAGGGGGAAGACCAATGCCGACAAGGAAGAGAACTAAACCAGTGGATCAGAGGATTTCAAGATCAAGTATCGGAAGTGACTTGCAACAGGGAGCGAAGAAGTTAATTGAGCAAATGGATCAAAGGGGGTCGCGCGTCTCTGTGGGATCTACTCCTGCTGTGCCGATTGTTCCGGCTGAGCATAGCGAAAAGCCACAGCCACGGGCGATTGATACCCAGACCAACCTCGATAGAGCAGCAGAGAAGAAGCAAGACGATCTTGCCGCGCCTACACCTCTCAACGAACGAGTGCTCTTCTCATCCACCCGACATGCACAAAGTGGAAGCGGGGTAGAAGCAGAAACAGATTCGATTTCTAGCGAAAAAGGTGAATCACAAACTCCCATCCCGGATCCCACCTCCGATAGCCAAGCCTCCCAAGCACAGGCAGAGGCAGAGAAAGAGCGAGAGGGAGAGGGAGAGGGAGAGGGAGAAGATAAGCCACTGTCCAACGTAGCTAGGCTTTCGAGGCAGTTCAACACCTCCCACCTTGGTTCCGGTGGTGCTAGTGCTGGTGAGAGTGGGCATTCGAAACGGACAAGTATGGGAGGAGCAGGTGGTGGGACTAGAGGACCCAGACCAGTAGGCGCTAGAACTGCTAGGATGAGTGGTCAATTCAGTTCTAGCTCCAACACTTCTTCGACTGCTGCCGTCGGGGAGGAAAATGATGAGACAATTAGCAAGTAAGTAAGTTGAACACCTCCACCTACCTACCTCTGCGTCGATGGCTAGAATAGAATGTGCTGACAATGCAATTTTCCCTTTCCTATCGGTGTACAGGCAGGATTGGAGACAAAGCTGGTCCCGAACTATTGAACCTAGTGATGCTTTGGTTGGTGATGATTGAGCTTCGAATATCGACTCTTTATCGTTTGATTGATGGGAAATGCATGTTTCGTTCTGGGTACTTTTTTTCTTTTCTTTTTTTTTTTTTTTTTTTTCTTTTTTTCTTTTTTCTTTTCTTTTTTTTTTTTTTCAATTCTATTCGCTTTCGATTTGATCCGTGTTCATGTTCGCTTTGGCTTGTAATAAATTAGGAACTGTGAAATAGGTCTTCGTCGAGAACAGCGCTCGAGAACAGCGCTCGAGTAAAGCTGAGACTCGATCGATCGGATGGTACGAACATCAACATCACACCGACACCGACTTTTCCAGGCTGGGCAAAGTGTGGAAAGAAGAGAGTTAAAAATTTCACATCAAAAAAAAAAAAAAAAAAAAAAAAAAAAACAACAACAACAACAACAACAAAAAGCCAAGGATACGGCCTAGATAACATGTGGACTAGTCCAACTGAAACTAGCAAATTCAGCCTGGTCCTGTGAACTCAAGACCGAGTGTACTGGAGTCAATGTTGGTTTTTCTGAGGTGAATTCTGTATCGAACCAGCTAGTATCGGAAGCATTCTTCAATGTTGGACAGAAGGGAGGAGGTACCCTTTTGTTAAACATATCATCCCAGTTAACATCTCTAAAGAAAGGATGTGTTTTGATCTCTTCTGCATCAGTTGGGCCTGATCCTAGTCGTTTGGTCGGATCGCGAGTCAATAACTTTTCCAATATAGACACCGAATCGGCAGGCATGTGAAGTGGGTAGAGAGGTTCATCTTCGAGAATAGCATCAAAGATCTCATCCTCATCATCACCTCTAAAGGGCGCTTGACCCAAGAGCATTTCGTAAATAAGAATGCCGAAAGCCCACCAATCGACCGCTCTACCATATCTCTGCTCGAGTAAAATCTCTGGTGCCATAAACTCCGGTGTACCACAAAAGGTACTGGTAGTATTACCAAACCACATCTCTTCCTTACACAAACCATAATCTGCAACCTTGATATGACCATCCAAGGTCAACATGATATTATCCAACTTCAAATCTCTGTATATAATCCCCTGTTTATGGAAATACTCCAACGCCAAAAGCACCTCTGCGGCATAAAACTTGGCTCTTCTCGGTGTAAATGGTTCCCTCTGAATATGCAACATCAAATCTCCGCCTGAAATATACTCCATAACGAAATAAACCCTGGTAGTAGTCTGAAAGCATGAGTGTAAACCGAGAAGGAAAGGATGCCGTTCGCGTGCAGCAGCAAGGAATACTCTTTTCTCGGATTTAGTCGATTCAACTTCATCATTCTCGATAATAAATTCCTTTTTAAGCACTTTGATGGCATAGAGGTGTCCCGAACGTTTTTCTTCCGCAAGCATAACTTTTCCGAAATTACCCTTACCGAGGACCGCGAGGAAGTTAAAGTCGTCCAAACCGATTTTGCGCCGGGAAGAGGGCAGCATCCGCGGTGCTTGTCCGGCGGGGGTGGTGATGAGGCCTGCTGACTTGGTGCCGGATTGTTGGTCGAGGGTGGTCGGTGGCAGTTGCTGCTGTTGGTGCATGGGTGGCATTTGCTGTTTGGGAACCGGTTGCATTGCGGGTGGCATCTGAGAGGCGAGTTGCTGCTGTGGAGGGTATGCGGAAGAAGGAGGCTGAGGTCGAGCGCCGTACTTGTTGTTGTTGTTGTTGTTGTTGTTCTGCTGGTGCATAGGCGAGGCGCCAGCATTGGCAGGTTGAGGCAGAGGTCGAGGTGGACGCGAAGGGTCGCTCAAACGAGGGTTCGAGGCAGAAAGAGACATTCCATCTCCAATCCTAGGAGGCTGTTGGCGGCCACCAAAGTTAGGACCCGGTCCAGGTCGTTGTTGTTGCTGCTGCTGTTCGAGCGCTTGCATTCTGTGGGAGGGTCCACCAGGTCCATATCCTGCTCCCGCACCCGCACTCGGCGCGATATCAGGCTGGATCGCCATCTGCTGTGTCTGCTTCTCCAATCCTGTAAAGCGTCCATCACCAGCTGCAACAGCCAAAGGAGGCAACTGGGGAGGAGGAATTCTACCAGGAGGAGCACCTGCCATCCCTGGACCACTTGTCATCCCTGGACCACCTGCCATCCCTGGACCACCACCACCGTTGGCACCAAATGCACCGCTGTCACTGATCGGCGTCGACTGCTGCTGCGTCTTAGCCGAGGACTTGACACGGTTGATCGTCTCGATATCGCTCAACAGCTGATTCGCCATCTCCATCGACATACCGCAAAAGTCTGGCACCAAGTGAGCGCAATCGGTATGACAAGTAATATCGCACTCGGAACACTTTCGGGCATTCTTGCGTCCAAGGGGCAAGATGTATCCACAATGACAGCACCAGTTGGCGCTGAGATTCGTGATCGGCTCGAAACGATGTGGGATACGGTGGTTGATCTTGACCTCGTCCCGATCGGCTTCGGCGTTGCTCTTCGAGATGCACTTGGTGACCACCTTTTGCGCACACTTCTTGTGGCATGTGTAACGGCAGTCCTCGCACTGACTACCTGCCGCGTTGAGCAGGAACTCGCCACAAAGCGCACAACGAAGCACCTGGTAGAACTGTCTCGAGACAAACTTGTGACCGTTGATCTCGGCGACGTCCTCTTTACGCTTTCGGAAAGCGCCCTGTCGTCCAAGCCGAGCATCGTAGGGGCGCTTGCGGACGTTTTGCTTGATAAAGTTGAGACGCAGATAGATGGCTCCCGCAGGCTCGATGGCGAACCAGGCTTCAACACCGTCACTGGGACCATTGGGGACGGGAACACCAGCAGGAGTGTTGTAGGTACTACCATCCATGCCAGGAGCCGAAGCAGGAGCGTATGGACCACCACCAGCTTGGGGTTGCACACTGTCGGCGGTGACCCAGCCGTCGCTAGGACCGTGACCGTGTTGAGAGGCGTCAGGCACTTGACCGAATTTCTTCTTACGCTGCTCTTCGACAATGTCGCTGATACGAATCCAGAGCATGCCGACAGGGACAGGGTGTGCGCTGCCGATCTTGTCGTAAACAGTCACCTCCAACTCGTTGGCATTGTCGACCGGAATCTCGAAATCTTCTTGCCATCGCTCGTTGCGACTGGGATGAGTGCGGGCACGGGGCGTGTCTTCGACCTTGATGACGACGGTCGACTCGCGCACAGATCGAGTGCCACGTGGGACAGGTGCATGGTCGATATCACGAGCGCTACGAATCGAAATCTGAAGGGTACCTGAGAGAGGCTTGCGGAGGTTCTGCTTGCGGTTCTCGACGGATTCAGGGTTGGCATTGTCCTCCTCTTCCTCCATGACGTGGAGCTGCTTGTACCGCTTGAGCGCTTGCTGAAGCAAGACAATCTTGCTCTGAGATTCGATGCGTTTGCTTTCGGCATCGTTGCGACTCTTGCGATCGCCTTCGGCTTGGTAGAGCTTGGCCATCTTGTCGATACCTTGCTTGTACTGCTTTTCGATCTGAAGCTTGAACTCGAGCTGATGAAGCATGCGCGAGATCTTGGCGGTGGTGTGTGGGGTATCGTCCTTGATCAAGTCAAGGTTGGTGTAGTTGCGACGAGCGCTGGTGCCCATGCGTTGCATAGCAGGCTGCCATGTTTCGGCGCCGTAAGGGCCTTGGTTGGCATACTGAGTGTAGGAGCCTTCAGGACCAGAGGGAGGGGAAGGATGAGGCTCTGGCGCCGGAGGCAGCGGTCGACCATCATATCGGCGTGGGTTGACAGCGGGCGATGGAGGATTGGAGCCGAGGTAAGAAGAACTGCTGTCACCTGGGTAGGGACGTCCTCCGCCGATGGAACTGCTACCGCTGGTCTTGGAGGAGGCAAAGCTCTGTCGGGCATCGGCTGGTGTGGTACTACCTGTTGGACTGTCGGTGCGGAAACCTGGACCACCGCTGGCACGACGCGATTTGAGGCTGTTGAGGGATTCTTGGAGATAGGAGATGTTCCGCTGGGCCTCACGAATCTGCGATTCTGCTTGACGGATGACGTCGGGATTGCTGGTAGCTGCTATGAGGGCCTGGTTGCCTTCCATGATGCGACGCTGGGTCTGGATTCGCTGGTACACCTCGGCGACCTTGGATTCGGTTGGGTCCTGAGCAAAGGAAAGAGATGGAGAAGAAAGTCAGCTGGATTGATCCGTACGATACGATTTGGCGCTACGGCGAGACGTGATGGTCGACTGGAAGCGCGCTCTAGGATACTTACTGCCATGATGATTGTGACAGATGGCAAAGGAGCTAGGACAACTCGGAAGCAGAAAGGATGGTTGGCGGTGGTCTCCTTGTGCGCGGTTGAGCCAGTTTGGTGAGGATGTAGAGCAAGGTGGTGGTTGCCGCTGTTCGTGAGAATGCAAATGGAGAGTCCTCTAGAAAGATGTCTGGCGAGATCGCTTCCGGAAGGCGCTGACTGGGAATATACGGGCGAGTGGCGGAGGGCGATTAAGAAGGTCTCAAGGATGGCAGATCCGGTTGAATGCACCCGATACTAGGTTAGCAGGCCAGATGAGCAGCTGGAGTCGCGAGCAGTTTCTGAGAGGGTCGTTAGGGAAGCGTGATGATCAGAGCAAAAGAACGCGGCGCATGTAGTGGGTTGAAGGTGTTGCAGTCGCAAGGAATCGACAAGCACTGAGCGGAGAAAGGTGTCGTGATGAAGAGATGAGCAAGAAGGTGAAAGAGAGAAGAGATGGTGTCGAGAACACGAGCTGACGACACCAAATTCCACACCCAACTCAACTGAAACGACTCAGCAAGGAGCAATAATTCAAGGCAGCAGACAGGCAGAGTCTCGCGAACACACGACCGACTGTCTCACCTGATCCAACACAGAGAAAGAGGCACAAAAGCACTCTCAGGAAATCCAACAATCCTGCTCGACACCACACACACACACACACACACGCGCGCTTTGCCGCGACGGTGCAACACAACAGTTGAAGATGCGTCAGCATCCCAACGGGATTCACGGGGTCCACAGAATCATACGGGGTCCACAGAATTTAAGCGATCTAATAATTAGGTAAAGGTGCATACAGGTGGCGACACATGTGGGATGCATAGGAGTTGTTACAATAATGCACAAGAGGCGACAACACAGGAGTAACACGAGGAGTGACACATCGCACATTTGCATAGGCTGAAGGAGATTACTAAGTATATATATGACCATGTATATAGCATCACATGAATATAACATAAGCATTCAAGAAGTAATATGACTGTGTACGAGAGCTTGCTAGTGGCTCTGATTGGTCACATTTTATCTGCAATCTTCAATTGATTAAGAGTCTGAAGCTCTACCGACTAAGCCAACCGGGACCATTGACAACATGGTACAAGAGGCCGAAGCTCAAGCTGTCACAAGCAAGGCCAAAGGAGGAAGAAAAGGAAAGGCAATGCAACCATGAGCCATTGACAATGAGGCCACCAATGAGTCAGACACCGAGGTGATTGACAATGATGCTGAGGAAGAAACTGACTCTGACTCAGATCACGACAACAACAGAAAGCCATACAATTTTTGTACTCTAGCAAAACTACTTGAGCCTGTCCCAAAACTCACATCGCACAACTATTATAGTTGGAATGCCCATATCAAGTCCTTTCTACGATGTATTCCTCATGCCATGAAGCATCTTGATGGAGCGTACGACAAGAAACATCCCAAATGGAACTGCACATTCGATGATGCTTTGACAAATGCATTATGCAGCACCATTGACACCACCGGAGAGCACAATATCAATTACTTGATTCTTGACATCATCAGGGAGCACCATACATTCCATCATGTATGGAAGAAGATTGAAAATGGACTCACCAATGAGGCCACTGCCATATCTCATTGTATTGCATTGATTGCTCAGCTAGGCGAACTAAGGATGCACAACTCAGATGTATGAAAGCTTATCCAGGAAATAAGGACCATCCAAACAGAGAGCAGCTTACTGGGAAAGCCATTCGCTGACAATACTCTGTTCTCTAATCTACAAAAGTGCACTATCCGACACCCAATGTACAAGGAGACCGTCACCACTGTCAGCCAGCTTAGTTTTAACGCCCTCGCCACTGCCCTATCTATTTGGCAGTCAGTGATCGAGAACAACCCCACCCCGAGAGTTGACCCCCGTCAAGCAAGCGCCAGAGTCGTCAGCAGCAATGACCAGGATGAGACACCTGGAAAGGAGGAGAAAGACAAAAAGGACACTGACAGCACCAGTGCCAAAGTTGCCACTAGACCTCAAAGGCTCAGATGTTGGATCTGCAAGAGGCCTGGACACAGGATCAGTCAATGTGATGCATCGGTGACCATACCAGAAAATTCCCCCTTTGCCAGGCCCAAATAGGAAGCCTGGTGCTCTTTTGCACCAAGTTGGCAGAGCCACCCAGATTCAAAAGGGAACCATCATTGGATCCTAGATTCGGGTGCCAGCTATCATATGGTAAACAACTATAGCATGCTCATTAGTCCGAGAACCTGCCAAAAGCACGTATTCACCACCAGAAGCGAGGTTCTGGAAGTGACCACTATAGGGGATGCTAGCATATCAACAAGTCATGGAGATGTTTTTCTCCAAAATGTATTGTATGTTCAGCATCTCAATGTTAACCTATTGTCAACAAATTCTCTGACAGATGAAGGAGCACAAGTGATGCTAGACTCAACTGGAGGGCAAATACACTTAGCAAACAGTATGCTACTCAAAATATCCAAGAATCGTGAGTGAGGACTGTTGGAGTTCCAAGGTGACACATGGAAGGAAAATGCAATGATCACATCAACATCATTATTTGAAGGTGTTGATGAAGATTTCGAGTGTATTGAGAACAAAGCCAAAATATCCAAACAACAACTATGGCATGAACATCTGGGACATCCAGGTCGAGATAAGATGAGGGCCATCATCAACCGCTTAGGAGAAAATGACACAGCAGACCTAAACCCAGGGACTGCTACAATGTGTGAGCCATGCATCCAATCCAAAAGCACAGCAGCCTGAATGGGGCAAGGTAGTGGAGAGAAATCTGTCTCTCCGCTTGATCTCATCCACATTGACTTGATAGTCAACTCATTGCACATGATGGAATACATGTGCACATTGGTACTGGTTGATAACTACAGCAAGTATGTATATGCGCAGCCTTTGCTATGAAAGAGTCACACATTTCCCAAGCTCAAAACAATTGTATTGTATCTTGAGACACAGACAGGAAAGAATCTGAAAGCAATACAATCTGACCAAGGTACAGAATGGAGAAGCAATGATGTGCTTCAGTGGGCATATGAAAAGGGCATTGAATGGCAAATGACGGTAGGGTACAATAGCAGACAGAATGGACATGTGGAGAGAATGAACAGAAGCTTGGGTGAGAAGATGCAAATGCTGCTCATGCAAAGGAGGTTACCAAAGAGCTTCTGGCCCTATGCAATCCGGACCGCAGCCTTCAAAATGAACCTCATTCCAAGCATTGACAGTGAGTTCCCATACCAAGTCATGTTTGGGAAGTCACTGGAGCGACTCATAAGACTCCTATGCATCTTTGGATGTTTAGCATGGGTAAACGTCCCCAAGGTCAAAAGAGATAATAAAAAGTTAGATCAATGAGCAGTAGCATCTATCTTCTTGGGGTATAGTCTGGAAAGAAAAGGATGGCTCTTCTACAGCCTGGACTACAGCCCAAACATTTTTTGGAGCAACTCAGCTAGATTCATGGAGACAAAATGCTGGTCTGACAAAACAGAGTGGAAACCAGTAAACATACACCCACCACCAGCACTAGCAGACAAAGGAGACATAGACAATCTTGGATACACAGATATGAACCTCTTTGACGAATGAGAGGAGGAGCCACTGAATGAGTACACAAATATGAAAGAAACAGATGGATTGAACAACAAAGAAGATCTGGGTGAAGATACAACAAAGGCAATAGAATGCAGGGCTGATACCGACACCAACATGTTTGACAACACATGGACCAATAGCAATCACTATGGACTCATGGCAATAAATGATCGAAAGAGAAGAAATCTAGACCCAACAGTTAGCAAAGCATTGTCAGGAGAGGACAGGAAACATTGGGAGGAAGCAATGCATAAAGAACTGGATGGTTTGAAAGCCATGGATACATGGGAAATCGTCGATCTCCCCAAAGGTATGCACGCCATCAACACACGTTGGGTTTTAAAAATCAAAACAGACACAAATCTCATCCTGACAAAGTTTAAAGCAAGACTGGTGGCGAGAGGTTTCACACAAAGAGAAGGTATAGACTACACTGAAGTGTTTGTGCCTGTCACACCCATTCAGTCAATCTGAGGAGTCTTAGCCATAGCAGCGGTTCATGACTGGGAAGTAGATAGCATTGATGTCAAGCAAGCATATCTAAACTCAACACTACATCATGATGTATTCTTAAAACCGCCACTTGGAATGAGAATCCCACCTGGAAAGGCCTTGAAGCTAGTAAAAGGACTGTATGGACTGAAACAATCAGGGCAAGAATGGAACATAGAGTTGGATTTGTACCTACGGAGCATAGACTTTCACTGCATGCTGAGTGCACCTTGTCTGTATTCAAGAGGAACTGGAAGTAACCTAACTATTATCACAGCCTATGTTGACAACATGCTCATAGCCTCGCCCAGTTGTAAGGAGGTGGATTGCACCAAAAGGGAGATAATGTCCAAGTGGGGAATGGAAGATAACGGCCCAGTGAAAGAGTTCCTCAGCATCAGCATCAAACGAGACAGGACAAGAAGGGAGATGTCAATTGATTTGGCTGCTTACACCAAGGCCATGGTGAGTAAGTGGTTACAGTTGACAGATCAGAAATCATGGGTACCAATGCCAGAAATACCTAATGCCATAGGGAACGATAAATGTGATTCCCTAGAGGCAAAACAATACCAAGAACTGGTGGGACAATTGTTATGGGTAGCAAATACCACATGACCCAACATATCGTTCACAGTGGGAATACTGGCAAGATATATGTTGACCCCAACCAACAGTGCATGGAAGGCTGCTATACACTTGATGAAGTATCTCAACCAAACCAGTGACTACTGACTGAACCTTGGGAGCAGATCAAGTGAACACTTGAAGCAACCAATTGTCATGTATAGTGATGCCAATTGGGCCTCAGACCCAATGAATGGATGGAGAAGCACATCGGGAGCAATGACGTATATATATGGGTGCCCAGTTAGCTGGAAGTCACATGTCCAAAAATGTGTGGCACTATCAGCAGTGGAAGCTGAGTTTGTTGCTGCCTCAGAAGCAGCAAGAGAGGCACTCTTTTTTTCATACCTCCTCAGGGACTTAGAAATCGACGCTGCTCATCCAGTCTTACATTCAGATAGTCAGGGATGTATACAGGTGAGTAAGGATCTGGCAAAGCACTGGAAATTGAAACACATAGACACCAGATATTATTTCATTAGGGATCATGTTCAGGATGGGGAGATAGAGATAGAATTTGTTGGAACAGCAGACAATGTTGCAGACATTTTAACAAAACCATTGAAGGGTTTAGCAACATCCCAGCTATCTCAGTTGTTAGGGTTGGTAATGCCATCAAAGGGGGGAGTTGAAGATGCATCAGCATCCCAATGGGATTCACAGGGTCCACAGAATCATATGGGGTCCACAGAATTTAAGCAATCTAATAATTAGGTAAAGGTGCATACAGGTGGTGACACATGTGGGATGCATAGGAGTTGTTACAATAATGCACAAGAGGCGACAACACAGGAGTAACACGAGGAGTGACACATTGCACATTTGCACAGGCTGAAGGAGATTACTAAGTATATATATGACCATGTATATAGCATCACATGAATATAACATAAGCATTCAAGAAGTAATATGACTGCATACGAGAGCTTGCTAGTGGCTCCGATCGGTCGCGTTTTATCTGCAATCTTCAATTACAACACAAAAACACACTTTTTCTAACAGCACAGCAGGCAGAGAGAAAAAAAAAAAAAAAAAAAAAAAAGCACAGTCCACGCAGCGACACAGAAAATGCTCTCCCCCTCTGGACTCAATCGCACGAAACAAATCCGAAATTGTATAGACCTAACACGAACAAACTAGTCCTTGCTAGGCCTCGTGATGGCTCGCGAGACAATTCACGGCGCCGGGGCAAGAGTGGTCTCAAGCTGCCAGTCCTTGGGCAAAACTGGCACAATGTTGCAAAGGTGAACAGGTACAAGTACATGTTGAGTGCTATTGGATGCTGAGCAGGGTAAATTGGGAGGCGGAGCACTCGAGAAGGACTTGTGCTCGTGGTGAAAGGTGCAGATGACAAGTCGGGATGCTGTTGAAGGACTCGCTGTCGTCGCAGCCTTGTTTTAAAGAATGACGAGTCGGGTTGATAGTGTGAGGTGTAGCCAAAGAATCGAATCAAAGATCACGACAACAACAACAACAACAACAACAACAACAACAACAACAAGGGAAGAGCGATCGAGGGTGCGTTCAGGCCTTGGGCTTGGAGGGCGTCCTTCGACTTAGGTTTCGAGTGCCCGAAGCAGGAGCCTCGCTCTGGAGAAGCGCCTGCTTTTCAGCTTCGGCCCTCTTGTTCTTCTTCTCGGCCTGCCTGTAGATGTTGGCGGTGAAGGGCTCTTCGTATCGCAGAGCAATCGAGTAGACAAGCACGACGAGCACGCTCAGCAGCAGTCCAGCGGGCTTGCCAAACCAGAGAGCGACGGCAACAAAGCTCATTGAGCTACCCCAGTACATCGGGTTGGCCATCACATTGAAGGGGAAGCCAGTCACGATGCTGTCCATCAAGATGCCAAAGTAGTCTCCCAGATAGGTGCCTGTGACGCCCAAAGCCCACATGGAGGAGAGGACAAAAGTGTTGCCGGCAGCAAAGAGGAGAGCGGCGAGGGGCTTGACCCATGCGCGTTGGAGCAGTGCATGCGTGGGCTGCTCCTTGAGCGCAAGGTTGTAGAGATGATCGCGCACAATACCGAGCGAGAAGATCGAGAGGGCCAAGAGGTAGCAACCGAGGTATCGTCGACCGCCAAGCACCTTGGTGATGGTCTTATTCTCGTACTCGTTTTGCGCCACAATGTTCCAGTAGAGTGGGTTGAAGCAGATGCTACCGACAGCGATCCAGAAAGAAGGCTGTCTCAGGTCGACGATGCCAGGGATCACGTACGGGCTCGACTCTGCGAAGAGCTGCACCATCTTGACGGTGTTCGCGTTGCGATTCCAAGGGGATGGTGGAGGCGTTCAAAGGATCAGCACAGCCATCCCACAAAAAGGGGATCTTCTATTGTGAAAGAGCGGCAATCGGGACAGATCGGGGCGGCGATCTCAAATGTGTGTGCTCTGGAGGCGAGGCATAACTTAGCAAGAGCCACAAGAAAAGGGGCAGAATGACAGAGGACGAAGCACGACCGAACTTAGCGCCAGTCGGAGAGAGTGACGCAAGGTCACACGGCACCCGGCACCCGACCGAGTCGGATGACTGTCACGACGCGGATGGGCAGTGGAGATCAAGCCGTGCGCCATCTTTTGTGCCTAAAAAATCACATCACATCAGACACACACACACACACCGCCTTCCTTCTCTGCTCTCGTCGCGCTCCTTTGCTCTGCTTCTGCGTCCGTGCAAAATTGAAACCGTCTAAGCTCTCATCACACTTTCTTATCCTGTCACACAGCTTCTTTTTTGCTGATGGGATTTTTGATGGAATTTTTTTTTTTTTCCCCCTTCGTCGTCCTCGTGCTCAAGCTCTCTACCACACAAGATCAACCATCACACAAGGTGCGGCATCGTTCCCCCTCCCCTTGAAACCATCAATACCGTCGCGCTCGTGACAAGTGACTTGTACGCACCTTCTCAGGCCGCCTAAGGATCCTCTTTGAATCGGAAGAAGCGAATACACGAGCTCTATCTTCGGCGCATCCGATCATCTTGCTCTACACACGGAAGCACACGCTGCAAAACTACACTCACGATTCAGGAAGACCATTCGCAAACTCGACGAGTCGCGCACTCCACCACCACCACCCACTCACTCACTTACTCACTCGCCCACCACCACTCACGGACTTGGACGGAATCACAACCTCTCAACGCTTTTCCCAAACCAACACCTGCAAAGGATCTCCACGTATCCCATAGAAGCGCATAATGTCAAGTGAAGCTGTAAGTAAATACAAACCTTTTGTGCGCCCGCTCTTGTCAACCCACCACACTGCTTCCACCACACTGCTTCCACCACACTGCTTCCACAACACTACTTCCACAACACTACTTCCACAACACTACTTCCACAACACTACTTCCATAACACTGCTTCCACGATGCTGCTTCCACGATGCTGCTTCCACGATGCTGCATCGCGTCATCGCTGGCCGGAAGGATAAGCAATTTAGGTTATAGTTGGCGGTGTTGGTGCTAGTCGGGAATGGCGCAAAAGGCGGGTCTAGGCCGCCTGACCGCTTTGTCCAGCTTGAGAGCCTTTTGTTTCCCACGCTCAGTCTTCGGACGAGCGGATCGACAACGTCATCGCAACTTTAAACCGAGAAAGAGACTTCATTGGATTGATTGTGCGGATGGCGCATCACTGGCTGCATGCCGCATCCTCAGGTCCGCTGCTGCAAACATCAAAGTGGCGTTCCCACATCATTCGGAACGCCCCGCACTCGCTTTGTCTCCTCTTCTCTGCCTCGCCGTCTCGTTTGTTCCCTTCAACCAACAACCGTTTCTTTCCTTTATAACCGCGCCTTTACTGATCGCCTTTTTCTTCTTTTCTTCCCTTTGCCACGCCTATCAACACACACACTGACCCTCTTTCGACGACTCGCGCTATCTTCCACTCACGCCCACGCTTTCAATATCACCCTCGCTCACACGCTCTCCTCCGTCAACCAACCATGTCGGTACCTGACATCGCCAAACCCTCAACCGACGCTGTCACCATGAACCCTGCTGCTGACGTTGCCCCAAACCTGCCGATCCTACCTATTCCCGAACCCCCTGCCCAACCTGCTCGTGCTCCCATCCTCACTCCTACATACTCCAACACCACCACCACCAATGCTGCCACCACCTCGAACAACAAACAGGCAGCAGACGGAGCCGCAGCTTCAGCCGGCGATCTTTCGCCATCCATTATCGATATGGACATTTTCACCCAACTTCTTGAAATGGATGATGAGGATGATCGAGAATTTTCCAAATCTATCGTTTGGAATTACTTTGATCAAGCTGAAACCACTTTTAAAGAGATGGATGCTGCTCTTTCGACCCACGATTTGACAGAGTTGTCCACGCTAGGCCACTTTTTGAAAGGTTCCAGTGCCGCAGTGGGTGTGATTAAGGTTAGGGACAGTTGTGAACATATGCAGCATTATGGCAAATGTCACGGCGAGGATGGCCTTAGTGATTTGAGTAAAGAGGGGGCGTTGAAGAAGTTGACTGTCACTTTGAGGGATGTTAAGGTACAGTACAGGGAGGCGGCAAAGGCGTTGAAGGCTTTCTATGACGAGGAGGAGCAGGAGCAGGAAGAGGCCGATGGGGAGGGTCAGGGTCAGGCGGAAAAGGAACAGCTTGCAGGGAAAGAAGACACACAGGCAGAGCAAAAGGTTGAAGAGCAAAAAGTTGAAGAGCAAAAGGTTGAAGAGCAAAAGGTTGAAGAGCAAAAGGAGACAGCACCAGCACCAGCAGCAACTAGCGCAAATCCTGCCACTCCGACAAGTGCAACTGTCTAACCTCATACAAACTAGCAACATTCATCTCGAGTCCTACCCACACAATCGCGCTCGCAAACCCAAACCATCCTCCATCCCACTTTCCCCACGCTCGGCGAGAACACCATCTTACTACAGTAACCGCATCACAGTAACCCTCGCTTAACCAAACCCCCCCCCCCCCGTTCCAGCGTTTGTAAACACATATGTCACTAACTTAGCATCGATATGCGGCAATAAGTTTCCACGTCTTTGTCTCTTGCTCGGAGTGCCGCTGTAGATGTGTGGATGTGTGGATGTGTTTTGCATAGTCTGCAAATTTCTACCCAAGAATGCAGGCTTTCCATGCTCGTCAAGATTAAACCCCATCCTATGGAGGTGATGTTTGTGGTATTGAAAGGAGCATTGAATGGTCGATTGCAGGTTGACTTTACAGGTGGTTTTCTTTCAATATTGGTTGCGCTTGTTCGTATGAGGCCTGTGCAAAGCTCGATCTGATTGGAATTTTAGGCGGGAGTGGAGGTGGTGGTGGAGCATCAAGGCTCATTGATCCATTGGTAGCGTTCAGCGTTCTTCTATCCACGTCTTGATTGAAATAGCTACGGTGGTATAGAGAGTTGTAATCTGATTTCCACTGGTCGCCTGTGTCTACCGAATAAGAGTGTTGATGAGTGAACGACGAGTTTGGAGGGAGAAGGATATTAGATGGAGTTCTGATTTGTGCGATTATTGGTTGTGTTGCACTGGAATGGTTGCCGCCTGCAATTGCGCTGGTGTAGGTGTTGCAAGCGGTGGTGGTAGTGTGAAGGGAGCAAGTTGTTTGAACTCGAGATTGTGATTGAGAACCAAGGTTTTGCTCCATAGCATCTCTAGCAGCGTAATAGGCCGCCAATTGAGCTTTTTCACTTGCACCGTTCGCTGCTGCTCCAACCCCCCCAGCTCGTGCCGGGCCAGAGGTTTTAGCAACAGCTCTAGCTTCAGCTCTAGCAGACTTCCTTGCGTAATGAGAAGCCAGTCTCTCTTTCTCCTCCGCACTCTGCTGTTCTGCTTCTGTCAAATAACTCTGTACTCCCATCCCACCAGGGAGTACAGCTGTAGGACCTACGAGCGCAGCACTAGTGCGGATGCGGGAAGCAACAGTATCGGCGGCTTGATGCCGTGTTGCACCGTGCACTGCAGATGCTACTTCCCATGTATACATTCCTTCATTGGTCGACACTGGTTGCGAAGAGGATGGTTGAGAGAGGTGTTGTGCAACGGCATCGCGTGCTTCATAGTATCGACGAAGTTGTTCTTTCTCGCTCCCCGCCCCTAGCCCAACAGTTGTGGAGGCAGCGGGAGCGGTGGATGAGCATGAACCTCCAGCGATGGGTTGCCCTTGATGCGGTTGCACAGTAGGAGCCAACGTCACTGTAGGTGCAGCTTTGGGCCAAGCACCAGGAATGTCGGTGACAGTACCATTGCTGAGGGATGCTGCTTGACGGTGACCCATCCCACCACTACTTTGCTCGCCAGGGGTGAAGGAGGAGGAGGGGACAGGTTCACCTCGTTGAAAAACTTCAGCTTCAGCTTTGGCTTTTTCGTACAATTGCCTTTTCTCCTCTTCAGCAGTCATGTAGGATGGATAGGGTGCACTGCGACCGGAAACCATTGTACTACTTGCTGCTTGCCCTCTACCGGCTCCACTACCGCTACCACCAGCAACAGCAGCAGCAGCAGCAGCCGGGGGAGTTGAATCCTGAGTGGACGGCGGGAAAGCAGCTCCCTGCTGATAGCCACTCTGATATCTCTCTGCTTCAGCCCTTGCTCTTTCGAACAATCTCATCTTTTCCGCTTCCGCAGAAAGATGCGCTACTGCATTCCAATTCCCACTCCCGCCCGCATCCCTACCCGTACCCGCCGAAGATTGCGCAGCGGAGGAATAAGAAGCGAGATTCATCATACTATACGGTCTCCCCGCATTCCCGTTCCCAACAGGCGATGCAGGAGTGGAAACACCTTGATGAAGCGCCCTTCTTTCATCCGCCCGTCTTTGGTTGCGTTCGGCTTGTTGACGTGCTCGTTCGTAAAGACGTTGCTTTTCTGCTTCGGCTGAAGTCATACCTAAATCAGGCGCAGGAGTGCGGGCAGGGGATGCTTGTGGTTGTTGATGCACTGGTTCCGGTCGAACGTACCTCGTTGTTGCTCCATTGCTGAGGTCGGGTGTCCCTGCTGTATTGCGGTACGGCACTTCAGCAGCTGGTGAGGTGCCAGTATATCGATGTTCAGCAGGTAGGACAGGTACGTTGGACACAGCACCGGAAGCCGAGTAGCGTTGCTGATTGTGGTGTGTGAAGCTGGCTGGTGAAGCAGTGCCGCTGTATTGCGAGTGTCGTCTTGGGTCCTGCTGCTGTTGCTGGGGATAAGAGGCGCGCTGACCTAACTGAGACTGTCCATGCCCATCTTCACTCCCTTCCGCAATCGGCGTCACAGCCCCGCTGTGGCCTTGGTAAGACGAAGGGGGCATCAACACCGGATCTACCGCAGTGCCCAACACCATTGCGCTTTGAGGACGATTGGTCGAGTGGAACAATGCCCTTGTCTCCTCTGGCGCCAACTCGCGCCCTTCGTAGATGCTGGGCGGACCAGCAAATGCCGGACGCGGTGCTTCACCACCACCGAATGGTTGGGCAGCTCCATACTGACCCCAAGAAAATACTTGACCGGGTACTCCTCGACCTGCCATACCGGGTCCGCTGATGGCTGTTGCCTGTGTCATGACCGTATCGCGTCTTCGAAGATCGCCGCCTGGATAGCCAGGATAGCTGCTCCTACCACCTGAATAGGTCGATCCGCCGAAGGACATGGATCGAGTGATTGTTGGCTGTCCTCCAGCTGAGCCCTCGGCTGGCTCAAAGCCTCGGTCGTTCTGATAAGCAAAGGTGGTTGCTGCATCTACTGGAGCAGAAAGGCCAGGCACCCAAGCAATACGATCCATCAACGCATCGCTCGCCGTCTTTGTGAAGTTTGAGACGGTGATAGGTAGGTGGTCGACAATAATCGGCTTCTTTGCAGTTTCCACCTGGACACGCAAAGTGTAGGAAACTTCGATATGCTTGGCGGTCTGAATGGTCATGAGGGTATGTGTGCGTGGAATCTGGCAAGAGAGGTCGAAGGTGTGTATGTCGCCTTTGTAGACTTTCTTGCCGAAGCTTTTGCTTTTCGAGGAGAGAGTTTCGGACTTTTGCGAGGCGGCTTTGTTGGAGCCGAACGTCTTCTTGGCACCGCCTTTGAAGGTGATTGTCTCTCGAATGGAGAAAGAAATGCTTTTGACTTTGATAGGCGACACGCGCTCCGACGAGACTATGACGCGAACATCGACAGAGTCGCCAGGACCATAACAGCTGCGATTGCGCATTACTTTGACTCGAATATCGTCCTGGATGGCTTCAAGGTCTTGTGGCTGCGAATAGACGGGCCAGGTGGAGTGTAGTTCGTGCTTGTCAAGCCATAATGGATGGGTGTTCTGGATGATCGAGCTGGTAGTCTCTTTCTTGAGCAGACCCTTCTTACTGCGGACACAGAGGGAAGTGACCAGCTCGTAGTTGATACCGGCATTCTTTTCGAGTTTGGCGCTCGGAGGGAGACCTTCTGGAATCGACACTTGGAAGGGGAAGTCTGCAGTTTGGAGCAGCTCCCATCCTTTCTCGGATTCTGACTTGTACGCTTCATCTTTGCGAGCAGACCAGACGTCGATGGGCCCTTTGCCGATGAGCTCTCCCCAACTCTCACCTCCTGGAAGGGTTTCGAGCTTGCGAAGTTCGATACGAAGCCAAGCTGCTTTGAGACCTTTGGTGCCCAGTCGTACTTCGACTGTGCCAGCTACGTGAGCAGGAGGACGTGGACCGGCTCCGACGATGCCGGGAAAGCCTTGAATGAATTCGCGATGCGGAGGTGGGCGTAAGGTGAGCTTGGGCTGCGACATGGTGGTCGACCTATTGAGGTCGTCGCAGCTGTTCGATACTTTTGCTCAGCAGGACAACGAGGAGAGAGGGATAGCAGTTGTTGTGTTGACGAGAGACGATGGTTACTCGTGCGACGACGACTCGCTCGAACGTTGCCGTTGAGATAGATGATGGAAGGATCGGAAAGAAGAGTCAGCGCGGCTTGGGACCTTTTGGGCTTGGATTGGTTGGATGGCACTGCCGCCAAATGTGGAGTCACAGCAAAGTGTGTGACAGGAAAGTGAGCGAGCGGTTCGCGGGCCGCTGTATAAGTCACAACTCTAGAAATATCTGTGTGAATTCTGTTGTGGGCGGTGGACACCTCTCTGGTCGAAGGATGTGTGCTTGCTGCCTCACAACACAACACAACACAGCCTCAATTCTAGTCGATCGCGCATGTCACGTTTAGCACAGCACAGCGTAGCACAAGGCAGCTCACAGCAACCACGGTTGATGTCTGCACACAGATACAGATATGAGTATGGGTATCATTAAGAGAAACGCAAAGCAGAGTGTAGGGATGTAGCATGGATGAGAGAGCGGCTAGGCGCGTTGATAGATAGTTGCTTCTATGAGAAAGTAGCAAGCAAATCGTGAGACAGCTCACTCCCATCCCTCGACATGGCGATACTCCAGACTCCTCTCGAGTCGACTATTATCAGCCATAAGCTGGGCAATGAGGAAATCAGCAAAGTCGACTTTGGTCCAATAGTTCATGTGCGCCGTCATGAGTTCGGCGTACTGGTTGATGGCGCTTAGCAAGCTGTACCCTTCCACTGGCATGGTAAAGTCAATTCGATGCATTGGGTTCAAAGCACGCAGTCGAGCCTTGGCTCTTGCCTTTCGCTTGGCGCTAATTCCTTTCTTCTTCTCTTCATCAGCTTCTCGTTCGCGCTCTTCCTTGCGCTTCTCTTCTTCTTTAGCCTTGGCCGCAATCCTGGCACGAACGCTTTCGGCCTCTTCTCGAGCCTCTCTGACATCTTCGGATTCAGAGACATCCATGCTCGATCGGGGCACACTTTCGTCAGTGGTCTGCTCACCATCAGCCTCTCCTCCCTCCGGCTTCGACTTGTTGTGTGCTGCTGCAGCTCGCGTGGCCGCTTCACCTGCTTTACGGCTCCAAGATCCGAAGAAGCCCTTGGATCGTTTGGCTGCCACTGCTTTGCGCTTGGCTACACCTGAATCAGAGTCATTCGCCTTGCCGGATCCAAAGGATTGCGAGCCTCCATCTTCGGCGATATCGTGATTGTCAGCCTCTGCATCAGCTCGAAGAACACTGCGGATGGCCTTGCTAAGCGGTACCGGCTTCAACAGCTTAGCATACTGCACGTCCACGCAAGGGCTTGCTCGTGTCGCCACGGGATCATACTGGTTCCAGATGTTGTAGAAGTTGGTCACCGCAAGACAGCCATACTTTCCTTGGCGATTCAGTGTCACACCCGGCTCATCTTGCACGAAGCGGCTGGAGCGCACCAAGCCACTCCTTGCAATGAGTTGCGCTCGATGCAGGACAAAGAAGAGCGCAACGGGAGCTCCGACTGCAAAGAAGCTGTGTGTATTGAACAACAGCTGGCGTTCCTGATCTTTAAGGATCTGTTCACGAGTGAGATCCTTGACGGGAGGCACGCGGTTGGGCTGCTGCGAGAGGATATCCGCTGAGATGACAGTACCCAAGCTGTGTGCAACGATATGCACGCGACCTTGTTTGGCCTCGAACTCCGGGTTGCGCTTGGTAAAGAGTCGATACTGTCGATTCGCTTGCAGCATCGCCGACCTGAGCACGTGCGCCTTGTGCTGCGAAAGGTACATGGGAATATCCATCAGCACGTCCTTAACCAAGGTGCGTACGATCGGGATACCGTCATCGCCAAAGATGTGATCTATCTCGAGCTCGACACCATTGTCGTACAGCATTGAGTCTGGATCTTCAGCATCCGAGTCGTCGTCGGCCCATCGTTCGTCGTCCTGTTGCATCTGATGGAAGCCAGTCTGCCAGTGGATCGGTAGAATCTGCATGCGACGGTTATCAGCAAGGCCATGGAGACCTTTGCCGCCAATCTCGCTCGGTACCTTAGCAGTGTCGATTCGAGTCTGCAGCAGAGCACGGAAGGTGTTGATGGCGAGCGTAAAGTCGAAGCTCTTCCACTCGCCCGCCAATCGTTGGCCAATGCCGTGGACGGCTAGCAAGAGCTCGGGCGGTCGTTCGCTCTCGGAACGCGCCTCAGATTGCTCCTCTTCATCATCGAATGCCTCTGGGTCGTCCCGCTCTGCCTCGGTGGCATCCTCAGCCTCGTTCACTTGGCCCACTTGCTTGCCCTCGGAATGGGTAGCAACGACCTTCTCCTTGGTCCCTGGACGCAAAACATTATCCTGGATCCTGCGCTGTGCTTCTTTGAACGACTCGCTAATGTCATCTTGCTGCGAGGGTGTCAGTGCACCCGATTCAGTGTGTGACTCGAGATCGCTTTCCTTGTCCGTGATGGTCGAGAAAGCATCGCTGCCGCCTAGAACGCCCAACCTGGAAGCGACGGAGCGAAGAAGCTCGTTAGCAGGTGCTGATGTAGACGTCATACCGCTTGCAGCCATCACTGAGGGGTTGGGTAGTGTGGCTTTGGCGCTCATTCTGGAAGGTGTCCCCCCGACGTGAGTCCTGTCGACATTCAGCCAAGGTTGCGAGGTGCTGGTGCTGAGAGTGCGAAGATCTTTGCTGGATGCCCTTGGGTCCTCTTCTGGAGCACGCTCGTCCGAGATTCTGTCGTCTGTCGTCTCGGCATCGTCGACGACAAGAGGTGCAGAATCTTTGTCCTCATCGTTCAAAGCCTCTGCTAAACGGCTCTCGAGTCCTTGCGTGCCTCCACCCGGCACTTTGGGTAGAGGAACTTGCTTCTCGGAAGAGAAAGATGCACGCTTGGGCTTACGAGGCGAACCAGACTTTGCTTTGAGGTTGCCTTGCTTGGCTTGATTGAGCTGTACTAGAGTCTGATAGCCACGGATGAGGAGCTGTCCGCCGCTGTGCTCGCCACTCCAGGCAGTAAAGAATTGCTTTGACAAACGATTGGAGAAGCCTTGGTTGTAAAGACGAGCTAGACGTGGACCTTGGAAGATGACATAGCTGTTCTTGAGCGTCTTGAGTTTGCATTTGAGTTTGGCTTCAGCCTCTGCACCAAGGGATACGGAGGACTTGAGCTCGTCGGTGTAAGAAGAGAGCCAAGGACGAAGGGTCTGGAAATGCGACTCGAGCTCTGCAGCAAGAGCAGTAGAGCAGGGTGTCAGCTTGTTGGACTCAAAAAACCAGCTTGCTCGTGTTATGCGGAGTTGAGGTCCCTTCCAGAAGACGGGGCTCATGGCAAACTCGCTGATGTCGGCATCGTAGAGCCTATCGGTGCCAACAGCCACCTTATGAGGCACACTTTCCGCGTCGGGATCGGTAGGCTGCCACTTGTCTCCCGAGTCCGAAACTTGACCTGCTTGAAGCTTGCCGTCTATATCAGGTAGTGTGGGTAGCTCGACGTTGCCGCCTTTCTGCTCAGTCCACTTGTTCCACGCCGCCTCCAAATTGCGACTGTCTTTGACTGGAAAGGACTCCCATCCCTTGCTAGAGTCCATGGTACGAAGCCATCTTGAGTGAAGAACGGGACGCTGATCATCAATCTGCTCCTCCTCATCTGCATCGACATTGTCCTCTCCCTCGACTTGATTAATGTTGTGAACAGATTGGCTGACCGACTGACTCGCCTCGCCCTCTTGTGTGGTGGAAGACTGTGTTGAGTGCTTGTTGTCGGTCGAGGATTTGCGTCTATTGTTGGATGCAGTATGCCTTACGAGCGGCTGTGATGCTTGACGGATGAACTCTGCTCGTCGCTGTTTGGATGACTGATCGGCTGGGGCGATGTTGTTGCCCTGCTCATCGTCGCTCGTGCTGTTTGCGAGGTCCTCTTTCCTGCCCATTTTGGCGGTCGGAATTCCGAAGCCTAGTCTATCGATCTATGCAGCGAGACCGAGACGGAAGCGAAAGTATACGCAACCTTGGACGTGGCTGAAAGCAGGGCTGAGAGGCGGTGAGCTGATGAGGAAAGCAATGAATATGGGATAGGAGTGGCGAGAACGAGAGGCTGCCCCAACCAAGGTCAGGCTTCAGACAAGTTGAGGAATTTTGTTTATCTTCACAGTTATGTTGTTAATTTTATCTACTAGCTTCTATGTACATTATCATATATATACTTGGTAATCTCTTCCACATATGCTAGCCTGTGTTGAGCCATTCATTGTGTCACTCCTGCATTGTCACTTCCTGCATGTTAGTGTGACAACACTTATGCATCCCACATGAGTTGCCACCTATATGTGTCTTTGCCTCATTGATGACTCACTTATCTTCCATGGGCTCCATAATGCTCCATGGACCCTGTGAATCCCATTGGAGTGCTGATGCATCTCCCTCAACGGTCTCCCTCAGCAGCAAGGCAGTAGGCTGCTGAGCTGCTGTACCTTGTTGTGGTGTCAGTCCTAACCCTTGTCAGGTGCATCGCAGTGCCTCCTTGCCCACTGGTTTGGTAAAGATGTCCACTAAGTTATCTTCAGTGCTTATGTACTTGATTTTGACCTTTCCATCTTGTATGTTGTCTCTTATGAAATGGTATTTGGTGTCGATGTGCTTCAACTTCCAATGTTGTGCAGGGTCTTTGCTTACCTGGATGGTGCCTGTGTTATCTGAGAAAATTATGGGGGTACCAATGTCAACCCCAATAGCCCTGAAGAGGTGTCCAAAGAAGAGAATTTCTCGTGCAGCTTCAGTTGCTGCCATGAATTCTGCTTCTACTGCTGATAGGGCAGTGCAGTGCTGTAGTGCCGACTTCCATGCTACCAGGTTTCCATGTATGAAGACTGCTGACCCTGACGAGCTCTTGCATTGTGCTGTGGCGTCACTTGCCCAATTTGCATTGCTATGCACCACCAGAAAATCTTGTTGCTTGTCACTACCATATTGCAAGTGAATGTCCTGAGTGCTGTCCAAGTATTGGAGCACTCTCTGTGCTGTGTTGTAATGTTCCTTCAATGGTTGCATCATGTAACGTGTGAGGACACCCACAGCTTGGCTGATATCCAGGCATGTTCCATTTGACAGCCATAGGAGTTTGCCAACAATTTGTGGATATTCCTTTTGCTCAGCTATGCTTGCTGTCATCTCTGGTACTGGGATATCCTGGAGCAGTGTGCTGGATTTTCTTCTACATTTATCTAGATGCTTGTTTAGTAGCTGTTTGACATAGCTGGTTTGCATGAGATCCATAGTCTTTGCCTTGCGATCCCTGGAGATCTTGATCCTGAGAAAATGGGATACATTACCACTGTCCTCCATCTTCCACTTCTTGCCTATCTCCTTTTTAACATGTTCGACCATTGTCAGTTTTGGAGATATAATCAATGTGTCATCAACATAGATGATCACTATTGCAAAGTTGTCCCCCTTTCCTCTGGTGTAAATACATGGCATGCAATCAAGTCTATGGAAGTTTGAGCACCGCAGGAACTTGTCAAACTCCATGTTCCACTCCCTTCCTGATTGCTTGAGTCTGTATAGTCCTTTTACTACCCAATAAGCCTTTCCTTTTGGTACCTTTGCCCCTTCCAGCAGTTTCATAAAGATAATGTGCTTGAGTGTGGAGTTGAGGTAGGCCATTGTAATGTCAAGTTGATGGACCTCCCAGTCCCACTCCACTGCCAGTGACAACAGGGCTCTTATCGCACTAAGTGGTGCCACCAGTGCAAAGGTTTCTTCAAAGTCTATGCCCTCTCGTTGTGTGAATCCTCATGCGATGAGTCTTGCTTTATGTCAGACAGGTATCCCATCAGCATCCAGTTTGAGGTGGAGGATGATTTTAGAGTTGATGAGTTTGGTGTTTGGCAGTATGACCATGATTTCCCAAGTCCCCATGGCTTCAAGCCCATCTAACTCCTTCCATATGGCTTCTTGCCATTGCTGTGCCTCATCACTGTCAAGTGCTTCCCTCAATGTTGGTGTAAGGTTCATGGTGGTCATGCCGGCCTCCCCAATAATGTCTTCAATGGCAATTTCTGATTGGTTGTCTTCGATGGTGTTGATGGGTTGTGTAGTGGAGGCATGTGAGGACGGGTCTTGTATATTGATCTCCTCTGGTTCCAATACAGGCTCATGGTCGATGGTCTCTGATCTGGTACCCTCTGCCTCTAGACTTTCAAATCCAATTTGCAGTGGGCTCTTTTCTTTGGGTCGATCATGCCAGCCTTTATCTTCATGAAATGTAGCTGAGTTACTCCATTGAATAGATGGTGTGTGTTCTGGAGTGTGGAATTTCCATCCCTTATGCTTGTCATCATAACCGATCATGATTCCTGGTATTGCTCTTGTGCCATGCTTGCCTGCATGATCTTTCCTTGGGAGGTGGACCCACGCGAGACAGCCAAAGACATGCAATTGTTTTGCCAGGCCATGAGCCATCGTGCAATGAAAATCTTCATACAGAATTCTGTTGGCATTTGCTGATGGTGTCAAATTAAGTACATGTCTGGCAGCCATGATGGCATAGGGCCATAAACCTTTTGGCACTGATCTTTGGATGAGCATTGCTCGCATCTTTTCTTGTAGTGATCTGATGGTGTGCTCTGCTCTTCCATTTTGCATGCTGACATATGGGGTGGTTTTCTGCCATTTAAAACCCGCCTCTTTCTTCCATTCCTCTGCTGCCAAGCTTGACCATTCCATTCCATTGTCACTATGGATGCACTTTAGTGTGTGGTCTGTCATTACTTCTGCCCTTTTGATCCATGCTTTTAAGGTGGGGAATGCTTCTGCTTTGCTGAGGAGCGGTTTCACGAATACATACAATGAGGTGTCATCTACAACTACTAGCGCATGATGGTAGTTGGGGTGGCCTTGTAGGTCTGTCATTAGGTCAATGTGTATTAATTCTAATGGTGCTTGTGCTCATTCTGTCTTGCTACTTGCCATCCTTGCACATGTTTGCTTTGCCTGACTACAACTATTGCAGTCCTTTGAGTTGTGCTCAAGCTGTGTTTCTCTTCCTAAATAGTGTGCTTGGATTTGCTGGGTTTTATTTCTGCCTGGATGGCCAAATCATTCGTGCCATAGTTTGCTTATTGTGTGGCTTGCGGGCCTTGCTGGTGTTGTGTTATCATCAATGCCCTCAAGGGGGTCATTGAGCTGTGCTGCTAGGGAGTAGCTGTGAACTTCCCATCTTTTCTGGCATCGGTTGGTCTTGCTCTTAACCATGCTCCTGTCATGTTGGAGGATTGTAGCTCCAGATTCTTCAAATATCACTTGTGCACTGTCTTCAGTTAATGCTGGGACAGACAATAGATTCTTGCTAAGGTTAGGAATGTAAAGTACATCTGTGAGGGGTATTTTAATGTCTCTAACTTGCAAGGTTGCATCTCCTATTGCCTGTACTTGCAACCATTCATGTCTGGCAGTATCTATGAATCCTTTCTTTGGCATCGGAGCAATTAGCTTATCCTCATCACATACCATGTGATGTGTAGCACCAGAGTCGAGAATCCACATACTGTCTTGGTTGTGGTTGCTAGTGTTGCTTATGAAGAGGGTGCACCCAAATCCCTATCCTTGCTCCTGATTGCCGGTGCAATTGATTGCGATGTGACTGGGTTGCCTACACTTATAGCACTTGGCCAGTTCATTAGGGTTTGTGGGGTCACACCTACCCCTATTGTAGCCCTCTTGGTTGAGAACCTGCCTATGCTCACCAATTTGGCCTGTTGAACTTCTGTTGCTTGTGGCTCTGGCAGTGGCTTGGATGTGACCTGAAAGCTCAGCTTCTTGGTATTTCTTGGCTAGTGCATGATATGCATATTCATAATTGCAACTGGGTTGAGCTGCCTTGAGGGAGTCTACAGTTTGAGTGTATAGCCAGTTGTCTTTGACACAGTGGTAGAGGGTGGACTTCTTGAGCTTTTCATCCATGCGACTGCCCAGCCTTGCAGCATCATTCCAAATTCGGTCTAGTTCCTTTCCAAGGTTGACAATGTTTCGGTGGAATAACTTGATCTCATGTACTCAGTTGTGAATGGCAGAAAGTTTAACTTCATCATTAATCGTGAGTGCTATTTTGAGCTTCTTGTATAGTGTAGAGCTGAGTTGTTCCTCTTCACCTTGTTCTCAAACAGTGTATGTATGAATACTGCTTTCAGGACTGTGGTCACATGATGACAGAATAAGGCCTAACAGGTGACTGTTTAGTTCTTCATCATAATCTGTGTGGCTGCTAGGTATTTCCCCAGTAAGGATCTGCTTTGCATTCTTGATGGGTCATATGCAGTCCATAAACATTGGCTCCCAGATAGCCCAGTTGTTCTCATTGAGCTTGACTATCTGTGATACATTGCTGAGTACTGATTTAGGAATCTTTTTGACTTGGCTGACATTTGGTTGGAGGTTCATCATGGAGAAAGCACACTCCAAGATTTGGTCTTCGTTCCAGTCAGTGTGAACCTCTCTGATTACTTGCATGGTGCGTTCAAGTAGGGCTATGCTGTCTACTCTGGGTGGCATCTTGATGGCAAGGTGCCTTGAAGCTGCCGAGCTTCAGACTCTTAATCAGTTGAGGAATTTTGTTTATCTTCACAGTTATGTTGTTAATTTTATCTACTAGCTTCTATGTACATTATCATATATATACTTGGTAATCTCTTCCACATATGCTAGCCTGTGTTGAGCCATTCATTGTGTCACTCCTGTGTTGTCACTTCCTGCATGTTAGTGTGACAATGCTTATGCATCCCACATGAGTTGCCACCTATATGTGTCTTTGCCTCATTGATGACTTGCTTATCTTCCACGGGCTCCGTAACGCTCCGCGGACCCTGTGAATCCCATTGGAGTGCTGACACGTCTCCCTCAACTAGACACTCTAAACCAAGCTCTGAAAATGTGCCTCGGCACCCTGTCACTTTTTTTTTTTTTTTTTTTTTTTTTTTTTTTTTTGGTCTATTTCCCCTCCACTTTTACAGCAGCCGCTCATGCTCTGTCACGCGTCATATACATATATCAACGCTAAGTTATTTCCCTTTTATCGCCCTTGAGAAACGCGTGAAAATTGTTAGAAAAGGAGGCTGAGAAATTGAGGGGAAAAAAAGGGAGAAAAGGAATGTTAAATTGCCTAACTCGAGTGAGCGTTGGTCACGTGCCCCTTCGCTCACCATTGAAAAATGCGCATCTATCCATTCGCACGATAACATATATATATATTCAAGTCAGTAGTAGCAGCTGTTGCTTTCTGGCTCTTACTCACCATCACTTCAAGATGAGGACAGCGTAAAAGTGATCGCTCGATAGCTGCGATGGGTAATGATCGGAAAGGCGCCGACTATGCCGACCCTGTGAATTCGGTGGAAGCGATCCTGGAACAGCTTCAGCAAGGAGAGACACTTGTTCGAGATGTCGACGATGCTGCTGCTGCTGCCGCGGCAAGACGCCAACTCAGGTGTCTTGCAGCTTCAGTTGGCTCGAACACAAGCTCTGGTCCGTCGCTTCGGTCTATGATCTCAGCGCTCTCAGTATTGTCGCGGCTTTGCGATCAGAAATTCATCACTTTCAGCTATAGCGACATTCTGATCGCCTGGAGAGTGATCTACATCGACACGCAGCTTCTGAAAGCATGTTGCGCGCTCAGCATTCCCTCGGACGGTCATGTAGATCAGACGGCCACTCTGAGACGATGCATTCGCGACCTTGATTTGGCGCTTATTGTGGCCGGCGCCACCTCGCTCTCGAAACATCAGCCGTGCCATGCACTCATCCTCGCCCTCCAGAGCAGGCTCTTGGATCGGGGACCTCAAGATATTGAGCACAAAGTGCAGCCTTGCGCCTCATCGGACGACACTCGCGCCCGCAAGAGACTTAAGACGACACCAGCTGAGTCAATGAAACCCATTTTCATGACGGTATCGCAGGCAGACTCTCGTATCGTCGAGTATGACTTCTCTCAAGCCCCCACCTTGATGGATCTCTCAAGCATAGATTCGAGCGTTCGCTCCAAGCCTTTTATCGTTCGTGGTTATGCGCAGCGCACTGGTTGGTCGGCTGTGCAGTCAGATGGTGGGCAAGGCTCTTGGTGCTCGGTCAATCATCTTCTCAAGGCTGCAGGTCCCGCCAGAGTAGTGCCTGTCGAGGTCGGCGCCAACTACACAGGAGCAGATTGGGGACAAGATATGATGCTCTGGAGCGACTTTCTTCGACACTGTCGCTGGCATCAAGCTGTCATACCAAACGAGGACTCGCACTCGGAGAGTGAGAACGGCCTCGGATCGAGTCAAGTTGTCCTCTACATGGCCCAACACGACCTGGCGAGTCAATTTCCAGCACTACAGCAAGACTACCGCCTCCCGGACTACGTCTACACTTGTCCGTCCGCCGCGAAAGATTGGCCTGACTACAAGCCACCTGCCACGGAAGACGGAGTGATAACCAACCTCTGGGTCGGGCCCGCTGGAACGATCTCGCCTCCGCACCACGATGCCTACTACAATTGCTTTGTTCAAGCAGTAGGTTACAAAGAAGTTTGGGTCTTGTCGCCTCATTTGTGCCCTCGCAAAGATGTTCAATCGCCGTTGTCGTCGTGTGAGGACAAGTTTGCATTCGACAAGGCGACGACTAAGGCCTCCATCGCCGAGACTCTGATGACGAACACAGCAAGCATGGATGTCTTTGACAAGACCGTGTCGATCCGGTCGGACATCAAGGCAGCAGCGAGTAACGCTATCCTCGGGCCGGGCGATCTTCTCTACATGCCCCCAGGCTGGTGGCATTCTCTGCGAAGCTTGACTCGGAGCTTCTCGGTCTCCACATGGTTCTGACATCGTGTGCTGAAGAGAGAGAGAGAGAGAGAGAGAGAGAGCATCTGTAGCTGCGAGGTGACTTGGCAAAAACTCTTTAACCACGGATGACATCACATGACTTGTCGTCACGTGAGTGCTCACAATTTCCAATTGCCGAACACTGAAGAGACACAGGCGAGGCAAATGTATATGCAATGCAACTCATATCGAGGCACCGTTTTCATCGACAGCCCGCCTCGTTGACTTTAACTGTCGACGCCGACGCCAGCGCTTACATTAGTTACGACGCCAAATTTCCTTGTGGGTCAGATTGTCGATGGTCTGATTGGCACTCTGCCTTTCCAAAGGAATATCTGAACAGTGCAACCTGCTAGTTGTGTGAGCAGAGAGTGCTTATCACAGATGCAACTTGAATGCAGAGCAACTTGAATGCAGAGCAACTTGAATGCAGAGCAACCCGAATGCATGGGATCATAGCACCCTCAGCACCAAGCACAGCAATGTTCACACAGCACTGTTGACACAGCATTGTTGACACAGCATGGTTGTCGATGTCTCGAAGAGGGTTTTATTCGAGTCAGGGGATGTGGTGCTGCACGTGACTTGTTCCTCTATTGGCCATCAGTGCGGGCTGGATGACAAGCGGAGGGTAAAGAGAGGATCCTTTGGCTCTCATGGATGTGCGGCAAGAGAGAGGCAGAACCACTCTGCCAGATTCAAGGCTACAGAACAGATGGCTGACCAAAAAATAAAAAAAAAATAAAATAAAAAAAAAAAAAATAAAATAAAATGAAACCAAATTTCAACGCCAAAATTTGGGTTGAGAAGATTGAATTTGGCTAGAGCAGCAAGGCGAAGAGCAGCAACTTGCGAGGCATCAAACTGAACGCCAGACAGAGAGCCAAAAAGGCCAAGGAAGGAAAGAAAGAAAGAAAGAAAGAAAGGCAAAGACCAAGGCGCCAGCTTTACGCCGCCCTGCAGCTCTCTGACTTTTCTTGCATTTGTGATCCCAGCGTAGCCCAGCGTGCGTAGCCCAGCGTAGCGTTGATTTGCATCCGCACCTTCCAGCAGCAGCAGCAGCAGCAGCAGCAGCAGGAGGAGGAGGAGGAGGAGGAGCGGTAGCACTTTCATACACAACTCACACTCACGCACACACTCACGCACACACTCACGCACACACACACACACACACGCACACACAGAGAGAGAGGGCTCGCTTTTGCATTTCGCTCTCGCCTTGGCGTTGGCCTCCTCTTAATGTTGCTGTCTTACAACTGTCTGGATCCGATCAAGGCGTCGTCCTCGCTCACTGCCTGCCTGCACTTGCAATTGCGCCCGCTCCTCCTGCTTAAGCCCCAACCGGTGCTGGTCGCCGGCTTTCAGGAAAAGAAAGGCTGCTGATGCCTTCTTGCCCGCCCTGGTTTCGTTTGCGTCCCTGCTGTTGGCCATTGACACTTTAGCCACTCTCTCTGCCACCGCAACCATCATTAGCATTATCGTCATTAGCAATTATCGTCATTAGCATTATCGTCATTAGCATTATCGTCATCATCACCGCCACCGTTCGAGACCGGCATCGACCTGATCTATGGTCTCTCGCACCTAAACACAAGCGACACAGCTGTTCAAGAGCTCTGTGCCCGTTGGCATCCTCATCGACATCAACCTCGTCGACATCAACCTCGTCGACATCAACCTCGTCGACAGGTAGAATATAGCCACGATGGATGCATCGGCCGAGGATCGGATCCGACGTTCGCCTTCCATCGGATCTTCCGCTGCTGCTCCTGTGCCGTCGGGAACAGCAAGGGGAGGCAAACGGAAACTCTCGACGGCTGCTTTCGGATCGGCACCGAACATGGCACCTCAGCCGCCATCGTCACCGATCACATCGGAACACGCGTCCGAAGATGGTATACATCAAAACGCCTCGCAAGTAGCCTCCACTTTACGCACCACCATCGACAACTCGGATGCTTCTGCTCGACCTGTTGCTACCAACTCCAAAGCTACCAACTCCAAAGCAGACGCCTCTTGTTCCGGCAGCAGCTCATTGCAGAATGCCACTTCCCATACCCAGTTCCATGACTGGCAAGAACAGCGTCGATGCCATTCCATCCTTGTCGAGTATGACTACGTCCAGCCAATCGAAGACCGAAGAGATCCACGCAGCTCCAACGCCCACCTTCTCATGCCACTCTCCTCATCATCGCAGCAGCCTCAGTGTATCGTCACAAGCGACATCAATGAGGCCACTTCGCACAGCCACTTGCAACCGCCTCCAATAGCTATCCATCGCCGTGATGAGCAGCAGTCTGCAGCCTCAACCACCACCTTTGAGCACTCAACGAATGCTTCAGTCCACCGCTCTACTCCTCTCCAGAGCACCTCTGTTCCCCCAAGTCCAGAGCGAGCCATCTCTCCTTCGCCTTGCTTGTCCGACTTTGGATACCAGGTACCATCTACCCACCGCTCGCCATGTTTCGCCTCTTCCATCCCACCTCCAAACATTTCCACACCTCCGAAGCAGCTCATCAACCATGCCTCGGACTCTTTGTCACTCTCAAACGAGCCGCATGCTGCTCAGCACAGCAACACATCAGATGCTTCCACTAGTGCTCTGTCTGCATCCGCAAGCACTCCTCCTTGGCTGCCAACATCCTCCTTGTCAAACCAAGCCAGCATTACTTGTGCTCAGTCAGCCCAACCAACAACACCATCGCACAAAGTCTTCCAGCTTCAACCTGTCCCAACCGCGAAGCGAAGAAAACTTCAAGATGCATCCACCCTCACTACCACAGAGATGCGCTTTTCCAACATGGACGAGGCCAGGCGATCAAGGGATGCCGGCATTCCCTTCCACAAGACGCACAGTCAAAGTTGCACTACTGCCACCCAGACTCGGCAAGGTATCATGGCCAATGGTGCTGTGCAAGCCTTGTCCTCGAAAGCTGATACCCATCACGCAGCAATGCAAGTTCAAGCAGTCAAGGATGCTGCTCCCTTGCCTGCAGTTCCAGCGCTGAGCTCCAGCCATCGAACCAACCTCGTTGTCTCGCACAGAATCTCGAGAGTTGGCCCCTCGACCGGATCGAGTGCCAGCATTGACACCCGAAGCGCAGCAGCGGATGCATCTTTCTTCGCCTCCAAGGCTCCTCCTGCTGCTCTCAAGCCACTTGCATCCTCCTCTCGCAGGCCACGCTTCATCCGCGCTAAGAGTCTTCCCAATCTGCGCGCTAAAGCAACCTTGGACATCACCGCGCCATCGCACCATCGTCTCATCTTGCCCACTCACTGGCCTACTTGCCACTCACGACAGGGCCGCCAAGGTCACAACGCCTCTAGCAAAGGCTCGAATGCCAGACTCTCGAAAAGTTTCGCTTTCAACCTTGCTCGCTATCCAACAGCGTCTGGCAGCTCGCGCTCGCGATCTATCTTCACCCCGACTCTGCATCCTCCCATCACCAGGCACACTTTGCGCGAGCTCGACCTGTTCGAGATTCTCAAGAATCCTCAGCTCCGTCACGATGTTGTGTTTGATCCTAACGTCCAGTTCCGTCCCAACTTTGATGGTGAGCGAGGACGACGCAAGCGAGAGGCTGGTGACAGGTACTGGACTGCGGTTGTGCGCGAGATCGAGACCGGTTGCACTTGCACTGCTTTCTCTCATGGTCAGCTTTTGCCTTGTACCTGTAAGCCAAAGCATCCTTCTAGCACAGCCGCTGCCAAGCAAGACCTTCCTACACCGAGTGCTAATGGTGCAGCGCCTAGCTCGGCTTCATCGCGCATCCCATCACGCATCCCATCACGCATCCCATCACGTATCCCATCACGTATCCCATCACGTATCCCGCTACTTGTACAGGAACTTCGCACGATCTGTCTGTCTATCTTGCCCTCCAACTATCCTGCTGATGCAGCACTTGTCGAGTCTGAAGAGGCAATCACCGCGTCGGCTGACGAGCAGAAGGCAGATGGTGATGCAACCGAGTCCTCTTGGACGGACAAGAAGGCTTCCACTTGTTCTGCATCGACTGGATCGACAAGCTGGGCCACTAGGCACCACCAGCTCATCGCACAGACGCTGGACCCGCACCTGATCTCGCAAGAGCTGCAGCACGGCGTGCTCGACGTTGCCGCACTGATCACCTTTATGGGCTCGATTCTGAAGCTTCACTGCGCACCGATGCGTGACGAAGCCATCGAAAAGATGGTCGAGGTGGTCTGCGTTGATCGCAACATTGGCAAAGGTCTCCGTCTCTGTTTCGAGATCTTGGAGTTGATGAAACTCGACATTGCCAATCACCAGCTACGATCAGCTAGGCCTTTCCTTGTCGAGACCGCCGTGGACTTTGAGATCCGCTGGTTCAAGGAGCAGATCGAACAGGGCAAGATGTCTCTCGACAAGACGACTGCTTGGATCCAGCAAGCTCTCGCTACTTGTCCTTGCTCGAACAGCGGTGTCACCTCGCGCAGCGAAGCAGTGGTGAAAGCGTTCAACTCTGGCATGTTGCAGCTCATCTTGGACGTTCCCGGATCTCTCCCCGTCCTTTCGCCCGTGGCTACCCCTCTAGCTTCTCCGTCGTCTTGCTCGCTCAACAACACATTTGCCGCGCACTACCCGGAGACGTTCCAGTTGGACGCGTACAGAATGATGACGTTCCACAACGACGTTTCGGATCTCACCATAGTCTACATGCTAGTGCTGCTCTTTCGTCAACTCTGCAGTACTCGCTTGGACGATGCTGGCCCTCTTGCCGCTTCTGTGGGTAGTATCGCGCAGAAGCAGCTGAAAAGCATCAAAGGAGAGATCTGGTGTTTGGTCAATGACGCCAATCTCTGTCTTTCTAGTTCAGGTAGTTTGCCTTGCACTCCTACCGCTGCTGGAAGCAGTCGAGTGGATGGCAAGTTGTTCCTGGGCAGTGCGGGTGGATTTGCCAAACTGGACCACCCAAGATGGCGACGAGCGATGCAAAATGTGTTGCTGCAGGTCGCAGCTCGTGCTTCGGCAGCTCAACAAGTTGCCAGAAGTGGAGCAAGTGATCCTAGCAACGTCAAAGTGGCTGCACCTTCGGCTGCGACACAGAAACTGCTCAACTCGTGGATGGATACCAATTTGCGTAGCGGTTCAGCACTACACAAGATCTGTCAGAGACGATTAAGCGATGTTGTGCTTGGGATGCTTAATGAGAAGGTTCGCAATGCGTTGCAGCCTTGTTCTTGCTCCCCCTCGAGCGTTGCTTCGACTGAGGTGGCTGATAGATTGAAGAGAGTCCAACTTGAACACGACAGCATTGCTCCAGCGAAAAGGATCAAGAGCGACTCGAACCGCGCTTCTACTTGCACCACCAGCTCCGAGAGAGCAACACCAGCCGCGGCAAGTGCCAGCGGCACCACGACATGGGACACAAGCCTCACTCGAGCAGGATTGGAGCCCTTTGCAGCCGAAATCAGACTTCTCTCGGACAGGATTGCTAAAGTGGCAACTTTGCATCTCAGAGTCTTTCGAAATCTATATGAAGGGATCCAAGTCGCTCGATCCAAGGGCTCCACTTGAAGCGCCTAGACAGGCGCTATTTTATTTTATTTTATTTTATTTTATTTTCTCTTTGCAATGCATTCCTTCCATTCATCCTTGATCTCTCTGTATGGTTGTGTGCTATGTATGCGACGATGGCCTGTTGACGAAGATATGAGCCAAGGTGTCGTCAAAGCGATCAAGTCAGAATCGGTACAAACTGGCAGAGCAGCATTGCAATTTGCAATGCAACGAATACAAACATGCTCGATCGAAAGTGTATGGAGGGAGAGAGAGAGAGACAGAGAGAGAGAGAGAGAGAGAGAGAGAGAGGAAAGGGGACGTGTTTTGTTTGTGGGATTTACCAACAATTTCGCGCTCCTTTTTCTGCTGGCTCTGCCTGGTTGGCTGTGTGTGTGTGTGTGTGTGTGTGGGTGTGTGTGCGCGCTTGGCAGCGGTCTCTCTCTCTCACTCTCTCACTCAGACATGCCATCTCCTTGCTCACCACCTACAGAGACTCTTGTTGCGATCATCAAGACTTGTTTCAGCGCATCCACAGCATACCTTCCAAATCCCATCGAACGAATCGAGCGCTTTGAAGTCCATCGCAAGACCACGTCGCATCGCATCGAATCAGACACTCCTTACTCATTCGCACAGTCGATCGATCTTCAACTACCATTCACGCAACCCATGAGATCGGGAGAGGCTTGATTAAGCGGCATCCTCTATCAGCATAGCATCGTATCTCTCTCTACAACGTCTTCTTGGAGCAGTCCTAGCCCCGTCTCGAAAGGACTGCAACATCAGCACCATAGCATCAATTGCATCCCAACCCGCACTCTTTCACATCAGCACGAACTCTTCCAATCGACGTCGATCACAGTCTCTGCATCAACCTGACGCTCTTCTCTAATCCCAACCTTACCCTTGAGCCTTTTTCCGCCTCATCTCCTTCCGAGTTGCTAATCCGGATCGCTCCACCAATGTCTTGCTCGTCACCAATCACCAGCGTCCCCGACCCTTCGGAAACCTCTTCCTCTCCACTCGCATCAATCATAACACAAGTTCAGCCAAACCAAGCTTCTTCCCCCCGCAGCGCTATCCCCCGTGCGAGTGCACAAGCTCTACCTAAAAAGAAGAAGAAGAAGAAGAAGAAGAAGAAATCCACTTCCCCCACTACCTCCGCAGGTGCTGCTGTGGCGCAGGAGCAAGCTGTAGCAGAAGCAGCAAGACTCGGTTGCCAAGCAGCCCATACCCAAGCCCGTTCCCATTCTTCCTCCTCCCCTCTCACAACCGCAGGTGCAGCCGAGGAAGAAGCGGCTGGACAGCACTTGGATCCACCTTGTTCGACTATCGTTGCTAGTTCCAGTGCTGGGAATACACTTACTCCCACAACCGCACCTGTTGGAGCGGAGCGGGTGGGGAATGCGGAACAAGACAAAGCGGCGGCAGCGACAGAAAGTAGTCATGAAACCCTGGAGAAGGATGGATTGATTGATGTCCCAACGAGCAATCAAGGTGCTGCTCGTGCCACCGTCGGCATCGTGGCGGCAAAGCAGGCAAGTACGACGGCGTCGGCTACTGCGAGTACTACCCCGATCAAGACGGCTACCCCTAACCCTACTGCTACCACGGCGAGGAATAATGCCCGGGTGAGCAAGCAAGGAGGAAAGAAGCCAGGTTTGGCGGCGAAACTGATGGCTTTTTTGACATGTTCTAGTGCATCCAGTGCGCAAGTACAGAGGGAGATGTCTGAAAAGAAGCCTACACCCGCCGCCACTACCACTGCTTCAGCGAGGAATGCAGCAGCTCCTACTACTCCCGCCGCAACATCAACAGGAGCGGTTGTAGTACCCGCACCAACACCCAATCCGAAAAACACTGCAAATCCTAAGCCAGACTATCCCACAACTCCTGGAGGAGGAACAAAGTTACCGGAAGCAGAAACAGGAGATGTTATGTCCGGAGCGGTTGTACCTCCCGGCTCGTCCTTTGTTACTGCTCCCGGTGGTGGTGGTGGGGAAGATGAAATGCGAAAATCTCGTGCATCGTCACTCCACCATCCCGCTTCAAGTTGCCACTCGGGCGATGAAACGCGCTCCGAAACCGACAATGACGATGGGGAAGAGGAGATGGAGATGGAATCAGACTATCTTACCGATGATCAGACTGAAGAACAACGTCTTATCCTTTCCGGTGGAATTGGGATTCCTCTTGATCAATTCGGTAACGCCTGTCCTCTACTCCCCCCCATTTTCACCCCTGATTCCGGACGGAAATGCCTCGTTCTCGACCTGGATGAGACTCTGGTGCATTCCAGCTTCAAAATGATCCAGAACGCAGACTTTATCGTACCCGTAGAAATCGATGGAACTGTGCACAAGGTCTACGTGATCAAACGTCCCGGTGTCGACGAATTCATGCGTCAGATGGGTCTCATCTACGAAGTCGTCGTTTTTACCGCTTCCCTTTCCAAATATGCAGACCCCGTGCTGGATATGCTGGACATTCACCACAGCGTAAGACACAGGCTGTTTAGAGAAAGCTGTTACAACCACAAGGGAAACTACGTTAAGGATCTGTCTCAGTTGGGAAGAGATGTAGGGAAGAGTATCATCATCGATAATAGTCCGGCGAGTTATATTTTTCATCCTAACAATGCGGTTCCTGTTAGTAGTTGGTTTAACGATCCGCATGATACTGAGTTGACGGATCTCATGCCGTTTTTGGCCGATCTCGCAAACGTCGACGATGTTAGGGCTGTACTCGATGGCACTTTGTAGCCGGCCTCACAACAGTGCACGTAGCTTAGCATCGCTCGATGCAAGGTCGTACCACTATCCTGGTGTAGTTGGTGATCATCGTGGACGATATACCCTGGTTTGATTCTTGGACTTTTCCTCCCCTCCTTCCCCTTCCCCCCCCTTGTTTCTTTTCCATCTTATACGCTCTCTACATCTTAGCGCCGTTTTATTCTACCGCATCCGCTCTTCGTGTAGAGCTCGACATGCCTCTTGTTTTCGTTGGTTGGTTTAGGGGTTTTTTTTTTTCTTGCCTTAAGTTTGATTCTTCAAAGTGTTGACGCTTTTTTATAGCGAGCATAATGTATGACTCTTTGGTGGAAATTTCAATCCTGCTTTTTTCTTGTGTAAGTATGCAGTCTGCACAGATTTGATCGCCATGGCAAGTGTCTGTTTGGATGGTTGAAAAGAATTGCATTCGAGAAGTTCAAAAAAAGCGACTGGGGAGCAAAAAATAAATAAATAATAAATAATAAATAATAAATAATAAATAATAAATAATAAATAATAAATAATAAATAATAAATAATAAATAAAAAATAAAAAATGTTTTTCTTCCAAGAATACAAGAAAACTGGCAAGAGCAATGGTCCTAGAAAGCTATACTTCAACCCCCGAATCACACTCATCATCGCTCGCAGCATCAATCAACAACTTGCCCACCCCCCCCTTCCCAGAGACAGAAGTGGTAAGGGAAGGAAGATGGTTGATCTTGCTAGCCAAAGCAGTGCAAAGATCGGTAATAAGGTCGAGACTACTTTGCAGATGCTCTTGCTCTTGCTCTTGAAGCGCAGAGGAAGTGGTGTGGATACAAGTAGTAGCAGCAGCAACAAGTTTCCTAATGCGAAGTGTAGCGTTATGTAGATCTTTGACGGTGGTAGGTGGGTGGGCGAAAGTACGTAAGAAAGAAAGCCAGGAGATGAATAGTGTTGCTTTTGCGTCCAGATCCTCTTTCGTTACAGTCACCGCTACGCATTGAGAGGTGGTGTTAACAAAGGAATCAAGTGCGGAAACACAAGCCAAACCACGCGTCTTCTCAAGAGTAGAGAGATGTTCGCCGAGGATAGAGGTGACGTGACGAGCGAGTGCAAGCTTACCGAGAATAGCAGACCAAGTAGCGAGTGTTACTTGGGCCATTTGCCATGCTCGTGATGTGCGAGGCGCTGTTCTGGCGAGAGAAGTGATTTCTGTGTGCAAGACCTTTCGTTGAACGGCATCTCCAACTACGTCAAGATCGAGCCTCTGCTTGCATTGAAGGGTGGCAAAGCATCGCACTAGCGATGAAGTTTGTGACTCCGAGACAGAGGGACATGAGGCACGTACGAGACTTGCTAGCAGTTTCTCCCAAACACTGGTGAGACGAGAACAATAGTGAACGTCTGCGATAGCAAGTACCGCAGAAAAGTCGCAATCGCGAGGATCGACGGTGCTCGATGCAAGGGCGAGCAATTCAAGAGCAGTGTCAAGGTCGAGCGACAGCACAGAGGAGAGCCAGGAAGCGTCCTCGGTTTCGGTCAAGTCCTGGTCCTTCTCCGACGCCGAAGGTGCAATGTGGCCGGTGCTGTTGGCGTTGCTCGAGATGGAAAGGCGAAGCGATGTTCTTGCTTCAGTCCAAAGCTGATCAGAAAGATCTTGAACAGAGTCAACACCTTCACCCAGACGAGCCAACGACAGCGCCAGGGTTGCCTTGAGTCTAGGTGTCGCCAAGATAGGGTCCCTGATCGAGGTGATTGGCAGCTTGCCGCCGACATACTCGCTGTTTGCAAGACGCAGTGCCGTCGAAAGTCGAAGCATTGCTGAGGACTGTGCTTTGGCTTCGCAGAGCGTCTCGACTTCAAGCAAACGACCGAGAGCTGCAGCTTCTTCATTGTCCAGTCTCTGATATGCGACAAGCTTGTGGATGCGCGAGACTCGGCTGAGAGCAAGACGCGAGCATGCTACAATGACCGAGGGAGCTGCAAGAATGGCAGAGACAGGCGCATCGATGTGAGAGCGCAAGGCAGTGTCAAAGGTAGCCACATCCATGTCGCCCTTGGTCAGAGCCAGGCGCAGCTTTCGACTCTCACCGACCGATCCAGCCTCCAGTTCAGCGTCGGACTCGTCAACAGCCTCGAGCGAACGAGTGCAGCGAGACTTTGCGGCAAAGAGACGAGAGAAGAGTGGCCAGACGAGCAAGAGGAAGCAGAAAGCAAACGAAACAATACGCAGCACCTCAAATGCGAGTGCATGCGTAGGGACAGCATCAAAGGCATGCGACTCCTGAGCGATCGAGGTAGTGGGTGCCATGTAGGTGGCTGAACGTTTGAGCAGCTGACGGCTTGCATCGACCATAAGCTTACCAGCAGCCGGGCGACCAACGGCCACAGTACCGTCCGATGCAGTGGCATCGAGTGCGAACTCGGTAGCAGACCCAATCAAGCTGATACCCAACAAGGTAGCCAGCATGTATCGAGAAGAAGCAATAGAGGAAAGCGCACCACCCATGCCAGAACGACGGCCACGACGGGCCTTGGAACGAGTACAACTTGTAGCTGATGGTGGCGATGAAGAAGATGCACTGTTGTAAGAGCTCTCACCGGCGTCTGCTTCGTCCTCATCCTCTTGAGCATCGTCATCTTGATCATCGTCATCTTGATCATCGTCGTCTTGATCATCGTCGTCTTCACCTTGAGCATTGCCCGAGGCCTCTTCAGCCTCTTGCTCTTCCTTAGCTGCAGCTGCAGCAGCAAAAGCCTCTTGCTCAGCGACGACCTTGTCCATCTCAGCCTCCCAGAGCTCAAGCAGCTCCTCACCACCCTCAAGACTGCGGACCAACTCACGAAGACCAGCGACCTCGCTTGCCAATCGAAGCTCTCTGGACTTGAGATACTTGATGTAGTCGGTAGCTTTGCCAAGAATCGTGGCTTTGTTGAGCTTGGTTGCGGCAGGGACACCATCAACGAGATCCTCTTCCTGCTGGGCTTTGCGACTTCTGCGGCCGGAAGGTGTCTTGCGCGGTCGAATCTCGCCAAGGGCGGGCACAGCACGACGAAGAGCTGCGATCCTGTCATTGATGTTGTTACGGTACCTCCTCTCGATAGCATTGTGAGCCACCTTCTTCTGCTGTCGAGTGGCAGGATCAAGCTGTGGCTTGTCGGCTGTCGGTCCAGGGCCAGCAGCCTGCGAGGGGTCTTGAGATGCAGCAGCGGCAGCTTGGCTTTGCTGAAGTCGCTTAGCTTTGAGCCTTTCGATAGCGGCGAGTGCAGTAGCGTTACTGCCGACTTCCATGTGAGGAAGCTTGCTGCTGAGCTGGCTCAGAGGAGCTGCTGGTTTGAGCTCGGAAGGGACGAGCGTCGCTTTGGCCTTCTTGGTCTTTCGAGCAGGATCAGTAGCTTGCGCCTTTGGTGCAGTGGTTGGCGCAGCCTTCTTGGCGTTGAGGTTGGGAGCTGCTTTGCTGGAAGCAGCTTGGTTATCAGCAGCATCTCCACCAGCGCGTCTCTTTTTGCTAGTGCCGTTCACTTGACTGGAGCTCGATGGCACCGATGTTGAAGAAAGGTCGGCAGAGTCTGGCTGTGGTGCAAGCGATGGCTGTGGTGCAAGCGATGGCTGTGGTGCAAGCGATGGCTGTGATGCAAGTGATGGCTGTGGTGCAAGCGATGGCTGTGGTGCAAGCGATGGCTGTGATGCAAGTGATGGCTGTGGTGCAAGCGATGGCTGTGATGCAAGTGATGGCTGTGATGCAAGTGATAGCTGTGGTGCAAGCGATGGCTGAAGGCCGGTAGCGTTAGGCGCAAGGAAGTTGGGATTCCACTGTTGCTGAGCAGCGTTGGAGTGGTCGCCGACTTGGCTCGGTGCGGATGATGAGGCGCTGTTGGCAGGAAGGGAAGCTGGAGGAAGCTGTACGGTGTGCAGGCCAAAGGGCGAGGTGGAGGATGAGGATGAGGAATGAATGTTGAAGTTGTGTGCGAAGGGTGACATGGTGTCAGAGCCAGAGTAGGACTGAGGGTAGGATGCGTTGGATAGATCGAGACTTGCATCGGGACTGAAAGCGTTGCGGTGGTGAGAAGCTAGCGAAAAGGAGAGGTTGCGAGCAGAAGAGCACATGTCGGACTCGGCTGGAGTTGGGAAGTTGGCAGAGCCGTAGACGAGGTCATTGATGCTGTTGGGACTTGCACCGCTGTCGCTGGAGCCGGATACCAAAGAGCCAGCATAAGAAGCAGAGAAGGAGTCGGTGAAGTGGTCTGACGGCAAGGTGGCATTCATGAGGGTGCACATCATCGAGTCATAATCTTGGCTTGACCAAGGGCCCGAAGGTGGGTCCTGAAGAAGGCCAAGATGGTCCTGCTTGGGAGCAACGATGCTGGGCAACAGGTGCTGCTGTTGTAAGATGCGCATAGCTTCCTGTTGTGCTTGCTGCTGATGAAGGTGTTGCAGTTGGCTTTCTAGCGAATCTGACTGCTGACCTTGCTGCTGGTGCTGACCTTGCTGCTGGTGTTGACCTTGCTGCTGGTGCTGACCTTGCTGCTGGTGTTGACCTTGCTGCTGGTGCTGATGTTGAGGAGCAGCGACCGAGGGCAAGTTGTTGTTGACGCGTGACTGGAACATGGCGGGCGCGATAGTTTCAGACGAGCCGAAGGCGGTCGACAATGAGGGAGCTTTGGAAAGGCTTTTTCGTTGAGAGATGCGTCTGATAGGTTGTGGTTGTCGTGAGGAGCAAGAGAGAGTGAGTGGCAGAAGCCAAGAGATTGGCTGATTGATAGGCTCTAGGTTGGGAGTTGAGGCTGGAGTGCGACTATCGGATGGCTGAGTCGGCTGCAAGCTGTGACACGTCGTAAGAGCGCCGAGCTTGCGTGATTGTACAGAGGCGGCTGTGGTGAGTGTAGGGTATATAGGGGAGAGCGGAATGCTTAGGGATGCAAAGTGTCGAGTGACCACCTCAGCGGTTGGAGGATGTCAGTTTAGTAGCGAGTGCAGCACATCGTACGATTCTGTTCTGTCTCTTGGGTGGAGCCGAAGCAGCAGCGCTGTGTGTCAGTCAAGTCGGCTTGACACACATCAGCTCGAGATACATCAGACAACATCACACCACTTTCAGTCGTACAAAACCGTCGACCTTTTTGTACAACGATTGTTTCCTGAGCTTGTAGCATCTCTCGCATCCGATCCATTATGAAATTCCTCACTGCCTTCTTGTTCTAGGATGCCTGTTCACCTGAAGCTGTTAAGGGTGGCAGCTAGGCATCCGTGAGGACAGCTTTGTGTCAACAACCTTTCCAGTCTCATCACAGCGAGCTTCTTTAGCTCAGTTGGTACGAGCGTCCGACTGAAGAATTCAGTTTCACCAGTCGCCACTGTCAGCAGTGGACACAAGGTATCGGGAGGTCACCTGTTCGACCCAGGTAAGGAGCATTGCTTTCTCTTTTTTTCTTTTTTTTTTTTTTTTTTTCTTCTTTTCTTTTCTCTTTTTTTTTTTTTCCTTGCCATTCTTTCCCAGATCTAATATTACATAATCAGGGATAAGCACTTGAGAAGGTGAGAATTTTTTGACAAATGAGCTTCGAGGACCCTTTTTCTTTGTTCGAAACCTTCTTGCCGTTGCTCAGCAGTTCTCTTCACCATCACCTTCACAAGCCAGAGACCACTGCCTACATCACCTACAGACACTTATAGGCTGACACCACCGCGAATCCTTCACCGACTCTCTCGCCGACTTCAACCGCGAAGCAGTCCGCAGCTCACAATCTTCCAGGCATCTATCCTGCGAGCGCGGCCCTGGCGCTTTGCTCTTGCCGGCTGAGCATCGCATAGCAGATCGCGCCCCCCCTTACCCCAACCCATCATCTGCCACTTACCACCATGGCAGACGCACAACAGGCCAACAAAGCCCACCGCAAGGCCAAAACGGGTGGCAAAGCCGAAAAGACCAAAACCAAACACTCCAACGGTTTCAACCCCAAAGCTTTCATCTCTGCCAACATCAACGTTGCCCAAAAGCAAATCCTCCGCAATGCCGAAAAGGATCAGAAACGATACCACGTTCCTCTCGCAGATCGAACACCCGATGACGAACCCCCTCCCATCATCGTCGCTGTTGTCGGACCCGAAGGGGTTGGTAAGACTACCCTTATCCGTTCTCTTGTCCGTCGGTATACCAAGCATACGCTCGCCGAGATCAAAGGTCCGCTTACGGTTGTAACGGGAAAGAAACGAAGGGTGACGTTCCTAGAGTGCAACAACGATATTAACAGTATGATTGATATCGGTAAAGTGGCCGATTTGGTTTTGTTAATGATCGATGGATCGTTTGGCTTTGAGATGGAAACCATGGAGTTTTTAAACGTTTTACAGTCGCATGGCTTTCCCAAAGTGATTGGCCTTTTGACGCATTTGGATTTGATTAAGAAGGCAAAAACTCTCAAAGCCACCAAGAAGAGGTTGAAACAGAGGTTCTGGACTGAGATTTACGATGGTGCAAAGTTGTTCTACCTTTCAGGCATTATCAATGGCAGGTATCCGGATACCGAGATTCAGAACTTGTCCAGGTTTATCGGCGTGATCAAGTTCAGACCGTTGATCTTCCGTAATGCTCATCCCTATGTGCTGGCGGATAGGATGGAGGATTTGACGCCCAGGGAAGAGATTCGTGCCAACCCGAAAACAGATCGTACGATTACTGTATACGGCTATTTGCGTGGTACGCATCTTCGTCCTTCTCAAAGAGTCCACATCCCCGGTGCCGGAGATCTTTCCATCACTTCTGTGGAAAAACTCAACGATCCATGCCCGCTTCCAACGCAAGATAGCGAGAAACGTCGCAAACTCTCCGACAAAGCTAAACTCATCCACGCACCCATGAGTGACGTCGGTGGTGTCATGTTCGACAAGGATGCAGTCTACATCAACGTCCCAGGCAACTTTACACGCAATGGCGAAAACGGCAACCCAGCGGGAGAGGGAGAAAAGATGGTGATGGATCTGCAAGACGCTCATACGACGCTAGACAACCTTGCTGCTCAAAGCGAGTTGCGACTCTTCGATTCGGATTCGACTGGGTTGCCTGATGTCAAAACTGATCAGGCCGAGGATGCAGCTGCAGCTGATGCATTTCAGTATGACACGCCAAGGAAGGGAAAGCGTGTAAGGAGGGCTGCCTTTGACGATGTCTTGTTGGATGACGACATTGAGGATGGTGATGTAGAGGAGGAGGAGGATGGTAGGGATAGCGATCGTGGCTTTCATGATGAAGAGGATGAGGATAATGCTCGTCGCCGTGCGTTTACGCGTAAAGCCTCTGAAGCGGACGGAGATGGTGGACCGGGCTCGAAGGATATTCCTTTCGCAGATAGTGATTCGGATATGGGTCTCGATTCCGATGATAACCAAGACGACGATGAGGATGCTCAATTTGCCTCTGGCTCCGAAGACCAAGATGAGGTTGCACCATGGAAACGCGACCTAGCCGCAAGAGCAGAAGCCACAGTCCGAGCCAACAAAAACCGTCGTCCCATCGACCTGGCTCGTCTCATTTACAACTCTGACAAGACTCCGGAACAGATCGCTTCCGGTGACATCTACAGCGACACCAACGACGATGACGATATTCGGAAGATGGCTGAAGAAGACGACGGCGATTTCTTCTTCCGTCCTGCCGATGGCAAGGCTTCTTCCTCCAAGACCATCACCGAGGCAGAAGAGGAATATCAAGACGTCCCTGATCAAGCACGACCTCTCCCCAAAGCTTCCGACTTGAGTCACTGGGCCGAGGAACGAATCTTGGACTCGATTCGAAAATTCTTCATCACCGGCGACGAGCCCGACAATCTCGAAGAACGAAAGGACGGCAAGCGAGGTGAACCTTGCACTGATCTCAACGATGACCAAGATTCTACCTCGGATGCTGGTTCCAACGCCGCTCACGATGACAACGGGGATCATGACGCAAAAGCCTCAGCCCTCGCCGCCAAGAAAGAAGCGCTAAAACGTCGCTTCGACGAACAATACGACGACCCCGATGCGGATTCAAAACAAGATTGGTACGATGAACAAAAAGATGCTCTCGCCGCGCAAGCCGCTCTTAACAAAGCCGAATTCGAATCTGTCGATGAAGAAATCCGACATCAAGTCGTTGGTTATCAACCTGGAGCCTATGTTCGTATTGAACTTTCCAAAGTTGCCTACGAGCTTGTTGAAAACTTTGATCCCAACTATCCTCTTCTGGTGGGAGGGTTGTTGGCTAGTGAGGAGAGTTTTGGATTTATTCAAGTTCGAATTAAACGACATCGTTGGCATCAAAAGATTCTCAAAACCAATGATCCTCTCATCTTCTCATTGGGGTGGAGAAGGTTTCAATCGATTCCAATCTATTCCTTGGATGATGGAACTAGGAATAGGATGTTGAAGTATACACCGGAGCATATGCATTGTTTGGCGACGTTTTATGGACCTATCTCGGCGCCAAACACTGGGTTTTGTGCGTTCAACACTCTTTCGACCTCTACTCCTTCTTTCCGGGTTTCGGCGACGGGGGTGGTGTTGGATGTGGATTCGGGCTCGCAAAAGATTGTTAAGAAGCTCAAACTTACCGGAACCCCAAGCAAAATTTACAAGAATACGGCTTTCATCAAGGATATGTTCTCCTCCGCATTGGAGCTTGCAAAATTCCAAGGGGCCCATATTAAAACGGTTTCGGGCATTCGAGGTCAAGTTAAAAAGGCCTTGGCCAAACCGGAAGGACATTTTAGGGCGACGTTTGAAGATAAAATTTTGATGTCGGATATCGTGTTTTTAAGAGCGTGGTATACCATTCAACCTCGCAAGTTCTACAATCCTGTCACTTCCCTTCTTCTTTCCGGCGAAAGGAGAACTTGGCAAGGAATGCGACTCACAGGTGCAGTCAGAAAAGAACGACAACTTAAAGCTCCGAACCATATCAACTCATCTTATCGCGATGTGCAACGTACTACAGAAAGAAAGTTCAATCCGTTACGAGTTCCAAGGGCTTTACAAGCGGAATTGCCATTCAAGTCCAAACCCAAACAGATGCAGGCAGCAAAAGGTACTTGCTACTTGGCAAAACGTGCGGTGGTGTTGGAAGGAGACGAAAAGAAAGCATTGGCCCTGTTGCAACAGATGAAGACGGTCCAGAGGGAGAAAGAGGAGAAGAGGAAAAAGAAGAACAATGAAAACAAGAGCGAAAAGGCCAAACTCGCTGCAAAGGACGAAGAGATCAGAGCGCAAAAGAGAAAGGCAGAGATGAAGGAGATCTACAGGATTCAAGGCATGAAGGCTCAGAGCGCTGCGAAGAGGCAGAAGACCAAGTAAGGAAGCCCAATAGAATCGCATTGACAGGTTTGCCGTTGTGCGGAAGGATCGTCTCGCACAACATTGCTAATGTCTGTAAGCTTTGGCAGCCGCAGTTTGCAAGTTGATCTATTTCGTTGTTCTTGAAGCAATCTTGATTGTTCAGTGCGAAACTTTGTTCGCTTGGTGACAGGACCCTGATGCTTCCATGTGCTGTGTATGTTTCGTGGATTGAGACCTGAGCTTGAGGCGCAACCAGCTGTCACGGAAGAATTTGCCGGATTATGGAGAGAGATAGTGTTGGTGCAAGATATTGAGTTTCGTACGAGGAGCGTCCAGGTTTACCGCTTTCTACACCCACTGATGTGACGAAAATTGGCCGAGCTGCTGACCATTGTTCCAACTGCTAGTGGAGCTCAAGCGGATCGCGATTGCGAAGGCTTCATCGTGAGCGTGAGAAAAAACGTGCCTATCCACCTTGCTTCCGATCGCAAAGGTCGATTAAGTTGAGAAGGAGCAGCATCAAAAGCCATGTTATTGCCCATCCTCCACGGTGGGCGGCCTGAGATGAATCGCGTTGTCGTTGGTGAACGCAGTAGAGAGATGCCTTTCGGCAAGTGAGGTCACCGACCGAATTCTGATGAATCAACGATGCTCTTCAACTTTGCTCAGCAATTCTAGATTTGGCTTCTGATACACAGCGACTTACATAAGTCAGATCAAAGCCAGATCGCCGTTCATCTGGTGCTTGTCGTGCAAAGACGACAACGCAGTGTGGAGACGCAAGGTCGAAATCGGATTGCTACTGTGCCTCTGAAACCGAAGTTTCAGCTTTGCATGTGTCCTGGCTATTGGTTAGGTCGCATGGAAGGATGATCTTCTGGATGTCTTCCCGCCTGAGCTGAACTAGTATAGAGCTTCTAAACGAGATTGTTTGTTCCTTGTGCCGAAGTATCCGAGTTGCATGTGTTTAAGCGGACCCTCGTCGATCCAAATTTCTTCCTCCCATCATCGCTCGCTCCTTTGCTTCTCATCCATCCCTCACAGACTTCATTTCCGTTCAGCAGCGCCGTCTAGCGAAAGAAGGACGAGGCGCTTGCCATTCTCGCTGGTGCAGACAAAGGAACCATCTGTGGCTGGTTGTCTCCTCGACCCCTCGTGAAAAGTCGGGAAGGAGCAAGGCTTGCTTGAGCAAAATTCCGCTCGTAAACCGCTTGACATCATCACTTCCAATGTCGCAAGCTTCCCACATCTCATCTTGATCAAGATTCCGTTCTTGGGCCTCTCGACCTCCTTCCATCATCACCAGCAGCTTCCACGAGCCGCTCGCTCTTCTTCGTCAAACTTCTTTCATCCACCTACTTTGGCAATCCGGAACCGGCATCGGACAGGTTCACATCGTCAGTTCTTCCAGATCGGTCAGCACCTTCTCCACCAAACACATAAGACCACCGACCCCGTTCGAGCATTTCCGGCGCATCTCATCTCATAAGCCGACCTCGCCAAGCCATTGCCATACGCCTTTCTGGCCAAGCTCCGACTTGCCTTTCCTCTCGCATCCATCACGTCATCGGTCAAGAACAATCGCCCAGTCATCCGTCATCGCGTCCTTCGTTGCTGCGACCTAGCACCCTATACCTTTCTCTTCCTGACCTGCCGGCATCTCGCGAGTCGCTCGTGTCGGTGGCTTCGAAATCAGGTACACTCCACGGAGCTGCGTGGTCGCCCACACGGACTCATGTATTCAACACGAGGTAATCGCAAGGTCTTGCCCAACTACCTCTTGGACGACTATGTGCCCTCTTCCGACCCGAAGCCGCCCATCAACAATGGCATGAGAAGCTCTTCGCTTCACGTAGCTTCGGAAGCCTTGCAACGCCATCACCATCCTGGCGTCGGACCAAGCAACAGTTCGGCTGACGGAGGCGGTGGAGAAAGGGGCGATGCCTCCAGCATTGGACTCCTACCACCAAGAAAGAAGAAGCTGAGGCAAGCCTGTATCTACTGCCGAAGATCGCATCTCGTCTGTGAGGACAAGAGGCCATGTCATCGCTGTGTGAAGCGCGGTATCGCAGATCGATGTGTGGACCCTCCACAAGACGGCCAGCCCTTGCAAGATGGTGGCTGGTTTGCCGGTCAAGAGACAGGCTCGAATGCAGGCTCTATCAAGGACGCCTTTGTGTCTCCTCCGCCGCCTTCCGCAGGTCCAGGAACCGCGCGACCGGGCAGCGGCGCTTTATCATCGACGTTGATGGGCACGGATATGACGAGACTGGACAGTGGACAAAGACGTAAGAGGAAGGCAAAGACAGAAGTGCCGCACCAACACATCAACGATGTTGACCGACATGGTGATAACAGACCATCTGGCGCTTACGAATTCAGCAATCCAGCGAGCTTGTATACTTCAACGCCCACCCATGCACATGCGATCCCCACCTCGACGGCGACTAGCCAAGGATCGTTGCTGAGTAGCGCCATGCCTCATCACAGCGCCGCTCCTTTCTCCACAATGCCGATGCAAGCCGAGTTTTCGACGGCAGCAAGGGCTGCAAATTCGCAGCTCTTGCAGGGTCAGCCAATCTTTCAGCCGCCATCATCGGCAGAGTTGGACTCGCTCTTCTCGGCTTACTTTTTCGATGTCGCAGATGCCTTCAACCCTCGGCCAGCCAACATGTGCCACCAACAAGGAATGCATCCTCCTCAGTCCATTGGTCAACCAGGCCCTCTCTTCCAGCCACAACATGCAGAGCAACAGCGCAGTATTCCATCGACGCATCCTCAGCACCATCCTAGCAACCAGATCGCTGCAGGGAGTCTGATGCACGCATCGCATGGTCACCACATTGATCCTTCTGCTGGACCTTGCATGGATCAGCACAATCCTCGGCGATACAATGGAGCGCCAACGCACTCACAGCAGATGCGGCCGCATCCTGCGGGCACGGGTGATGCCTCGAATGTTGACCTCTCCTCGATTGGTGGCACCAACGCTGTTCATGCCAATGTCACAAACACTGGCGCAATTCAGCCAGCTCCTGTCAAGGATCGGAGGCGTGGCAATAGCAACCCTGGCCATCAAGATCGAGATACGTCAAAGGCAGTGGCACCCGTGACGGGACAGAATCCAGGTGATGTGTACGCGCCATATCCATACCGCAAAGGCTACGCCTCACTGATGCGATACATGACGGAGCAAAGCTGGTCCGAAGAGTCGATCAGGTCGGTTGAGGCGGCGTTGTCCAAGGTGAGGCGGCTCTGGTTCTCTTTGGAAGACAACATTCAGCCATCGAGCATGATCCAGTTGCAGGCAGAGTGGGCCGGAAACGTGCGCTACTTCTCCGAGTCGGTGGTGCCATTCACGCCTGTTCCTATGGTAGTGTGTCGCAAAGCCGGCGAGGTTTATGCCTCAAATCAGCTAGCTCAGGACCTGTGTGGAAGGCGGAGAGAGCAACTGAGCGGAGGTAAGATGTCGTGCTACGAGCTCATGACTGAAAGCTCGGCGTCCGAATTCTTCCGACTATACGAGACTGCAGTGGGTGGGATGCAAGCCGAGGATGGAAGCTACGTGCCAACGGTTGGAAAGACGGCGCCCCTCTACTGGAACGCCGAGATTGTGCGGCAAAAGGATGATGGCAGTAGGTCCACTGTGCCTACACGTGGCGTGTTTGAGATGAAGATCGCGCCGTGCGGCCTTCCCTCTCTGTTGGTCGTTTGCTTTGTTCCTCTCTCGTAGACCCCACGCAAGCAGTCGATGTTCAGCGGACAGGTGGGCCATTCGCTTATCGTTGCTTCCGGCCGTGTATTACTGTAGACTGAGTTGCATGTTCACGGTCTGAGGCATGTCACTCATTGTAATTGTATCTTTCGACAGAGATTGTCTTAAATTGCGACAAGCGCTTGAGTTGGGACTACGATTTGTGGGTTAGTAGGTCGGCGTGTTGAGATCGACTATGCAACTCATCCGGCGGATTGGATCCAGTGCATCAGATCATCGTCCGGTGGGAAGGGTATGATGCCGGGAGGCACTTGCACGGCTTCCCCCTTGACTGCAGTCTGCTGCTTGGCACCGCAGGCTTTGAGCGAGGACCACTCCATGCCAGACTCGACCACCTCCCAGGCGCTGCCGGGACTGGGGGGATGCTCTGATGAAGGTGAGAGAATGTGTTGTCGCGAAAGCTGAACAGCATTTGTGGTGGGAGATGCTTTGGATGGGTTGGCAGCATGGTCCAGCTGAGTCAATAGGTTGGCGATGGTGATCAGGCTGGGCGAGGACTGCGACAGAGGGATTGGTTGTAGGAGAGGTTGAAGCTGTGTTGCTTCGGATGCGTTGGAGATAAGCGAGCGGATGGACATGGCGATGCTTCCCAGAAGCGGCTCAACTTGGCGTTGACGATGTTGCCATGAACGATGGAAGAGCTGGGCGGAGGAGGAAGAGCTGAGCAGAGCCTCGACCAATAGACGAGATGTCAACTGCTCTACAAGATTGCCCATGATTGGTGAAAGAGGTCGCATTCGCAGCAAGGCGTCTATGTCTTTGGCATCAGCTTGGATGGGATGCGACCATTGCAATTCGACGCGGAAGCATCTGAAACACTGATCCATATCGGTCATGTTACCTGGCACTAGCGTCATCACTACAGCTGTCGGATCAAGCAAAGGTCGACGGATGGAGTGAGTGAAGGGTAAGTCAACAGACCGGAGCGATTTTCAAACTTACCATGTTGCAGCTGTACCTGCCAAGGCGATACTTGTGATGACGATGGTGTCGGAACAGGAACGAGAGAGAAGCACCATTGCGAACGCATGGCAGAGTAGTCGAGCCAACCATTGCGAAGCTAAAGATGAGATGGCCTGGATTAGTGTGCTTTGCTCTTCAGTGTTGACTTGTATCCAAGGTTGTCGTGATTGGCAAGTGCTCACCAAGATTGTCGCTTCCGCCATGGCAAGGGTAAGATTCGACATTTGGTGGCGATCGAGAGGAACGACGGCAAGTTGTCGAGATAGCATGTTTGCTGTGATGATCAAGTGATGGCCTGCCAAGTCTGAGTTGCGCAGATCGAGGCAGTCTGCATTCTGATCGAGTAAAGCAAGGTGCAAGTGATCCTGCGTAACATCTGCCACTCGAACTTGCACTCGAATGTTGCTCTCTCGTCCGACCTGAAAGCTCGAGCCGGTTGTCGAGACAGTGAAGCTGGAGTTGGATGGTGCGCTGCCCTCTTGACTCATACGGACGGGCCTGCAATGTGCAGCGGTGGTAGTGATGGATGCCATGAGGAATGCCCGATCCAGACTCGAGATCGACGACTTTGCTAACGACCAAAAAAAAAAAAAAAAAAAAAAAAAAAAAAAAAAAAAAAAAGCTGTCTGAGCTTGCCTCCAGTCGTAAGGGCAGTCGTAGTTAAGGGCAGGAAAGAGATCATCTGACCAAGCCACGGTGGCACTATCGGAAAGAAGCCGAAGCATTTCTCACGCCACATCGCTTCGCCCTCGGCTTATCCGAAAGGCTTGTTCAGCAAGCTCGGTGTGGCTTGATGTAGAGCGTCTCCTTCAGTTCGGAATGGCAGTCCAGACAAGCAGCGCAAGGAAACATCACACGACAAGATAGGGCAGTCGAAGGCCATCGAGCCTCTCGATAAGATGCTCGTTTTTAATGGCGACCTTCGTTTCACTGTGTTTTTTTTTTTTTCTTTTTCGCAACTGCCGATATTACATTGTGACTCGAAAAGAGAAGGGCAAGTGCTGTTATTATTCCGAAAGACGAAAAAAGCAAAAGCGAAATCATCCTTGTCGACTTTGCTGACTTTGCTGAGCAGCTATAGGAACAGATCAGGCCTCAAAGGTAACTGAAGCACCGAGCTTGTGGGCGTTGGCGGAAGCCTGAGAGTCGCTCAGCTTGACAGTGTCGAGGGCAAGACCGAACGAGGCCTTGACTCCCGGTCGCAGAGCCTGGGTGTAGCCGAGGCAGAGGATACCGGCGTTGTTGATCTTGGCCTTGACGAAAGCGGCGTTGTCAAGGTAGGTCTTGGTACCAACCTCGAGGTTGACGTTCGAGTTGGGGCTCTTGGAGTCGTAAGTGGCACGGGCACCTGCCTCGGTGTCAGCGTTGACACGGTGGTAGTAGCTGGCCGAGTAAGTCGACAGGTTGCCGAGACCGTGCAGGGTGACGGCGTAGTCAGGAGCGTGGAAGCCAGCACCGAGGTTGTATCGGCTCAACTTGCCCTCCTTGACGTCGTAGCTCGCCTCGGCACCAGCGAGGAAGCCATCGCGGCCGAGAACGGCATCAGCGGTGAAGGTGGGGCCCTTGAAGAGGTCAAGATGCTGACGCGTGTGCAGACCGGGCTGCTTGTAGGTGGATGCGAAAAGAGCGTTCTTGGTCTGCTTCTCGGGGACGAGGGTGGAGACCAGCTCGAGCTTGAGACCCTTTGCGATGTGGTTCTCCAGCTCGATGTGGTTGCGGAGGACGTTGGCAGTGGACCAGGCCTGGGTGAAGGTGACACCGTTCTTGCGGTCCTCCCACTTGGCCTCCAGGTCACCGTTGATCGCCTGAGACTTGGAGTCACGGATACCGAGAACACGGAAGGTGACACCGTTGGGCGTCTTGGTCTTGACCTCGAGCGAGTTGCCGTGGATGGGGTAGTCCTTGGAGAGGAGGTCACCGGCGGCCTTGCCAAGGTCCTTCCAGGAAGGGGGAACGGGCTGAGAGATGACGGGAGCCATTGTGCTGTTGAGTTTAGCCAAGAGCAATGTGCAGTGGCGATGCGATGCGATGCGATGGGAAGGTAGAGACGTATGTCAGTTTCTTGAGCTTGCAACACGTTCAACACTCTACATCAAAGTGTTGGAATATTGTTCAACTCTGGCTTTCCAATAGGGGTCGGAACGCCGAACTGACACGCAGCGGTCAACACTGAATGATGACAAGGTGAAACTTACAATAGTTAGGATCGATCGACGAAAGGGCGTGATACGAAAGGGTGTGATACGAAAGGAAGTAGGTGGTGCAGAGTTGGAAAGGGACACACTCAAGGTGGTGGAGGATCACGTCTCTCGCTCCTGGAAAACGATGCGACGAGGAAGCGTCTTTTTGGGCTGTTGTTGGGTCTTTCGGCCGCGAACGGATCAGGTTTCGAGAGGCTAGGCAAGGCGCGACCAGCAAAGGGCTTATCGTGCGAATGGATAGATGTGCATTTTTCAATGGTGAGCAAAGGGGCACGTGACCAACGCGCAGCTACTCCTCACCCGAGTCAGGCAATTTAACATTCCTTTTTTCCTCAATTTCTCAGCCTCCTTTTCCAACAGTTTTCACGCGTTGTGAAGGGCGATAGATAACTAACCGTTGAAGGGGGAAAAAAAGGCAAAAAGACAATTCTCAGGCGCGGCCCAACGTTTCAAGCCGCTGCTCGCGTTGTCGCCCTCTCTGCATTTCATCAGCATCTCAGCATCCTGTGAAACAAGGGTTTGTCTGTTTCTTTCATGTTCGCGCTACGTTAGCCTAGACTCGGCTCGCTCGCTACCACCAATCTTTTGACTGTCAAGCAACAAAGGTGGAAGAGGAAGAGGGTGGCAGCTTCACGTGCATCGGGTTGAGCCTAGAGGGAATGATGCTTTCACAACTGCTACTGTCTATGATTCGTCGAATGAGAGCTTGTACAACATCGTGGCTCGTCGGTCATCAAGCGAATGCCGCATCACAGCGTCATAGCATCAGTCATAGCAAACAAAACGTGGCATGGGCATAGCAAAGCTGAGCAGCCGTCGGACATCGTCGATGTTGTAGTGCAATGAAGGCCAATTATACTCGCGTGGCAACAAGCAAGCAAACGAGCTTTGGGACCACGTTCGTCATCTAGCATCACCAGGAAAGGGCAAGCAGAGGTCCGCGCGCCGTCAAAACCCAGCCTTTGATTGCTATTTCAACAATCTCAATACAAAAAAAAATGTCTTGAAATCGAATACAAGCAAGTTCTGCGGCCAATAGAAAGACGGAGTCCGTGCGCGGAATGGTTCATTTTTGCAGCGGCCATTCAGAGAAAGCCCAAGTGCAATCGAAGAGGACGCGCATTTCTCCTTCTCAGAAAAGGTGAGCTCCTGACAGATCCGGACAGACGTCAGCTCTTGCTGTGGAGAGCTGCCACACGGTGTTGCACTCTCCCACGCTTTCATCTCGGCCCTTGCATGCACCCTATCACTGCCAAATCTGTATCACAAGACGTCTCCGGTGTGGCTGCTCAAAAGCTATTGGTTGCAACATGCTTCTTGTCGCATCCAGCCGAGATGCCTCACTCTGCTAGTCTGTGTCGCCTCGCTCGCTCATCCATTAGTTAGATTACGACCCGTGGGTGAAGGGGATATTTGGAGGCGAAAGGGCCCTTTCTATCCGGAGGAAACGGTGCCCAGTCGCTCTCTTCCATAAAGTCACACGCCTCTTTTTTTTTTTTTTTTCTTTTTTTTCTTTTTTTTCTTTTTCTTTTTGGCTTGGCCCCTGCCCTTTTCCCTGAATTTCGACTGCCAAGCTGGCTTGCTTTTTGGCTCTCACGTCGGCGTCGCTCTAGCAAGCAAGCAACGGTGAACCCTGGACAGATTCTCATAAGTTGGCTCCGACGACCCTCGATCCCTCATCTTTGCCTTTTCCCGTTGACTCCAACTTCCCATCCTGTCGTCACTTCATCCATTGGTACCATCGACTGTTTTTATCGTCACTATAGGCCTTCCAAACTTGCATCGCAACGAGCCCATCTCGATCTCACCCGCATCGCAGCTTCCTTCTCTCTCCCACCTCCCCCCGGACTTTACTAACCCTCGGCGTTCGGTACAGCTTCCATCTCTCCTCCACGTACACCACAGCCTCCAATATGTTGCCCGCTCAGCGAAACAAGATCGACATCTCGTCCTTGAACGAAGAGGAGCAGAAGCTCTTCCGACTCTACGGCAAACTGCCTAAGAAGGACTTGTTGCAAAACAAGCTCAAGGAGCGCAAGTACTTCGACTCGGGTGACTATGCTCTCTCCAAAGCTGGCAAGGCCCCACAACAATCCGTCGGCACTGCCATCCCCAACCCCGAGATGATCCCGCACGCCTCAACCGTCACATCCCCTGGCCTCAACGCCGTCTCTCCTCCTGGCCAGCAAACTGCGCCGCAATCCATTCCCGTCAACGTGCCAGGCACTACCAGTCTCGCTTCGCGACCACAAGTCAGCGCTTTCCCAATCAGCGGCGCAGGCTCGAGTCCAGGCAAGGAGACCAGCTCGCTCGGACGAGAAGAGCACGTCGTCAACGCCGATGACGCTATGCAAGACTAAGCAGAGAAGCGTGCAGTCCCCATTCCGCCTGCTCGTCTGGCTGTCCCTTGCTTCTCCTCACGAGACAACATCAAACTCTACGCTCAACACCCTCCCTCCGCCCTAAAGAGTTGCTCGCAATCCACTCCACCCTCTGCCGCAAGACTTACGCTGGAAGATGAACGAAACACGTTCTGACACACTATCTTTGCATCAATATTCGTTCCACTCGGATTTGTCTACTGGCAGTCCGAGATCCCTTTTCCCCGATTCAGGAAAGACGCGCCTGCGCTCCCCTTGGAATTTGACAGACAGCCCGCACGTTCCTCTACAAAAGAGCGTCCGCAGCCGCAGCCGCAGCCGCAGCCGCCGCCGCCGCCGCCAGCGCTACACAATTACATGCTTGCGCCGTCTCTCTTGCTTCTCGAGAAGCAGCCTAACTTACATGCTTGTCAAGAACCACATTCGTCCCTCTTTCGCAAATAAGCGACTATAAGCGTCCCTGCAGGCAGCGCATCGCGTCGCCGAACCTCATTCTGACAGTTGTCGACGCTGATGCCTTGGCTCATCTAACTTCTCGCACCAGTATCCGCATTCGTCCCAAATGGGAGGCTCGTTCACCCAGTGTAGACTCGGAGAGCATTAGCAAGCGCAGCCTCAGCAGAGCGTTGATCCGTCTTGATTACATTGTCTCAGCTGGCCTCACAGGTCGGCGGGAAAGCCTTGGAATCGGAAGATGATCCAGCAATTCGGCCTATGCGCCGCAACGGAGTCAACGCAAACATCAGCAACGCCCATTTTAGCGTCTCGCACTGCTGTATAACAACACGCTATAGCATCCTAGCTCGTCTGGTCTTCTTTGGCTTTTTTTGTCTCCTTTGGCTTTTTTGTCTTCCTTGGCTCTTTGTTGTTTCAGTCTCTTGGGTTTCGTTCCGCAATGCAGAATTGTTCAAATCCGACGTCATGTTATGCTGCGAGTGAGAAAAGCGATTGTCTGGAGCATGACAAATGCGGGGGAGTGAGCAACTTAGCATCGCTCTCGGAGCATATGCATATCCGCGGCGTCCACATTCGGCGGAAAGAAAGCAAGGGACGAAGTCCTGTTAGCCTGCGTGGAGACGAGGCTATGACTTCGGTGGTAACCACTCAGAGCTCTCTGATGTAGTAACCTTGGTTCGGCTTCCTTTCTCTACTTTAACTTGGGGGCTTTGTTGTTCCCTTACGTGCTGTGGTTAAAACTGAGCTCTTCTACAGAGCATCGTGCTGCCAAATGTTTTCTGGGTGGTATTGTGTGCTGGAGTTGCTATGGAAGACACAACGAACGACAGGCAAGCATTGCGTTTTGGTTGATGGTGCTGATCACCAAGCAAAATTCACAGCTGAAAAGTAAAGAATAAATAAATGCCGAGCGTCACCTCGCCAAAATAAAATAAAAAATAAAATAAAAAATAAAATAAAAATAAAAATTAAAATTGAAGAAGCTGCGCTGGCTGGACCTTGAAATTTCTCTGCGGGCCATTATTTTACCCCACACTCGAGCTCAGTGCTCGGCATTTGCTGTGGGAAGCTGCTTGCTTCATCGATCGAGCATTGTACATCAAACTGACCATCTCCATTCCCATCGCCGCTCTCAGCAAGCCACAGCAACAGGCAGCAGGCAGAAGGCAGCAGGCAGAAGGCAGCAGGCAGAAGTGTGTATTGATCAGCCTTCCAAGCCGGACGTTTTTCTTTCTTTTCGTATTTCTTCTTTCGGCAGCGCAGACGTCTGTGTCGACAGAAGCGAGGGGGTTGTATCGACTTGCATCCAGCTGCGAAGAGGATATGCACTAACTGCGATGTGTAATGTGGAACACGTCCTTGGGACACCTTTCACACCCTTCACCTTGTGGATGAGATTCAGGTTACCACCACAGACCTTTCGCTCACGATGACCCTCCAGCAAAGAATGCCTCCTCCGTGCTCAGTCCTCCTCATCCTGCATCTCTTCTTCCCCCCCAACCCCACACACATTCCTTCTCTCACCTCCGTCGATATATATCCCAACCCCAGCTTGGGGCCTCACCACCTGGGTCATTCCATTCTATACCTTTTACCCTTCAACGACGGCTACGGCCACTACCATCCAATGATACAGTACAAACTTTTCTCCTCCTCGCTTTTCAGCGAGTCCCTTCTGGGCAAACTCGTTTCCACAGCACACCGTCATGCTCCGACCACAGTTCTCGGGTGGATCTTGTTCCTCATTGCCTCCTTCATCCTCCTTGTTTTCTCTCTGATCAGCTATGTAGCGTTAAAGATGCTATACAACACAACTCTATACCACTACTATCTTTCCCCTCTTCGCCATCTCCCTGGTCCCAAACCCAAGCTTTTCATTGGAAACATGGATGAGTTCACGCAAAAACCTGGCGCAGCAGCGGAACTCGATTGGTCACGCAGATACGGACAATCTGGAGTGTTCCGATCGACATTCCTCTTTGGAAGGGAAGCGGTCCATTTCATGCGACCCAAAGCTTTGCGCAAGATTTTAGTCGAAGATCCTTATTCCTACCCAAAGCCTCCGATCGCATGGAAACTTCTCGGTTTAATCGCAGGCTACGGCCTCTTGACGGTTGAAGGGGAAACGCATAAGAGAATGCGCAAGACGATGAATCCAGCATTCTCGCTAACCAACCTTATCGAACAATTCCCCGTCTATTACGATAAACTCTATCCCCTCATCAAAAGAATGAAAACTCAAGTCCACCAAGCTTCGCAAGACTATGCGATAATAGACTGCGATGCAGCAGTGAACAAAGCTCTACTCGACATCATCTGTTTAACCGCGTTCGGGTATGATGCCAACTGCGTCAATGATCCAGACAACGAGCTTGCAAGTGCCTATCATTTGGTTACCAGTATGCAAAACGGACAGAATCAAGCGAGGATCAATATGGCTTTGAACTTGCCGTTGGGTGATACCGTGTTGGATTGGGCTAGTGATAAGTTTGACTTTGCTGGACCTCTCAAGAGGTCAAAGCCAGGTTCGGTGGGAGAGACGTTTTTTGCACTCTTGAATGGTGTGCATAGGATTAAGAAGGTTAGTAAGCAGATTTTGCATAAGCAGTTGCAATCGGGGCAGAGAGCGGCCAAGGTTGGAGGCTTTAAAGCGATCATTGACATTATCGAGGAGAGTCATTTGAGCGAGAATGATGGCAGGCCGAAAAATTTAAAGCAGGCTGAGAGGCATATGATCAATCAGGTGCTTACTTTCTTAGGCGCTGGACATGAAACTACTGCTTCAGGTGTTTCTTGGACTCTATGGAACTTAGCCTCTCATCCTCAAGTACAGGACAAGTTGAGAAAAGAATGCACGGAATTGATGGATCAAGACGAACGACCACCCTACTCAGCCCTCAAGGCTTTAGCATACTTGGATGCAGTCATCAACGAATCCATGCGAATCACACCACCAGTCCCAAGAACGGTACGAATCGCAAGCAAAGCTTCCACCATCGACGGCCTCTATATCCCTAAAGGAACTCTTCTCCCTATCTCGAATCGATCTATCAACATGGATACGCAAGTCTGGGGTCCAGACGCAGACGAGTTTAAACCGGAGAGATGGTTCAACCTACCGGACAAATACGATCGAACCTTCTCAATGATCACCTTTATCGCTGGTGCACATGCTTGTATTGGAAGAACAATGAGTTATTTAGAGATGAAGGCGGCCATCTTTTTGTTGGTTAGCAACTTTAGGTTCGAACCGGCCTCCAAGGATCAAGAACCGATTATGGATACATTGATTACGATGAAGCCTCAGGGCGGCTTGAAGTTGAAAGTCTACAGAGCTTGACAACTACAAGCTTTTTCTGGTTTGGGTTTGATGCTTCGTTTAGCTGTAAGTGTATTGACACTTGGGTCAATTGATACCTAAGCTTATGTTCAACCTGAAAAAGATCATGATGATCATGTGTCAAGTAAAAAACTGATTGGAAGCGAGACCAAAAGTTATGCCAAGGAGAGGGAAAAAAAGAAAGCCAAAAAAATGCTCCGTACTGGGCTCGAACCAGTGACCTTCCGTTGTAACAAACTCAGAGAATGATTCTGAGGCATCTCGTATTAGACGGATGCGATAATCCAACTACGCTAACGAAGCTGTGATGTCTGGTTATGCTCAGTATGCATATACACCACGCGCGTAAACTGTCCCATAATTTTACATGTCACCATACATCACTCTAATGCTCAATAGCCATAAGTTGTATTGCCACACTGTCTGATATCATCTGAAAGCCCTGCTTCTTCTCTCCAAGACTGTGTAATTGATATTGACATTGACTAAAAAAAATTGTGCTATGAAGAAGAGCCAAATTTTTTATTATTGTGGGACAGTTTATGGAGCATGCTCCCAAATAGCAACACTGCTCCATTCCTGACCTTATGGGCTGTTGACTACAATGAAGCTTGCAATGTAACTTGGTGGGAGCCTTCATATACATTGAAAGTAGTGATGTGGAAAGTTTCAGCTCAATCAGAAGACTGTGAGTGATCTGGCAGCACTTCCAGTCTGACACCATCATATCTATACCATCATGACAAAAACCACCCCTGAGAAGCACCAATCAGCACTCTTTCACATCCAAAATGGGGAATCTATCCATTCAGTTGCAGAACAACTTGGTATGAGCAAGTCTACAGTGAATCACATCAGCAAAAGCACCTCTGCTGATGCTCCAAAGTCAAAGGGGGGCTGGCTGAGAAAACTCCAGCCTCATCATGTTTGCTTCCTGGATCACTATTTCAAGCTCAATTCAACCTCCACAGTCAGGAAAGCATGTCATGCACTGCAGGAGATGTTTCAAATCAAAGCATGCCCAACCACAGTAAGAAAAGCACTTCATTACTGTCGTTACAAAGCATGAAGGTTACTGAAAAAACCAAAGCTACTCAAGAGACATTGCAAAGCCCATTTCAAATTTGCTAATGAGCACAAGGACATGACTGTTGCAGATTGGAAGAATGTGGTATGGTCCAATGAGATGAAGATCAACTTCTTTGGACTGGATGGTAAGCAGTTCTGTTGGATTAAGAATGCTGGCTTCAACAGCAAGCTTGTCAGGCCAACAGTCAAGTTTGGCAGTGGCTCCATCATGATCTGGGGCTGTATGACATGGGAAGGGGTGGGAGGCATGTGCTTGGTGCTGGGAACAATGAATTCAGACCAATACATTGATATCTTGAATGACAAGCTTGTGAAAACAATCTCAGATTTGTGGCTTCAGCATGCATATACCAACATCACTTTTCAGCAAGACAATGACCTGAAACACACATCAAAGAAGACAATAATGTGGTTGGAAAGTAATAGCATTAAGGTTATGCAATGGCCAGCACAGTCACTGGACTTAAACCTGCTTGAACACCTCTGGCACCATCTCAAAATGTGACTTTCACAGTATAGTATGATTGCAAAGTCCAGGGATGAACTGCTCAAGAGATGTGAAGCTGAATGGACAGTGATCACTCCAGAGACATGTAGGACACTAATAGAGAGCATGCCACACTGCATCAAGGTGGTTCTGAAGGCCAAAGGAGGGAATATGAAGTACTAAGGTGTTGTTGAGGAGTGCTCCATAAACTGTCCCACAATAAAAAAATAATTTGGCTCTTCTTCATAGCACAATTTTTTTTAGTCAATGTCAATATCAATTACACAGTCTTGGAGAGAAGAAGCAGGGCTTTCAGATGATATCAGACAGTGTGGCAATACAGTTGAAGTTTTCGTATGATTTGATGATAATAATGGGAGAGAGAGAGAGCGAGAAGTGAAAAAGGAGTCTATATATATACAAAAGAGGAGCGGCAGAGAGCTGCATCAACTGCAGAGCAAAACAGAGCATTTGTCTTGAGTAGGTTGTGACACATGCAGCCCATGCTCGGATGCTCAAACCTTTTACTCAGCCATAAGCACTACCTCCACAGTCTCTATGCTTTGTGTAGCTTCATCTACTTCAACTCCCCCCCTCAACAGCATATGTACCCTGTTCATTATGCTGTTGTTTCAAGGTATGTCCTCCATTCTTCAACACTGTCACATAGCTTGGGGACTCCATTTCATATGCCACTGCTGGTATTTGCAGGTGTAGCCCAGATCTTGCTTGCTGCATTGCCTGTCTCCCAATTGGCTTTGTGAGTACATCTGCCAGATTTCTTGTGGTGTCCACATACTTGATCTGCACCCTTCCCTCTTGGATGTTGTTATGGATGAAGTGGTACTTGGTGTCGATGTGCTTAAGCTTCCAATGCTGTGCTGGATCTTTACTAACCTGTATGCAACCAGTGTTGTCTGAGTAGACCATTGGGGTGCCTGTGGCAATGCCAATTGAGCATAGCAGCTGCTTGAGGAAGAGCACCTCACATGTTGCTTCTGTGGCTGCAATGAACTCTGCCTTGATGGCGGACAATGATACACATTTTTGTGTTGCTGACTTCCAGGCTACTGGGTTCCTGTACACTAATGCCACTGACCCCAATGTACTCCTTCTCTGTATGGTGGCATCACTCACCCAGTTTGCATCACTGTGCATGGTCAGTGGCTCTTGTGACATATTTCCCCTATAAACCAATCCAACTTCCTTTGTGCCTTCGAGATAGCATAAGACCCGTTGTGCTGCCTGATAATGCTCCTGTGATGTGTCAGGGGTCTCGCGCCTGAAACCCAGGTCGGTCTGTTGAGATACTCGGTGACTATCAAACTGTGCAACAGCTATTGTCTCGGTATCGGTCTCGACAAGCTAGTCACTCAGTGACTATCAAGTTGCATGATGACAGCAGGTGGTGTTCATTGTATATACTATCATAGGTTTCAGCTGACCTCTGTGGACACTCTGTTCAGGGGTAGCTCGGCATGATCAATATCAATGCTTCGATTATGATGACACCAAGGTCTGGTGTGAGTGTTGATGATGATGAGGTTGATGGTGTCAGTGATAAGGTCAGTGAGTGTTGATGGTAATGAGGTTGATGGTGTTGGTGATGAGGTTGGTGGTGTCAACATGAGTGTCCAGTGTGTTGACTTGATGCTTGAAGTGATCCCCAGACTGCAGTGGACTACTGCCTTTGGTTCTATCTATATCCAGACTGCTGGTTTGCTATGAACTGCCTTCAGACATCAGGTAGTGGTGATACAACACATGCACTACAATGAGGAGCAACCTTGATAGATTGCTACTATGTTGACTGAAACTAATATATACTTATGCTGAAGTGATTACTAGTTATGATGTGTGTAGAGTGGATGAGGATCCACTCGACCTTTGTGTCATGGGCCTGAAGGCTCAAGAAGCAGGAGGGTCACTGGTTCATATGGAAGGAGCACAAGTATCGAAGATCTAGTCGATACCATTAGAAAGCATGGTTGTAGTGCAGTCTCCATGGAGACCATGGACTCCTACAGACTCACATGCAAAGGAGGACTGAGCCATATGCAAGGAGGGCCAGGCACAGCCACGAAGAGGACCAAGCTCAAGGAGCATGCAGATGGTTACCACTCAGGGGCTCGAGAGACAAGAGTCAAAGGAACCGACACCAGGTCCTGAGGAGGAGGAGCAGTGTCGAAGGAGTCGACACCAAACAAGCAGCAGGATAGCAAGGAGGAGGAGCAGTGTCAAAGGAGTCGACACAGCTCAAGAGGCACAGGGGTGCCAAGTGTCAGGGGTCTCGCGCCTGAAACCCAGGTCGGTCTGTCGAGATACTCGGTGACTATCAAACTGTGCGACAGCTATTGTCTTGGTATCGGTGACTATCAAGTTGTGCAGTGACAGCAGGTGGCATTTGTTGTATATACTATCATAGGTTTCGGCTGACCTCTGTGGACACTCTGTTCAGGGGTAGCTCGGCACGATCAATATCAATGCTATGATGACACCAAGGTCTGGTGTGAGTGTTGATGATGATGAGGTTGATGGTGTTGGTGATAAGGTTGGTGGCATCAACACGAGTGTCCAGTGTGTTGACTTTGATGCTTGAAGTGATCCCCGGACCGCAGTGGACTACTGCCTTCGGTTCTATCTTGATCTGGACCGCTAACCTGCTATGGGCGCCTTCAGATGTCAGGTAGTGGTGATACAACACACACACTATGATGAGGAGCAACCTTGATAGATTGCTGCTATGCTGACTGAAACTAATATATACTTATGCTGAAGTGATAACTAGTTATGGTGAGTAGAGTGGATGAGGATCCACTCGACCTATGATGATGAGAAAGCATGGTTATATACCTCTTCTCAGCATTGCCAGCAATGCTGCTCCTGCTCTCTCTCCAGAGAGTACCTTCTTCATTGAGTACTGCTCAGGGGCCTCTCCTGCTTGGCACCCCTGTGCCTCTTGAGCTGTGTCGACTCCTTCGACACTGCTCCTCCTCCTCATGACCTGGTGTCGACTCCTTCGACACTGCTCCTTCTCCTTTGATCAGTGACAGTTCCTTTGGCTCTTGTCTCTCGAGCCCCTGAGTGGTAACCATCTGCATGCTCCTTGAGCTTGGTCCTCTTCGTGGCTGTGCCTGCTCCTTGAGCTTGGTCCTCCTCGTGGCTGTGCTTGGCCCTCCTTTGCATGTGAGTCCATAGGAGTCCATGGTCTCCATGGAGACTGCACTACGACCATGCTCTCTACTGATCTCGACTAGATCTTCGATACCTGTGCTCCTTCCATATGAACCCGTGACCCTCCTGCTTCTTGAGCATCCAGGCCCATGACACTACCCCCCTCTTAAGAGCCGAGCTCCATTGAGGCATGCTCTGGTCTGGTTCATGCTGACTCCTCCTCCTCCTCCTCCTCCTCCTCGACAACATCGCCAACATCATCCTTCCTCCTTCTCTCAACGTCATCCTCCTTCCTCTTCCTCTCTCTACTCCTCCTGTTCTCTCCTCCTTTCTCTACTTTGTCTACTCACTCGTCCCCCCTCCGACACCTCATACTCCTGGATGAGGTCGGGACAGTTGAGGTTCTCTACTGGTTCCCATGAAGCAGCTTTTTCTGAGTACCCTCTCCACAACACCTTGTACTCTGTAGTCCCATTGTGTGAATGCTTGTTGATGAGTGCTTCGACTTCGAAGTCGAGGTCCTCATCTGGAAGTGATGGTATGGTGGGCTGTTCAGCACGTTGAGGAAGAGAACTTGTTCTTGCTGGCTCGAGCATGGAGACATGGAACACATCATGCACCCTAAGGTTTGCTGGCAATGTGATTCGATAAGCTCAGCATCCTACCCGTTCCTGAACTGGGTAGGGTCCTGCAAACCGGGTGTCTAACTTGGGTGTGGGTCTCCTTGTCTTCCAGTTTCGACAGTTGATATAGACCATATCACCCACCTTAAACTCGATGTCCTTGTGCTTCCTGTTATACTGGTTTACTGATCTACGTTGTGCCTCTCTGATCTGCTCCTGGAGGTACTTGCAACACTCCTTTCCATCCATGAGGTACTCGAAGTGACCTGGATCATTGACTCCTAGTCGTTGAGGGATGTCAGGATGAGCTTTGGGGTTCCATCCATAGCATGCAAAGAATGGTGAGACACCAATGCTGTTGTGGACCGTGTTGTTGTATACAAAGGCTGCAGTGTCCAGCAGGTTGGCCCAGTCATTCTGCTCATAGTTGCAGTACATCCTGAGGTATTGCTCTATGACCTGATTGACCCTCTCTGTCTGACCATCGGTTTGAGGATGGTAAGCCATGCTAAGTGAGTGCTTCACACCCATTTGCTCTGCAAATGCCTTCCATGCTCCTGATATGAACTGCCTGCCTCGGTCCGAGACCATGTGATCTGGATATCCGAAGAGTCTAACCATGTGTCCATATAGCAACACTGCAGTCTGTTTGGCCATGACTGTCTTATGGGTTGGAGCTAATATGGCAAACTTGGTTAACCTGTCGACAATGACTAAGATAGAGTCATAGGTCTTGGAGTCATACTTCTTCGATGGTGGTAGTCCTTCGATGAAGTCGAGGGATATGGAGCCCCAGGGCCTGTCTGGTGTTGCTAGTGGCTGTAGCAAACCATATGGACGGTGACGAGGAGCTTTGTACCTAGCACATACAGGACAACTTGCTACATAGTCTGCAATCCAAGCTGTCATGTTTGGCCACCAGTAATGTCGTTGAGCTGCCTTGATGGTAGCATCTCTTCCTACATGTCCAGCAGTAATACCATCATGGCATTGGGTCATCACCATGAATCGCAGATGCTCTACAGAGAGAGACTGTCCATCTACCTCTTTGGCACTCCTTGAGTGTCGGTTGTTGGTCCTCCCTGGCATGATCACTTTGGGGATAACCAACCTTCCTCCACTGTACCATAGGTCATCCTTGACCTCGAAGGGCTTCTTCACATGTATCTCCTGTAGCTCTTGGTCCTTGTGGTGTCCACATACTTGATCTGCACCCTTCCCTCTTGGATGTTGTTATGGATGAAGTGGTACTTGGTGTCGATGTGCTTAAGCTTCCAATGCTGTGCTGGATCTTTACTAACCTGTATGCAACCAGTGTTGTCTGAGTAGACCATTGGGGTGCCTGTGGCAATGCCAATTGAGCATAGCAGCTGCTTGAGGAAGAGCACCTCACATGTTGCTTCTGTGGCTGCAATGAACTCTGCCTTGATGGCGGACAATGATACACATTTTTGTGTTGCTGACTTCCAGGCTACTGGGTTCCTGTACACTAATGCCACTGACCCCAATGTACTCCTTCTCTGTATGGTGGCATCACTCACCCAGTTTGCATCACTGTGCATGGTCAGTGGCTCTTGTGACATATTTCCCCTATAAACCAATCCAACTTCCTTTGTGCCTTCGAGATAGCATAAGACCCGTTGTGCTGCCTGATAATGCTCCTGTGATGTGTCAGGGGTCTCGTGCCTGAAACCCAGGTCGGTCTGTCGAGATACTCAGTGACTATCAAACTGTGCAACAGCTATTGTCTTGGTATCGGTGACTATCAAGTTGTGCAGTGACAACAGGTGGTGTTCGTTGTATATACTATCGTAGGTTTCGGCTGACCTCTGTGGACACTCCGTTCAGGGGTAGCTCGGCACGATCAATATCAATGTTATGATGACACCAAGGTCTGGTGTGAGTGTTGATGATGATGAGGTTGATGGTGTTGGTGATGAGATTGGTGATGTCGATGATAATGAGGTTGATGGTGTTGGTGATAAGGTTGGTGGCGTCAACATGAGTGTCCAGTGTGTTGACTTGATGCTTGAAGTGATCCCCAGACTGCAGTGGACTACTGCCTTCGGTTCTATCTTGATCCAGACTGCTAACCTGCTATGGGCGCCTTCGGACATCAGGTAGTGGTGATACAACACACACACTATGATGAGGAGCAACCTTTGATGGATTGCTGCTATGCTGACTGAAACTAATATATACTTATGCTGAAGTGATAACTAGTTATGGTGAGTAGAGTGGATGAGGATCCACTCGACCTATGATGATGAGAAAGCATGGTTATATACCTCTTCTCAGCATTGCCAGCGATGCTGCTCCTGCTCTCTCTCCAGAGAGTACCTTCTTCATCGAGTACTGCTCAGGGGCCTCTCCTGCTTGGCACCCCTGTGCCTCTTGAGCTGTGTCAACTCCTTCGACACTGCTCCTCCTCCTCATGACCTGTGACAGTTCCTTTGGCTCTTGTCTCTCGAGCCCCTGAGTGGTAACCATCTGCATGCTCCTTGAGCTTGGTCCTCTTCGTGGCTGTGCCTGCTCCTTGAGCTTGGTCCTCCTCGTGGCTGTGCTTGGCCCTCCTTTGCATGTGAGTCCATAGGAGTCCATGGTCTCCATGGAGACTGCACTACGACCATGCTCTCTACTGATCTCGACTAGATCTTCGATACCTGTGCTCCTTCCATATGAACCCGTGACCCTCCTGCTTCTTGAGCATCCAGGCCCCATGACACTCAGGACCTGGTGTCGACTCCTTCGACACTGCTCCTCCTCCTCAGGACCTGCTTGCCAGTTCCCTATACATTGCTCCTTCTCCTTTGACCGGTGATGGTTCCTTTGACTCTTGTCTCTCAAGCCCCTGAGTGGTAACCATCTGCATGCTCCTTGAGCTTGGTCCTCTTCATGGCTGTCCTGGCCCTCCTTGCATATGGGCTCAGTCCTCCTTTGCATGTGAGTCCATAGGAGTCCATGGTCTCCATGGAGACTGCACTACGACCATGCTCTCTAATGGTATCGACTAGGTCTTCGATACCTGTGCTCCTTCCATATGAACCAGTGACCCTCCTTCTTGAGCATTCAGACCCATGACAAAAGGCTTGTATTACTTATTGTATGATAGCAACATGACTTGGAGTATATATACATGCTCTGGGCACTTGTCTGTGCTTACCTTGTTGAGTCATTCCCATATTCCACATATCTACTTTCATGAGTGTTGTCATGTCAATGTATTAGTCCCCACTAGCTTCGCGTTCTGCTTGTCTTTCCTCATTGTTCTGTCTCTTCCCGATTTTCCTGATCCTGTGTACTCCCGTTCAATACATCACGCGTTGGCGATGCCGATGCATCTTCAACTATATATATACAAAAGAGGAGCGGCAGAGAGCCACATCAACTGCAGAGCAAAACAGAGCATTTGTCTTGAGTAGGTTGTGACACATGCGGCCCATGCTTGGACACTCAAACCTTTTACTCGGCCGTAAGCACTACCTCCGCAGTCTCTATGCTTTGTGTAGCTTCATCTACTTCAACTAATACAACTTATGGCTATTGAGCATTAGAGTGATGTATGGTGACATGTAAAATTATGGGACAGTTTATGCACATGCTGTATGTCTATTAGTACATGGTACACCACAGATTACTTTTCTTCCGTGTGATCGACACGCAGATCTTCCAGTCAACACCTCTGGCCCACACCCTCACCGGGATCGAAAGCAGTGCTGTACGACGCATCTCAGGAGCTCATGTTGAGCTTTTTGAGCGCTCAGATAAGCCATATGTGTGGCTATCACGAGGTGACACCGCTCAAGAACGACGAAGGAAGGCAACTGAGTGCGTCAAACCAAGCATGCTAAGCTTTGTCGGATGGGAATGAAAAAGCCAAAAAAAAAAGGAAAAAAAAAAAAAAAAAAAAAAAAAAGGTGGAAATCTCTTCTTCTTGTTAGAAACTTGAGTCGTTTCGGGTCCCGATACTGGTGATCGGGGATAGTCTTAGTACAATGTCACTACTCTTTTAAGGCAGAAACATATACTAAATTGACTAAGGAAATGTGGCGAGAGCCTAGTGCTCTCTGTGAGGTATATATACATGTGAGTGGCACTTGCCGGATGTGGGAGTACTACTACTTCATGATCTGTCATGACAACGAGCGGGACTGTGTTGCACCCGATCTCTACTGAGATCGACTCGACTTAATCTTCGATCGAATCGGTAGTTCAACTGGATCGGCCCTGCCTGATCTTTGATCAGATCGGCTCCGCGTCATCCTTTACCGTCTCATTGGATCGTTATTTTCAGCACTTCTCACCGCCAAAAGGATGCGAGAAGAAAGTTGCGCATTGCCCTTACCGCTTCTGCAGCAAACTCGTGGCTTTGTCGTCGCACAACTCAACCAATTCTTCTTTCTTGCATACCAACACTTCCGAACACACATTCTGAAGTATCACCACCCATCACCACCATCACCACCATCACCACCATCACCCATCATCACACACAAACATGTCCGCCGCTCAACAGAAACCCGCAGCCTCCACACCTGCCGCTGCTGCCACCAAGGAGGAGAGCTTCAACGACTCCATCCTTCCCAAGTACAAAGTTGCTGGAGAAATTTCCGCTAAAGCAATCAAAGCTGTCATCGCTGCTGCCACCGAAGGCAAAACCCTTCTCGAGCTTTGCGATATTGGTGACAAAGTTCTCGAAGAAGAGACTTCCGCCATTTACAAAGGCAAGGGTATCTCTAAGGGTATTGCATTCCCCACCACTCTTTCGCTTAACAATGTCGTTTGCAACTATGCTCCACTCCCCACCGATGACGAAAAGGTCACTTTGAAGAAGGGGGATGTTGTTAAAGTTCAATTGGGTGCTTATATTGATGGTTTGCCTGCGATTTGCGCAGAGACCTTTGTAGTTGGTGCTGATAAGACCAGCCCTGTTGAAGGAAGGGCTGCTGATGCGATTAAGGCTGCTCTTGTTGCTGCTGATGTTGCTATTCGAGTTATGAAGCCTGGTGTTCTTAACACCGAGGTTTCCAAGGAGATCGAAACCGCTATCAAGCAATTCGAATGCAAAGCTGTCGAGGGGATGCAAACCAATCAGTTTGCTAAAAACGAAATCGATGCTAAGAAGAAAATCGTTCTCAACGCCGAACCTGGCTCTCGTCCTGACACCGTCAAACTCGAAGAAGACGAAATCTACGGTGTCGATATCTCAGTCACAACTTCAGCTGAAGGTAAAACTCGCTCGGACGATAGCAAAACTACCATCTATCGCAAGACAAACAACACTTACCTCCTTAAACTCCAAACCTCGCGTAAGGTCTTGAGCGAGATCCAGAAGAAGGCCGCTTCCTTCCCTTTCAACATCAAGGGTTTGGAAGATAGCCGTCGTGCAAGGATCGGTGTTCAGGAGTGCGCCAAGCACGGTCTGTTGACTCCTTTCCATGTCTTGGAGGACTCGGATAAGAAGGCGGTCACTGCACAAGTCTTCTTTACTGTCGCAGTCAACGCTAAGGGTGCGATTAGGATTACGCCCGCTCCTACTTGGGCTACCGAGGAAAATTTGAAGCCGGCCAAGCAGGTCACGGACGAGAAGATTAAAGCTTTGCTCTCAACTGCTGTTCGTCAGACAAAAAAGAAGAACAAGCCTGCTGCCGCTCCCGCTGCTTCCGCTTGAAGCTCCTCTTCAGCACATCACAAGAACGTCGGCAATTCAATGTGAATACCTCGCCGATCATCCTTGTCTCTTAGCCAGTCCTTGGGCACACCTATTTGGGCGAGAGGAGGCAGCACAAACCAAAAAGCAAACGTGTTTCTCCCAGCATCACCCTCATTTCCGGCTGCAATGAAGAAGAAACCAGAACAAAACAGCACTCACAGCTTAATCCAGATCTGTGCACGCAGTCTTCTGCAATGAGAGGGATGGATTTCAGATTCTGACGGTCTGTAACCGTTTTTGTGACAAGAGAATGAGATGGATTTGACAAAATGGTGTCTGCACCTTGTTCAAAGCTGTGCAACTCAATGCAGCGCAATTAACTTAGAGCGCAAGATCATCCAAAGCATCCGGATCTTCAGGTTCCATCATTGTGCCCTCATTCTCCACCATCGCTGCATACGCCAACATCTGCTTCTGAGCATCCTCATCATTTTTTACCTCCTCTAACCCGAAGGGCATTGCGCCGAGATCCAGTGCAGCCTGCATGGGATCCGATAGCGCCCGCATTGTGGCGGGCTTATCCGCACCTGCACTCTGCTTCTTGCTCGGATTGAATTTGGCACATCGAGCCTCGCTGAGACCGTAGAGCTGCTTGAGGTGGTTCCGCAGCAACAAAGCGGTACCAGAGATGATGGACATGTGGGCCATGGTAACAGGGTCGACTTGGGTTTTGGAGCCTGCTGCTGCTGCTTCGTCGTCCTTCGTTCCGCTTGAAGGGTTGGCGGGTTGACTGGTACTGCTCGGCGCTGCATCTCCGTCCATCGCTGCATCTCCGTCCATCGCTGCGAAGGGTGGCGGCTGGCCGAAGATCTGCGTCGGGTCTACCGTACCAGAGAAGGACTGTGGTCCATCGCTTGCCAGCTGCAGCTGCCATTCGCCGGAAAGCCAAGGGTTGCGAGACATGCCAAAGGGGCTGGTCAGGTCGTTACCAGGCACAGCACCTACACCGGGAGGAGGAGGTGGCGTCTGGGTACCATCCATAGGCGGCAGCGGCGTGCTGACAGGGGCGCCAACCGGCGCTTCCTGCTTCGGCAAATGAGGCTGGATCATGTACAGCACTTGCATACCCGATACTGCCAAGATGGAGCGCAACTCGCCAATTACAATGAACAGCTCTTCCATCGTCTTGTAGTCCAGCGTCGCAAGGTTGTCTGCCATGAATCGAGTGAAGAGCACTTCTTGCATGTCGCACTCTGAAGCTGCAGTGTTGACATCGAGCGCCTTGACAATCTGTTTGAGGAAGTCGAGTCGTGTTGCACGTCGGTCTCGCAAGAGACTGTACCAAGCACCGAGCACCGCGGTCGGCATCGAGTCGACGCGGAAGCCACGCAATGTTTGCGCTGAAGTCTGCTGCAGCTGGAAGCGGAAAGCGGAACGTGCAGTGTCCAAGAATCGCGCATGAACAAGCGAGGCATGCTTGGATGCCAAGTGGCTGTGCAACTCCATGGCTCGACTGCGGATCTTGCGATCTTCGAGCATCTCGAGCGACACGAGGTAGGGTACACATTGAATGGGGTGCGACAGACCCTGCAGCACTGTGAAGCGTAAGATATCGATCGCAGTGCGCTGGAGCGAAGGATTCGATATCTCGAGCGTCGCTTTGAGCACATCTTCCGAGTATCGCTGCATCATCGCCGAGCCGACACCCGTGTCTGCGAAAGTCTCGGTATTGCCAACCAGGATCGTCATGTCGACGCTGCCTGCATCAGGCTTCTCTGGCTTTCTGCGCCCTGTGCCCACGTTGACCACAGCATTGTCCGGATTGCGGCGCGAAGAGTCAGCGCTGAGGAAGTCCAAGATGATTTTGAGCAACGTTGCACGGTCCTGCAACAAGCCCGAAGCAAAGATGTCATCCATCATCGCTGTCATGGATTGCTGAGTCATCAGAGTCGGATAGGCTCGGAAAATGAAGCCCAAGTTCTGCAGCGACACGGAGCGCACTGCCTCGCTACCGGTCTTGTGGATGTCAAGCAGAGCTTTCGACACCGCATCGATGAGCGGACCTTTGCTAAGCGCAGCAATGTCGGACGCTGTCTCGGGATGCTTCTTGCGAATGTCGTCAAAGTTGGCATGCTCGCACAAGGAAGCAGTGAGCGACATGAGCGTGCTCCATGCCTTGTTGTCTTCGACCTTCTGACCTTTGAGCGCCATCTGCCGCATAGCCTGAACACGTACGAAGCACGCCTTGAGTGTCTGAATCAGCAGCTTGAAGTTGTGAGTATGAGTCGTGATGACGGCACAGTAGCATGCGATGAGCTCTTGCAGCAGATGGAGACCTGCCTTGGGTGGCGGACGGTTGACGAGAGGTCGCAAGCTTTTCTCAAGGGACTCGGCGAAGGCGAGTGCGGTCTTTGGCATGTGCGGTAGACATGAGCGGAAGATCCTAAGTAGCAAGTCCATGATTTGCACCTCCTCGCTCGTTTGCGCTGCCTTGAGATATGGCAGTAGCAATTTCGCCTTCGAGATGGTCAGGATGGCAGGGTTAGTGGAGACGAGCAGCTGGACGATGCGGATGCGCTTGACTGTGTCGACATCCGATGCTCCGCTTGATTCGACCAGGCTGTCAATCATCGAGTCGCCGAGCTTCTGCAGCTTGGCGTGAAGTTCAGCGGCCTCGGCTTCACTCTTGTCCTTGAAGAGACGTCGGAACACCTCTTCCAGCGGTGAAGGGCGCTCCTTGATGACATCTGCGACGGCCATAATGATCTCAATCGTATCCGTGACCTTCTTGTCCGCTTCTGTCTCTTCAGTCGGCTCATCTTCCGTGGGCCGTGGACCGTCAGCCCGTCCATTCGTCTCGTCTGCTGGCTTTGAAGGCTCTTCTCTGTCGCCATCCTTCGCTTCAGTAGCATCTGCTGCTGAAGCTGGAGTCGGCGTCGATTGGACGGGAGTGCCTCTTCGTCGGGTGTACAAACGACGAGCGTCGACGTCCAGGTCAAGCCACATCTCGCCAATCGTGAGGATGGCCATGTCCTGGACAACCGTATCTTCGTCGTTGATGCAGCGAACAATACGAGCACACGCATCAATGCGAATGTGCTGGTCGTCAGTTGCTTCGTGCAAACTCTTGAGAAGGCGCACCATGCGCTTTCGTACCGACAGACCTGTGTCGAGGATTCGCAGAGCCAGTTGCTTGTAGTACTTGGGAATGTACTGCGGCTTTCTGAGAACGTAGCTGCCGAACAGAGCCACCGCGCTTTCTCTGACTGTGTTGCTGGAGTCGCGCAGACGGACCTCTATCGCGCTGCGCATGGCATCCTCGTCGAGCAGGTCGGGGTCGACTTGTGCGATGCGGTCAATGCCACGCAAGGCCTTGCTGCGGTTCGCAATGATGGGATTGTTGAGGCCTTCAACGAGCAGGTCCTTCAGTACATTGTACGAGATCATGGAGCTGCTGGCGACTAGTACACGTTCAGAGAGGTCCGTTGCCTTCTCGAGCATCTTCTCGTCCGAGTTGAAATCAGCGAGCGACGTGTCGCCAAGGGTCGGATCAAGCTCTGAGAGGGTCAACATTGCTGCGTCAAGCTCTTCACGGAAGTGCTGGAGCTTGGCGATCTGCACTGCGGTGTCGTCCATGGAGTTGCTGAGCGCCTGCTTGTCTTCCTCAGCCTTGGCCCATGCAGTGGCGAGGTCGCCTTCGGCTTGCACTAGCAGGAACTCGAGAGCGCCTTCCATTGACATGTCCTCGCTGCCAGCTTTGACAAGGAAGCGCGAGATAAACTTGTACGCTTTCACAAACTCCTGAATAGCATATCGATCTCCTTCGCGCAACGCTCTCAACATCGAAAGGTAGTCCCACATTGTCCACTTGGGTCGCTTTCTCGGGCTCTGCGGTCCTGCTCTCTGGAGTGCAGAGTTGTCCGGATCGCTGTCCCCGAGCTGCGGGCTCTTTTCGTCGTTCGGACTGCGAAGGGCTTTGATTGGAGCGGGTTGCAGCTGGAGCTGACTCTGGCGTAGCCTAGCAGCGACGAGACTGAGTTGCTCGAGCGCGACACCCTTGGCATCAGGATGGCTTTTTGGGTCTTCCAGATAAGTGCCAAAGACACGACAGAAGGAGCTCAGCATCAATGCTGCAGCAGGCCATTCCGGCAGGAAGAGTGCACTGAGGAGATCCTGGATAAGCGACTCGACAACGTAGGCATAGCTCATCTCTTGCGACGACTTGGCTACCTTGGTCTGGCCAATGCGTTGCATGAGATAACCTGCGATAGATCGAGCAGACTGATTGGCACCCTCAAGTCCTCGTCTCCAGATGGCGATCTCGGCCTCCCTAGCGTCGTTCGCGTCGGAGCCGGATGTAGCGTTAAAGGCCTCAATGACGACCTCCAACGCCTGCATTCGGTTCGAATCAGCTTCCGCCTCCTGCATTTCGATTCCGTTGTTCTCTTCCTCTCCATTTGCATCTTTGCCCTTGGAGAGGCGGTCCGCTGTCGACTTGGCATAGCTTGCAACGCCATGCGAGGCGGCTTGAATGAGCTGCAGCAGAAGCGCATTGATCGAGTGGATGCCTTTGCCGTTGCGCAGACTGTACTGGCGACGATTCTTCTTCATGTCGGTCAGCTTGGTCAAAGAAGTAAGAATCTCTTCGATCATCCACTGTCGCTGATCAGGCGCCTTGGCAAAGATACTGCGCAAAAGATTGAGCGCTGGCAGTCGCAAGGTCTTCATAGAGTTGGCGCCTCCGAGAGATGCAAGTGCATAACGACCACGAGCTGCAGCTTTGGCAGTCTCGCTGCTAGCGCCTCCGCTGGCTGCCTCTGGCTCGAGCACAAAGAAGGGACCGAGAGCAAGGTAGACAGCACTGATGACGATCGAGTCAGAGAGCGCGATGGATGGCATGCGGACCATGCGCTGGACGAAGAAGAGGGCCGAACAGAGATGGGCAAAGAGATCGGAAAGAGTGTTGCGGCATATGATGGCGGTGCTAGAAGTCGGCTCCTCTGCATTGGCAGCAGTTGCTTTCTTCTTGCGTGCTTTTTGTGGTGCCAGAACATCGATGAGAGCGACAAGAACAGGATGCGGGGCAGTAGCAGAGCTTCCCGAACATGCTTCGATGAACGGCAGGATGACCTTTTCGAGACAGGTTTTGACAGCCCCAAAGCAAACGCGGATGTGGTCTTCGGACAGGATCTGCTTGGGAAGCACATCGCCGGTCAAGAAGCCAAGGCTGCATTCTGCAGCCAAGATAGCATGGTCGACGACTGAGAAGGTGGCGTTGACCTTGTCGAGCTCTTGATCAGCAGAGCCGATGTCTCTGTCGCCGACTGGCGTCGCTCCATGTGCCGCATCTAGATCGCCACCATTGCGGTCAGGTGTCTGTACCGGCTCGGGTATCTTTGAAGGCGACTTGCCTTGTCGGTCGAGTTTGCGAGCCTTCTTTGGCTTTGTTGGGGAGGCCGGCTCAGATGCAGCTCCTCGGTTGACTTGAGACGGGAAAGGGTCGAGATCCTCTGCAATTCGTGCAGTGCGTTCGAGAATTGCAAGAAGGCGAGTGATGTCGGCATTCGGGATCGTGCTGAGTCCTGACTCGGTCGCTGACTCGGTCCTGGCCGTCAAGGCTGCGATCTCGGTTTGTGGACGTGAACACTTGACGATCAGTTTGAGAAGTTTCTGGAGAGCAGCTGTTCGCAACACTAAGATGGAGCGAGACTCGCCGCCAGTGGAGGAAGGCGACTCGATGACCTCGAAGAAGGGGTCGGCGGCGGCAGAGAGGCTCTGACCTGGAAGCATGTCTTGTAGAACATCACGATCCGGTAAAGAGTCGTCGGCTTCAAAGAGATCCTCGATCAGACCTTGTAGCTTGGCGATGGGCATTTTGCGATGTGAGCTCTTGACGGGACCGTTGCTCATCTTTGCTGAGCTCTTTGGACCTTCGGAGAGAGATTCGGCATCATTGGGTGGAACTGCATCCCAATGCTCGAGAATGTTGAGATCATCCCAATCGCTTCCTTCGGCATCCATGCCAGAGTCACTATCTTCGACGATCTCGTTGACCAAATCCGAGAACGACTTGCTCTTTCGCTTGCTCTTCTTCTTTCTCTTTGTCTCTTTCTGCTCGAGGTGCGAGTCATGCGCAGAGGATGTGTACGAGTGGCCGTTATAGAAAGGACTGTCAGCGTTGGGCAGAGGTAGAGAAATGTCTACAGTCACCTGAGGTGGCATTGGCTGATCGTTGTTCCCTAGCTTGGGCTTCTTAGGCTTGTTCGGTTTGGGTGGTCTCGATTCTTGAGGCAGGCCAGCATGAAAAGAGTTTGGAAGCGAAGAGTCGTCGATGCTTAGTCTAAAGGTAGGTGTGGAAGCGGGTTGCTCCACTTTCACCTTGTTGGTACGCTTCCTCTTTGGCTTGTCTGCAGGTGCTGCATCCTTGGGCTTGCTCGAAGGGGATGAGTTGCCAGCTTGAGCGCGTACCATCGCGATATCGTGTTGCTGCGGTGTCAAGTGCTGGTGATGATGCTGAGCGAAGCCGTTGGGATTGTAAGGCTGAGGCGGTGGGGATGGCGCACTGTGTTGTTGTTGTTGCCAGAGTGACAAGTGAGCGTGAGGAGAGAGAAGATTGAGAGGATCTGGGCTCTCTTGGACCGACAACGTTTGCGAAGCGAAAGGAGGAGGAGGAGGAGGCGAAGGGGTCTGAAGCTCTTCAGATCGACGAATGCCCATCGGAGCTATGGATTGAGTTGGAGCGGGAGGCGGCATTACCTGCGAGCAAGGTGCTCTGGCGAAGAGCTCGCTCGGCAATGCGTACTGAGGCAGAGCTCCGTCGGCAGCCTGGAAGCCTCGGTTAGATTGCAGGTTGGCTGCCGCAGGCAGAGGCGCGTTTGCTATAGCTGGACCTGCTTCAGCATTCATCTTAGGCTTCCACCTGCGCTTGACCGATTTGGGCTTACTCTTCTCTGTCGGGAGGGCCGATGTAGATATCGAAGAGGCGGTGGCTGGCTTGATCGGAGCCTGCAGCGGTGGTTGTGGCGGGAGAGAGCTGACTTTCGGACTCGCCGACAAGGCCATTTCCAGTGTGGAGGAAGCAGAAGAGGACGAGGCAAGCGAATGCATTGGTGGCTGAGCATGTTGGCGAGATGGGAGTGAGTGGTTCCGGGCAACTAAGAGACTAGGAGAGCCAGGCTCGGCCATGTGTGGCATGGGTTGTGATGGTGCCATAAACTCGTTCGAGGCTGGTGCCCTCGTAGACGTCCCTGCACGTGATGGTCGCCGACCCCAAGCTGCATCGAGACTGCTGCCAGAAGAGCAAAGGGGTGCAGTATAAGAGCCTGGTAGCATCGACTGCGGCACTCCGCCGCCGTGATTATAGGCTGGTGCGACAAATGCACCGGCGGAGTTGCGGTGTTGACTGACAGGCTCTACTTGATTGGCGTGTGAATTGTTAGAGAGATGTGGCGAGCTGTGATCGTGACGAGGTCCGCAGCGGAAGGGCAACAGTCGGGACCATGAGAGGCGATCGGTGAATGGCAACATTCCGAAACCATTCGGCGGGACAGTCACATGTGCGCGATGCAGGGTTGTGATCAAGTCAAAAAGAAAAACAAAAAAAAAAAAAAAAAAAAAAAGAAAAAAAGAAAAATATAAAAAAGAAAAAAAAAAGGAGGGGAAGAGCGTCAGAAGGGGATCTCTTTTATCACGAAATGAAGTCTGCGGAAGCGACGAGTGATTGCGCAGAAACAGCGCCCACTTCATGTTCTCGTTTCGTACAGAAGAAAACCTGCAAAAGAAGGCTGCACTTGGACTGAAGCTGTCTGCGTGATGATCAAACTTACCTGCCGATGGAAGGATTCCTCTGTGGATGCGGAAATGAGCCTGAATCAACCGGGCTCGGCTGCATGTTAGGATAAGGTTTGGTAGAGTTCCATGAAGCTAAAGTCGAACTTGATCCTACGTTTTGCGGATGCTGCTGAGGTTGTCCAGTCTGTGGAGCAGCTGGCCACTGTTGTTGAGATTGTCCGTGACCATTCGAGCTGGAAGCATTCCAGTGTCCCGACAGAGTCAGGTTTTCCGTTTGTGCACTTGCAAAAGAGCCGCGCTGACCGGTGAATGGATCGCCATGAGAACTGTCAATCTGAGTAGAGACCCGCCGCAATGGTGGATTTGGTGTGGGTCTTTCGAGACCGGCCATCAGATTGAATGTTCTTCCTGCAGGCTGTCCGCCGCTCTGGAACACATCTGATATGGGCGACTGCGAGATGGCCAATCGTTCTCGAGTGCCAGTAGACGGTGCATATGGCGATTCCATTGCATATTGACTTGCAGCGTCCGGGGCCCGCAATGGTTGCTGTGGAGTCGACTGGTTGGACGGCGATGCGAATGACTGGGGATATGCATACTGCTGGTGTGATGGCTGGTGTTGTTGCTGCTGCTGCTGCTGCTGCTGCTGTTGGCGAGAAGGACCGGCCGAAAGTGAAGGACGATGCTGAGGAGCGGCTGCGTACGTGTTTGAGTATTCCCAAGGAGCCTGTGTTCCGCTGCCGTTGTACTGCCGTTGTGCCAGCTGCTGCTGCATGTAAGGAGACTGCTGCGTTTGATGCAACTGCACCATACCATTGCCGCACCGTGAGCCGAGATTTTCTCGTCTAGGAGCATTCGCATATCCAGATGTCGTCGGGGACTGCTGTACTGTTTGAGCTTGACCGTAGTAGCTCCCAGAAGAGGAAGGATAGGATGGAGCTGCTAAAGACGACGATGCGTCGATGCTCGTGCCAGCTCCATATTGATATCGCTGCGATTGAGCTGTACTGTTCATCTGCTGATACTGAGGTTGATCGACCGTGCTTGGAGAAGCTTCGCCCGTGAAGGGATCTGATGTCTGCTGTGCATGTTGTTGATCTGAATAGGCCAGTTGCTGATTCGGCTGCTGTTGAGGCGGAGGAGCTTGTCCAGGGTATGCTGGATACGCCGCATACTGCTGCTGTTGCTGATCAGCATACCAGCCGTTTTGGCCGTTCATGGTTCGCGAGCGAATCCGCCGTCCGCAGGCGCAGGCAAGAGCCGAACAGCGCGAAGCAGTTTGTGATTCTATCAATCAGTTCGGACTGAAGCGAATTGCATGCAGACTTGCGAGTAGGCGATACAGTGACCTACGAAAGTGCGAGTGTGGTTAGGAAAGAGCGTCGACTGCCTGTGAGAGGCTGTTTGGCTGCATCTGCATTCTCGTCTATGATCTGAATGTGCAGTTCCTGTTCAGTGTCGTTTTTTGTTTTTTGTTTTGTTTTTGTTTTGATGTTGCAATATCTCTAAGGATGTCCGAGCGAGTGTGATGACAAGATTAGGCTCTAAGTTTGTCGGAGGAGCCGAGATGAGAGGCAAGCGGAGAAAATGAGGTCGAGACCAAAGCTTGTTGGCCTGCTTGATGATGATGATGAAAGTGACAGCTAGCTAGCTGCTGCTGCTTGTTTCACGAATGATGTTCATGTTCAGGCTTCTCTTTGCGCTCAAGTTGTCGGCAGCTGCTCATAATTGCATCACGTGATTGTCAAGAAGACGTGCGCGTCTGGCCTGTCAACGGTGAGTTATCGCTTTGCACGAAACATTGGCAACGCGTTCTTAATCTCCTCTCCAACCTCATTTCTTGGAGAGTGTCTCAAACTCGAATACAAACTCGATCGATCTTCTTGTTCTTTCAGAACTTGCTCTCGCCGGTAGTAATAGAATTCCCTGAACGGATATCACATCAAGAGTCTTCTAGTCGTGCGCCATCTATAGGGGCCTATCAGAGTGTCACCCCTCCCTTCAATGCCAGTCCAACGAAACAGTCGAGGCTAGCCCGAACCAGATTGTCAACTGCTCAAGATAACGATCCAATATGATGATGCAAGTTGACGCAAGCCGATCTGATCAGAGATCGGGTACAACTTAGTCCCCCTCATTGTCACGCTTCATCATTAAGTAGGATACTCTCACATTCAGCATGTGCCATCAAGATGTATATACTGTATATCAAGCTGAGAGATCTAGGCTCTCACCACGTTCCTTCAGTCAATCGAGTATAGTGTTTCTGCCCTAATAGCAGCAGTACAGTACTGTGTTCTGATTGACGTCGATCGCTGATTATCGACATCCGTCCTCTATCTACTTTTATCATCAACTACCACGCCTCCAACTCGGCCGCTCTTTTCGCCCCTGACGGCTCCCTTCAGCATGTCTTTCGCAAACACTTTCTCTTTGAAACCGACCAAAAGTGGGCTTCAGCAGGCAGTGCGTTCGAATCACTTCATATACCGAACCTCGGCAATGTCTGTGTTGCCATCTGTATGGATCTCAACCCATTTCAATTCCACACTCCCTTCGATTACTGCGAGCTTGCGTCCTTCTGCTTTCAACGCGACGTCGACAGGCTCGTCATGCCCATCGCTTGGCTTCTCCCCAAACGCCAAGAGCCAAGAGTAGACTCTTCGCCAAGTCTTTCCACAATCAATTACTGGGCGATGCGATGCTTGCCCTTCTTCAATCCTCAAACTGCATCAACGCAGCCTTCGAGCAGCGCGACTGCGGTGGGCGATGCAAATCCATTGAGCAGCACGATGAGGTATCTTGCTGCCACCAACCGCGTGGGCACCGCGGTAAAGCCGACGTTCGCAGGCTCGTCATGGGTGCTTCAGATGAAGGTGGGTCAACGACACCTATTGCTCGACAGCTTGGGAACCAAGAAGGAGGCTTGTCTGGTTGTTACTTTGCCTCCTTGAGCCGAACCCCCGCCTAGCGTCGGTTCTCACAGCCTCCAATAGAGTACATTTAATAGACATTCGAACTTCCTCTCACTCCTCTTTTCGAAGCTTTTCTTCACCACTCAAACCTTCTGTCTCTTCCCATCGAGGTCGCAAGGGAATTTGATCGCAATGAAGCTATCCGGCATGTTCCGAATCGGCTTTGTCGCAGCTATCGTCACTGCGCTCATCCTGCTTCCAAGCTGCATCGCTCCCCGCGACAAAGACAAGGCGAGTACCTCGACTTCACAGCCAAGTTCCCATTCCGAGTCTACAAAACTGCCCTGGCCCCCAACTCATGTCAACGAGTACATAGACTACCTCAATGTCAATAACATCGAGGGATTGAGTTTCAGCCCGTTGGACCAAGAAGCTCGTACTTTTGGCAATGTCCCCTTTTTCTACTTAGAGAGTCCCAAGTTAAGAACTCCCTTGTACTCCATTGACACTGCCACTGGGACGGTCGAACAGGCCCTCCGAGACCATGGATCTGTTGGGATTGTCGACGCCTCCAATAACTTGGCGAAGCTGATCCAATTCTCCGATGGCCGCCTCGCACAGGGCCTGTTTCCAGATGTTCAACCGGAGCCGATTCAGCTCTTCAAACTTGATCCTGCTCTGCATCATCTTCGGCAACTGGCCCGACATCCAGACAACAACATGCCTCCTCAGGCAGAAATCGAATACCTACCACATTTCGATAACAAGCCCATCCTCTCCCAAGGCTCTGAAAATCTCGGCCACATGTTACAAGCCGCCGGCACCGACCCGCGCAGCTTTTACTACTTCCAAGAAGGAATGGACCCCATATTGGTCGTCCCCGACGGAAACATGCTGATTGTCAACCCCATTGAAGATGAGAAGAGAAAACTTCGCGACATTCTGAAGGGGTATCAGACCGCCAAGAAGAATTACGGCCAAACAGTCGCTACTATAATCTGGGGCAAGCCTATCAGAGTCAGTGCTGATCCCCATGGCCTACGAAAGTCGTCTGTTCTACTGGAAGACTATCCGCGGTTTAAACATGACGCTCCGAAAAGGCATATGATGACAGCACTGCAGCGCAACGGACGCTTCCGCGTATACAAAGAGATTGATGGAAAGAAATATGGATACAAGGTAAAGATGAAGAATCCTGAAGCCGTGAATGGCGAAACCCTGCAAGTCGAAGTTAATCCACTCACCAGCACAGAAAATGTAATGGAGAAAGCACTGATTCGATTTGGCAAGATCAGATTGCCTTGATGACAGAGCTTCGTGTCAGTCATTGACGCTACGGGCTGTCCGTGATTTGCTAAGTCATCTGCCCTCTCTTTTCTTCCTTCTTCTGCTCTGACGTCTGGCTGTTGTCCCCTTGTCATAGAATCTCGAGCCGCGGTTCAGCTCATATTGCAATCAAAGTCGAAGCCGTTCAAACTGATGTAGCGACTTTGATCTTTCCCACACAATCGCATGCATAGAAAAAGGCTGTCAGATGAGTCACATTGAGTTCCGACGGTCCGATTAGGCGATCTCGGCGCAGGGCAGAGAAGCGCAAATAGCGTGCAAGATTTGGTCAAGGCTTTAGCGACTGTCCCTTCTGAGTGTGGCGCAGAGATGACGACTATCTTGCGAAGCTTGATGCTTGATCAAGTCTGCTCGAAAAGCATTTCGTCGGAACCGAATACCGTGTAGAACGCGGCTTCGACTTGAAGAGCTGTCTGCAAGTCTGTGTCATTCAATGATGCTGAAGTCGGTCGTTATTGCGGACCGTTTGACAACTTTATCTGCAGCCTACTCACATGAAAATGCGGTATGGGAATGGGAGAGCACGACCAAGATAAGGGGCAACACATCTGGTGGGATGGGATTTTGCTCCATTTCAAAGGCGTCGCGGTCAACTGCAGCATATATGATCTGAAGGACTGTCTGCGACTTGCTCGGCAAGGCTATGGTGGAGGTGAGAGGGAGCTATGTGCCCGGAGCAAGCCGGCCTACATTTGGTGCGGAACTGGTGGTTGAGTCGCACGATACGGAATGCTCGTTCCTCGAGTCGGATCTGTTGTTGCTCATCAACTTGGCGGAGCGGTCTTTGATGCTTGCGGCTGGCAGCGGTGCCAGCGAACACCCTAATGTGGCAGCTGGTAGGGGCGAGGCATCAGCAGCGGCAGACAGTGCAGCTGCGGGACCACAATCACCAACAATCAATGAGAAGTCAGGCCAGCAAGACAGCAGTGCTTCAGGATTGCTCGGTTACGTGTCGAATGTCTTCTCCTCTGACGGCGGAGCAGGGCCGGAGAAGACGGAGACGGGTAGCGACAGGCGCAATCACAACCTTTTGCTGACTGTGCGGACGCTACACGGCGTATGGACGCTGTGCTGGATGGAGCTGTGACCGACAGACGCAAAGTCACAGTCGCTCGACGCCATCAAATCCAAGGTGCAGCTTCGTTGCCGTCGTACCTTGGAGCGCATTTATTGCGCACATCCAGCAGAGACAGTCGAGTCGCTGCTTCATTGCTGGCAGTCTAGTGTCCGCGCCAGCCGCAAGACGTGCGACGAGCATGCGACACAAGCTGTGATCGAGATCCTTGACATCGTCACACCTTCTGCACAGATCCTTGTCACTTTCCTCTGTGACGTTCTCGGCGCACGCATTGGGCGCTCTGACTCGGAGCGAGCGAAGAAGACGGCGCATGCGCAGAACTCGAACAACGCAACGAGCATATCGGACGCGACCTTATTCTCCTTCTTTGATGCGGTCTTGGCTCGCATGGAACCAGGCGAAGCAACGCAAGTCTGTCCGGTGGTTATTGTATTCGTCAAGGACTTTGTCGCCAACAGTCTTGCCCGCAAGGTCCATGTCGACCCATGTTACGCATCTTCACAGGCCTTGCTGAGAAGATCTGCCTCACAGCTGCGATCAAGGATAGAAGAACGAAGCGAGATTTGCAGGACAACTTTGTCAAGTTGATCGACTCGTGCATCCTCATCTCCGGAAGATTATTCGACCAGTCGACATGGAATAGGAGGTCCGGGAGGGACAATGGAGAGGAGCTGGACAGGGAAGCTGCTGAGTTTGCGGCCGAGCTGCTATCATTGGAAGACGAGAAGCTCAGTGTCAATGCCGATGGGAACTCAGCAAACGGCGTGATCGACGCGATCAATCATTTTCTGGCTACTCGTGGGTTACCTGCATTGCGGAAGATTCAGATGGATACGGACCGCGTGCAAGCGATTGTGGCGAATGCGGCCTACTACGTAGTGGCGCCTGCCACTTGAATGAGGTCTCCTACGCTAGAGGTGGAGCCTAGCGTCTTGGTAGTGCTGTCGGAGTTGGTCCGTATGCCAGGTTCAGTCAAAGCATGGCGCAGCACGGTCGCTGATCTCTTCAACGATGCACGGTTCTTCAGCATCCGCCTGCATCAAGCAGAGCGGTTCAAGCCGATCATACTCGCTCTGATGAGTCAAGACAAAGAAAGACTGATGGATCTCCTGGCTCGTGTCTCGGCCTCTGCTGCGGCTGCCAACTTCTTTGCCAATCGCGAACTGGAAATGCTCTCGCGTGCACTTAACCTTCGCCGACTCTCTTTCACGCTCTTCTCTAGCGAGCAGGACGGCTTCTTAACGCAGCTACCGCTGATTCAAGAGAAGCTGGTGGATCTGCTGAGGTCGCAGGTGAACGAAGTGCTGCATGCGGAAGTCTATCTGTGTCTCAGGGTGGTGCTGGTCAGGTTCTCGGCGAGGAATTTGGCCAGTTTCTGGCCGGTGCTTATAACTGAGTTGATGCGACTGTACTGTAGGATACTGTTGCGGCCGAGCTGGATAGTATCGTGGGCAGTGCAGATGGAAGGGGGTTACTGCTGTCGACACTGAAGTTGTTGGATCTTTTGGTACTGCTGCAGCCGGAAGATTTCCAGATCAACGAGTGGTTGTTCATCACCGATACGATTGATGCAGTTTATCCGTCGGACGATTTCCAGCCGGAAACGCTACTAGATGGGCTCTCGGCCACGTTCCAAAAGGAGAGCTCCAAGCACTCGCACCAGCACCATCATCATCAGCACGGAAACGCTTCCGAGCCAGGGAAGATAGGCAAGCGCAGGCTGCAGCTTGGCAGAATGCGCACGATCGGATCAGTGGGAGAGCTAGGGCCGTTCCTGAACAGCGTCTCGCAGAACGCATTCGAGAGCAATTACGGAGACCAAGAGGTGGATCTGCATGATGTAGATGCTTGTCAGTTGAATTTAGATGCGCCGGTCCAGAGGCCACAGTCAGGCACTCTCACAATCGGGTGATCTAAGTAAAAAGGCTTGTATATTTAAGATGCGAGATGCTACAAAACACAGTGTATATATACCTTAACAGTAGCATGTTTATTCCTCGAGTCACACCTTGTACTGCCATTGGGTGGGTCGCCTTCATGATCATTGTCTTGTCAACACTTCATAACCAGTTGTCATACCCACATACCTGCTATGTGCTCTATTGTCAAGCCTCGAGCATAAGCTGCATGTGCTTTCTTGAGCTTCGTGTCCATCTCGTCTTTACTTGCATTTTGTGTTGCTCCAGCTTCCCAGTATTCAATGCTCTGATCTGACATGTGGTTCCCTGGAAATGCTGTAGTTTCTTCAACTTTGTCTGTTGGCAGATAACGTAGTTCAAAAAGCCCAGCTGCAGACTGACAGGGACCAGAAGGAGCATGAGATCCAGGAAGCTCTTAGTGCATTCCAGAAGGGTCAATTCAAAGACTTGAAGGCCACCACTGAGCATCACAATGTCCCTTACAACACTCTCTGGGATTACAGCAAAGGGTGCAAGAGCTGCACTGCTGCCTTTCAACATCTGCAGGTTATACTGTCATGGGCCTGAATGCTTGTCATGGGCCTGAATGCTGAAGAAGCAGGAGGGTCACTGGTTCACATGGAAGGAGCACAGGTATTGGAGATCTAGTTGATACCAGTAGAGAGCATGGTCATAGTGCAGTCTCCATGGAGACCATGGACTCCTATGGACTCACATGCAAAGGAGGACCAGGCCCATATGCAAGGAGGGCCAGGCACAGCCATGAAGAGGACCAAGCTCAAGGAGCATGCAGACAGTTACCACTCAGGGGCTCGAGAGACAAGAGTCAAAGGAACCATCACTGGTCAAAGGAGAAGGAGCAGTGTATAGGAAACCAGCAAGCAGGTCCTGAGGAGGAGGAGCAGTGTCAAAGGAGTCGACACCACTCAGGAGGCACAGGAGTGCCAAGCAAGCAGGATAGCAAGGAGGAGGAGCAGTGTCGAAGGAGTCAACACAGCTCAAGAGGCACAGGGGTGCCAAGCAAGCAGGATAGCTCAAGGAGGACAGGAGTGGTGCTAGAGAGGCCCCCTGTACAGTACTCAATGAAGAAGGTACTCTCTGGAGAGAGAGCAGGAGCAGCGTTGCTGGTGATGCTGTGAAGAGGTATATAACCATGCTTTCTCATCATCAAAGGTTGAGTGGATCCTCATCCACTCTACACACACCATAACTAGTTATCACTTCAGCATAAGTATATATTAGTTTCAGTCAGCATAGCAGCAATCTATCAAGGTTGCTCCTCACCATAGTGCATGTGTTGTATCACCACTACCTGATGTCCAAAGGCAGTTCATAGCAAACCAGTGGTCCAGATATAGTTAGAACCAAAGGCAGTAGTCCACTGCGGTCCAGGGATCACCTCAAGCATCAGTCAACACACTGGACACTCATGTTGATGCCACCAACCTTATCACCAACACCATCAACCTCATTACCATCAACACTCACTGACCTTATCACTGACACCATCAACCTCATCATCATCAACACTCACACCAGACCTTGGTGTCATCATAACCTATGTATCGATATTGATCATGCCGAGCTACCCCTGAACGGAGTGTCCACAGAGGTCAGCCAAAACCTACGACAGTATATACAATGAACGTCACCTGCTGTCATCACACAACTTGATAGTCGCTGAATGACTAGCTCATCGAGACTGATACCAAGACAATAGCTGTCGCACAGTTTGATAGTCACCGAGTATCTCGACAGACCGACCTGGGTTTCAGGCGCGAGACCCCTGACAAGACCCTTACCCCCTGGACCAAGAGGAGGATGTCAGGGGTCTCGCGCCTGAAACCCAGGTCGGTCTGTCGAGATACTCGGTGACTATTAAACTGTGTGACAGCTATTGTCTCGGTATCGGTGACTATCAAGTTGTGCAGTGACAGCAGGTGGCGTTCGTTGTATATACT